TATCCAATACTACAAATAAGTTAAAACATAATGAATGCTGTTCCAAACGGTTTGCTAATTATAGTACATATAAAGATCTTTATATACCCATCTGCATTTAATTTAATTAATAATTTAAATAAGTTAAGTAGAAATACAGCGTGGATATACTACGCCAAACCTTTCAAGCGATGAAAGTATCAGATATTAATTAATTCACAAAAAAAAACGTGATTCAAAATTCACTATCAATCTCTTTAAGTTATCGATAAAATCATAAAATCAATCAATCCTCTAACCAGGGCAACTTTTGCGAACAAGTAGAGATGATCATATCATGACCTTCGAAACTTTCTATCGACTTTCGCTAATCTGATAAGTACTTGCGTGCCGCAAGGGAACCGACATGCAGTATAATATTGTGATGAAATCAATTAAAATCGATAGTATTGATTAATTGAATAATTAATAATATACGATGCACACCACTGAGCTATTGATAGTTCGACTGAGACTTGTGTTCTGTCAAATCAAACATTTTAGGGATCCTTTCCTCAAGAGGAAAAAATGAACCCTTGTGATCGTGTCATTTCGTTATACTTCTGTTTGTTTATCTGCCTGTCTAGCAAAAGTCTTGATGTGTTCCTGAGAAAAAAGGTTTGAAATTGACTGAATGTTTATTGATAATAATTTTAGCCTGTACATATTTTTGATTGTGAAAATTGAAAAGTAGGGATGTTAAATATAACTTTATTTATATAGGTATTATAAAAAGCTACTAAATTTAAAATGTAGTTTATAAACTACATTTTAAATTTATTCTTTTTTATGGCAACGAAGCAGGTAGGTACCATAGTCCTGTTATTAGGTACCATAGTCTTTGCAATACAAGTGAAAGCCCTCTTCTTGTCTGCCAATATTTTTAAGGTAAACTTAAAATTGCATTTCATAAGTTATAAGGAATTAATACATAATTCGGTATTTAAAACACATCAATGATTTTCAATATCATAATTTAATATGATCGGTACATATCCAGCGGTGTTTAAACACCACACATTTTGACGTGGTGTGGGACCTCTCTCTACTACTGAATACGGTAAGGTCAGGTTGAGCTTTCTACAAAATATGAGGTTGATATCAACTAGTTAGGTTAGGTAGGCTATGTATTAATAAGGCTCGCATTAGTGCAAAGGTGCACATAATGTGTATTCAATAGGTGGAACTAGTTTTCCATTTGCAGTAACTTGTGTTTCGTATCAATTGAAGTAAAAGTTGAATTCGATTAAAGTGTGGTGTTACTTTTGATTGACAGCAAGTTCAATTTTAGTACAATCTGAGTTTCACACACTTCTAAAATACCGTGCTGATTGAAAGTTCAACACAAATAAATTTCTTTCATTTGCCTTAATTAACAAATGTATTGTATTTTATTGTTAAATATATATGTAGTAAGTAACCTTAAAGCTTCTATTCTAATCAATGAACAGGTTATCTAACTCAAAAGAGAATTTAATCCAATGAACTGATAAGACCTGACAAACACGCTAAAAATAAAGGCAACATTTTTCCATGATATAACTATAAAAAAACATTATCATTTAAATAAATTCATAACAATTATAATTGAGAAATTTGATATTAAGATGATTTTAGAGGTTTTAGGTTTTAATTGTCTAAGTTTTTAAGTTAAGCGGATGTGATAAGTGATAATAATAAAATACCTTGTCCACATTTTTTAATAAAATGCTGAAATTACATGTAAAATTTAATAGTAACCCGACAATATCGTGTATTCGTCGCAGTAGTTATAGCGCCTGATAGAAACAGCTACTAATACACTTGAATAAACTGTGCTCATACAAATCTGGCAGGCGTTACATTAAAAATACTTGCACACGGTAATAATAATAAAGTTCTATATGTTTAAAAATTTAATTAATATGTTTATATAAAAAAAAAACTTTTCGCACATAGATGTCCGAAAAATTAAAATATATCACAAGTGAAGCTTGTTCTATGAAAGCTAGATTGACTGCGTTTTTTGTAAATGTCCGAAAATATTATTATTAATCTGGTCCTTGCATAAGTATTTACCTACTGAGTTCTTTAACTAATCAATACACCTCAGTGATCACTGACAAAAATATTCCTCCCACACGTAAATATAATGTAGGTACCTAATCTATATACAATTTAAACGTTTGAACATTCAATTCCAAGCTTTTTTTGCTTTAGGTATAGGGGCATAGCAGATGGGTCACCTGACTGTAAATAAATTCCACCGCTTATGAATACATGCAACTCAAGTACCCTCCCTAGAAATAGGGGAATGGGGTGACAAGCTTAGTTCTTCTAGGATTAACTGCTAAGTACTGGACACTATATTATTATCAAAATTGTAGTTCAAGTCTCGGTGTTCTTTGTGACCGTTTCATGAATGTTGTAAAGTCCGACGCGACACGGGGTTATAATATATTCCTAGTGTGGGAGTGGTCTTGAAAGAAAAGTAAAGAAAATTGTAATAAAAATAGGTAGGTATCTATATGGTGTCGGTATTTGTATTCTTGTTTCCTGTCTTGACCCACCTTACAATACCACGAGAGCTGAGATTCAGCTACCACTCGTTCACTCTACTTGTTCTACGAACCATTACATACATGAATCAAAACAAATCATTACATAAGCACATAAAGTCATAGCCTACATAAATCATTAAAAGTTTCATTGCTACTTCATGTCATTCAAAAGTCACAGACGGTCTCCCACGGTAGGTAGCGTAACCAGTCCACTTTTATTCTCAATGTGTCGCAAGACCCAGTCACGAAGTCTGGACACACATACATACTGATAAACGTTGACCGCAAGCGTTCAAAGTACTTAAAGACATTTAAATTAGTCGTGATGATTAAGTGGCTTGTTGAGAAATTTGAATGTTGGTTTAAGTATATTTATTTAGCAGTGTTTTTGCACACGTTATACAAGACAATCTGGTGGTGTATAAGACTCTCCTGCTTGATATTGCATGTTACAAAGACTTAATGTTATTTCAAACTTCATACAAATAGTTTATCCCTTGGCGTTACGTAGAGATGTGGCTTCACTCTGCATTCACTATCGCATATATCATGGAGAGTGCTCCGAGGAATTGTTCGGACTAATATCAGCCGCAACTTTCTACCATCGTTCTACACGGCAATTTTCTTTATCCTCATCACCTGAATAGGTGGCGCTCCACTACTGTGCGCTTGTCGTGACACTTTTTGCCCCGCACAGCAAATCCGTGGAACGGGTTATCGACCGGATACGTATCGGTCCGGAAATACCGCATACGGGTCCCCTGATGGCAAGTGACCATCGCCGCCCATGATCGTCTGCAACTCAAGAGTCACAAACACGTTGCCGGCTTTTTATAAAGGAGTACGCCTCGACCTTCAAGAAAAGAGCGTGCGAATGCGTGAGAATGGTCACTTTCCATCAGGTGACCCGTCTGCTCATCTGCCCCCTCTAACATAAAAAAAAATACTTTCATCTTTCAAAATTACTTTCTGCTTTTTACTGCGGTTTTATAATAAAACATGTTTTTTATTATTATAAGTATTGTCCAAATATCGTAAACTAACTAACTAAAACTTTAGTCAGTGTCATGGGTGAGGGACCCATGACACTGACTAAAGTTTTAGTTAGGTAATTATAAAATCATCATCTTCTTAACCTTTTCCCAATTTCATTTGGGGTCAGCGCAATGAAAAATAGGTGTCTAATTATTATTATTTTTGATAGAGAATTATTAAGTTTGGAATCGATAACTTAAAAAAAATGAGTTCGCCATATAAACTTGCACCCATGCAACTTGCAACATTTTAAGGGTAGTTTTGCAAAATTAGTAACATTTTTTTAATCACTTTTAATTAGGAGTATTTACAGTGATATTATGGTAGGCGATGCATGATTTTAGATTTACATTACGGTATAATATTATCATTAAATAGTCAGGTTAACAACCTGGGCCTGTTGGTCTAGTGGTTAGTGACTCTGACTGCTACGTTACAGTTCAAGGGTTCAATTCCCACATAGGACAAATATTGTGTGATGAGCACGATCATTTGTTCTGTGTCTGGATGTAATTTATCTATAATATGTATGTATTTAGAAAGATCTAAGTATGTTTATCAGCAATCCGGTTGCCATAGTACAGACTCTGTCTAGTTTGCGATCAAACGACGGTGTGTGATATGTGTGATGTAACAGAAAATATATAAATGAAATGTTGAAACATGACAAAATAATTTTCACACAGCTAAGACTATAAAACACTGGAAATTAAGTCTTTATTACTCCAATAATTTCTTAATAGATAAACGAATAAGTAAATCTTGAATGGACAAAGGTGTATATTGTATGGAGATAAAAATCTGACGTATGCCGTGTGGTCTAGGGTCTAAGTTATTATTAGACCGCCCGTATCCTGTTTGATGTCGAAGCCGACACGATTATAATTCTAACGCAGGGTATAGAATTTACATATAACACAAACAGGGAGGGTATTAATTAAGCATCAATATTGATTATCAAACATTTTTATTAAAGAAGGAACAGTAATTACGTAGTTTTATTTTATCAAGATATTAAAAACAACTTTTAAAAGATAAGTTTCTTTAAACTTATCTTTTAAATACTTGAAGCTAGGAATAAAACGTGGATAAGCAGCCAGTTTCAGCCGCGGCAAAATGTAACGAAGTTCCTTATCGCGCTTATATCCCTATTACATGCTCTGAACGGATGGGAGCAAGACCAAAAAATGTGTAACAAGACTTTTTGCCGACACTTCTTGCTATAGTTTCAGCCGTGTATAGCAAACGTCTACCAACTAGCGAAAGAAACTTCGAAGCAAAGTTCGACAAAGTCCATAAACCCCTCACGCAGTTTTTTTATTCCTGTATGTAATTCAAAGTAAACAGTTAGTGACTTTTTTGACTAGGCTGTTTATGTAATTAAAACACTGTTTTTGTTTGTTACAGGGGAAAGATAAAAGCAACCGAGACGATCTGAAAACAGATATACAACACAGAAAAGAAACATTTTATAGAGTAAGTATTCACTGTTTTTCTTCATCTTAAAAGTAATTTAATCCACAAGTTAAAAGTCATTGCTTAGAATTCAAAACATTTGTAAGAAAATTTATAATGAGCTCATGCCAAAGACCTAAAGTTACCGACACACCTTGAATAATAATAAGCATGCTAAAGTGCTAGAGCAAATGGGCATAAAAAATAAAAAAAATAGCTGGGGTGAACTGAATGGCAGCACAACTGTTTGTTTTGGCCCACATTGGAAATAGCCTATGCCTAGTTAGTGGATTCCAATATGCGGGTTAATTGAAGGCTTGACTCTGCTTCTTCTTGGAAGAAAAAAAAGCATAGCTATCCCCACTATTTTTATATCTATTCTTTCTTTACTTTTTACATTGCATAATATTGTTCGTTTTCTTCAATGGTCGCGTCTCAATGTTTGTGTCGTTTGTCATAGGAGGCTCCGTCGGACGAAGACTCAGCCGTGTCGTCCGGCCCTGCTTCGCTGTCTCCCCAACCGCAAAACGACATGTGGGTGGGTATCTGGTCAATCTCCACATTTACTAAAATACAATAATATGATAGTTAAATATAATTAGTTAATACTTTGAAAAGTCTCTCATCATCAACATCATTTTCCTGTTGTTTTTAAATTTTATTTGGGGTCGGCGCAATATGCTTACGTAGCATAAGATTGACGCCAACACAATTTGTTTGGAATAACGTTTTGAGGTGAAACGATTCGAGTGAGGACGTAAATTAAAGTAAGGAAAGTGGATGGAGCGAGGGATCTTTTGTTTGGTATAGTAGGGCAAACCAGCAAATGTGTCACCTGATGGTAAGTAACAACCGCCGCCCATGGATACCTGCAATTCAAGAGTCTTAAGTGCGCTGCCGTCTCGTGGAGTCCTTTCCCCCAGGAGCACTTGGGGGGGAGCGGTTCGGGGCCTCCGGAGACCTCAATCACTCGGTGAAATGCAACGAAGAAACTGCTTATGCATATTTTATGTGAGACTGTAGTATCACTCCTGTCGAGCCGGCCTATTTGTACTGAATCGTTCGTCCTCATCGCATTCACTGTACACTCAGAATTGGGATGAATATGTGACCATAAATGTCTGAAGGTAGTCGTAACAATACTTACTAAGTACTTATAATAATGATTTCAGTAACCATTGTCACTTACATACGTCATCATGTCGCCTTCAAAGTAAACATCGATTGTTACGGAAGGCCAGTCTAATGGTTCAACAAAACTAACATAAGTAATATGTGTAGTATTTGTCACTTACCGTCAAATAACATAATATGTCACGTGAATGTCAATACAAGATATTTATAGTTAGTATAATGGTGTAAACATAGGTTGTATCTGTAACAGTCATTTTGTGAACAAGAGCCTCCGAAATTAGGGATGTCAAGTCTGTTTAAAATAAATAGTCTGTAAGTCTGTACGCTAAGCTGATCTACGCTTCGATAAAATTTGAATAACTTCGAAGTTTAGAAACAAAACAGCAAAACATGATTTTCGGTCTGTCGCTTGAGTTTCGTCGTGGTTTTCTTGTCAATTGAAAATTTGGTTTTAGTAATTATGTTTAAATCCCCAGAGTCTATACGAAAGTATCATTTCTCCAAAGTTGGTTAAATTTTTTTAAGGATCGAAAGTATTCAAAGAGAACCACTAAACTTTTCGCTAGATTAATCACTATCACGTTAGAGTTCTATTTCTACGGGATCACTTTATTTCTAGGGGATCACTTTATTGTATCACAAGTTTTTTTTAACGTGTGGAAACCCTTACGTTGTTCTGACTGGCATCCCTTAAACTTTAAAAAACACTTAAGTCAACACATTGAAAAGATACAGCAATTTGAGTTGTTTATTTTAAAATTTGCAACAGAATCAACCAACCTGTAGGATACGGAAGAATCTAAGGGAACGTTGACCTAGAATGGGGTTTGGCGAGGAGAATGGTCTCACAGCACAAGTACCTAAAGGGAAAAATTCTAAAGTCGTTAATTTCTATTATTTCACATAAGAATGTTTTTGAAGATTAAAAACGAATATAATACTTACTTTATTTTTAGATTCGCAAAATTGACTGTTAGTGTTATCGATAAGTGAGTGATTTTAGTTTTGGAATGGCAAAGAAAGTTGAACTAGTAAAAATGGGTAAATATCTCAGAAAATTTATTCCCAAGATGAAAATTTAGTTCCTGAAAAACTCAAATACGGTAACAATTGAGCTGTTTGTACTTGTTATTTATTACTTTTAGATTCAAAGCGGAATTATTTTCGACAAAGCTCTCTATCGCTAACAATATTAATTATTAATCTTATAAATGTAAAATATATGCAAATTGCTAGAATAGTTTATTTCTAATCTATAAAATAAGTTTAATCTTATAATAGCCATCTTAGCGAATGAAAACAGGCAGAAACAACATTGCTTAAATACTGAGGAAAAATTACGTCACAACGTAACTTCAAGCATAAAATTAAGTGATTATTTTCGTTTAATAAATATGTCCTGACTAGATATTATCAACAATTCTTACAAAAGATTAAACCCTTGATCAAATGAATGCTCTTCGATTTTTTATCTTCGAAAATTAAACAGACGTCAAAACATCTAATTAACTTTTTATTCGATTCAAGAACGTAAGCATTTTATTTTTTACTTTATCTGTACTACAGTAGTTTCTTAACTTAGTGAACTGTGTCTTCATAGGTAACTCCCAACACTCTGATAATATTCTGGATAAAGGTTTGTGTAATAAGCTATCGGTCGGCAATTTTTTTGTTTGTTAAACTGTGTATGTATATCAGTAAAATAAAAAATAGACTAATTAAGAAACATATCATACTATAGTCATCATCATCAACAGCCTTTAATAGTCCACTGATGGACATAGGCCTCCTTATAAAGGAGATTTGGCCTACTATACCACGCTGGCCAAACGGCTTGGTATAGGGTTTGTGTCAAGTTTTCCTTCTTTTTGCAGTGCTGGTGTCCTGCGTTGTTTTGCGCCCTTAGTCAGCTCTTACGACACCCACGGGATGAATTGGGGTACTGACATTCCGTATTCTTAATCCGTCACTACACGGACTATATTAGTCTCGTCATCATACTATAGTAATAAATGCAAAGATAAGTATTACCTAAATCATATGACTAATGAGAAACCCTTCATGTTTACATTCTGCGTCTAATATTTCACTGTAGTCCTAATTAATCGTGGCTTCTTTCAACGTCCATCTATAGAATATAATACTCTTTTGTCTTTCCTAATTGATACATCAATATTACCCAGAAGTGTTCAAGTACGAACAGACTGCATCTAAAATGCTACTACATTGTTTATAACACGTGTTATAACTTATGAAACATGTTTCAATATAGCGTTACATAAAATGCTATGATTTATGCCTGCTAATCACGATGGACAGGCTGACCATTGTCGTGTAATGATGCTTGTAAATAAAACGAGGTAATGTAACCCACGCAAACATTTAATTTTGCTGATAATCTAACTAAATGTTCAGCTCCTTATACGGATTGTCTATTAAGCCCGAAGCGGTGTTTTATAACTTTTGTATTATTATATTATGTTTTGTAATCTTAGTATGTATTTTTTCAGTACCGTCGTCACTTTCAGCTTTTTTTCAATTTAGTTTGGCGTGTGTGGTGATTTTAGTGTGTACAGAGCCTACGAAGATAGATACATGAGCTCTTGGCTTGTCAACAAGTTCAAAAACGTGTTAATTCTTGATAAAGCTCCTAAAAAGATAAGCGATGGCTTGGCACTAGAAAGAATAAATCCCCGTTGGGACAAACATTTTAAGTTAATTTTTCAAAAAGTAATCCTATTGTTAATTAATTTCATTTTTTCTAATCTCTGTTATCTTACATGACTACATTAAAGTTTAAATAATATATCTATAAATTTTTGGCTTCGTGGAACCCATCTTATACATACACTTAACAAGATCACGTGATAAAAGTAAATTAAAGTTTATTATTTTGATTACATTGTTTTTTTAAGGTTAACACTAAATTTTTTTTTTCAGCTTTTGTTTATAATTTCATCGAATCGAATAAGCCATAGCTCATATTTTTATGAGCTTTATCAAGAACTTTTTTAAACATTTTTGAGTTTGTTGACTAGCCTACTAGTCAACTGACAAAACTTTTATACATGACAAATTTCGGTCAATAAAACTTAAATCCTGTATGTATATAAATAGGTTTTAACATAGACGAAGATGTGTATTCTAAATAATATCAGAAAATACCCAGAATACTATATTCAGTGGCAGTGGCACCTTTCTATTGCAGGAGGCGGTAGAAAGGTCTGCTGGACATAGGCCTCTCCATAGAAAAGAGGTTTTGGCCTACTATACCACGGTGGCCAGACGGGTTGGTTTGGCTAGATAGGGTTTGTTTCAAGTTTCCTTCTCTTTGCAGTCCTGTTATCCTGCGTAGTTTGCTCCCTTAGTCGGCTCTTACGACACCCACGCGATGACTAGGCCGTTGACACTATGTATTTTTAATCCGTCACCACACGGAACCAAACCACCACATTAAACAGACTAATTAAAAAAAAAAGTATTTACTGAATTTTAGAATAAGTATTTGGAGTTTATGAATACGCATTTAATACCACTTTGATCATAAAAAAAACGATCTGCAATTAAATGTAGCGTTGCCTGTATATAGTAAATTGTATTATTCAACAAAAAAAAAAATTTTAAATAAAATTAAAAAATATTTTTTATTAAAACGATTCAAACAAAGATAAATGTTATAAATGTATCTATCAACCCAAAATTGGAAGAGAGAGAGAGAGAGAGTGAGAGACAGAGGTGAGAAAGAAACATCAACTGTTACTGTACTTTATTTCACTAATGGGTATAGTTATAGGTGAAGGCGTCTGAAACCGTGGCGTAGCTAGTTGTGAATGAAATAACTAAAATTTAGCAAGTGGTGTGCCAATCGTAATTAAGTTAAATTTACACGCAACTATATATACACGACTGTACTTGTGGTAAACCTATCTATCAATCCAGAAATAGAAGTAACATTAACTATCATTACTTCAGTATAGGTATAGGTGAAGGCGACCGAAGCCGTGAGCGTAGCTAGTTGTGAATGAAATAACTGAAATTTAGCAAGTGTTCTGTGGAAATCGTAGTCAGTTACACGCAACTATTTATGCTTGAGTGTACTAGTGATATATTATCTCCCTGTCTTTCGATAACACATAAATCAATAAGATTTCGCTTAATCATTACCTGATTTAGTTGCATGAAGTTAACACATTAATTGAAAAGTTACCACGAAAGGTGTTTACGTAAAGTTCTTTGTGGCTTATATATATGTATGGGTATATATATATATATATATGTCTATTCGTGGTTTCTCTAGTGGTAAGCGTTAAAATGTGTGGTGACGGATTAAGAATACAGAGTGTCACCACCCCTATTCATCCCGTGGTTGTCGTAAGAACCGACTAAGAGAGCAAACTACGCAGGATAACAGCACTGCAAAGAGAAGTAAAACTTGACACAAACCCTATATCGACCCGTCTGGCCAGCGTGGTATAGTAGGCCAAAACCTCCTTTCTAAGGAGAGGCCTATGTCCAGCAGAGGACTGTTAAAGGCTGTTGATGTGTGATATACGAGTATATGTCTATTCGTGGTTACTCTTGTTTTACGTTTACGTTAAAGGTACTCATTAATAAGCTGATCAGATTCTTGTTCACTTTTATAGTTCTAATAAAATAATCCCTTTAGTAACAGTAGAACACTCAACTTATTACATAATAACTCTAACGTCACGATCTTCCAGTCCAGTTCAGTTCCATCTCCTCAAAAAACGTAATAAATTTTCAACTACCGATATTTATACCGATGCCAATGGCTACTCGATGGCATCTCAATAGCGTGTCAGTGGTATGACACTGGCTTGGCGTAAACATAAAATCGCAGAATTGAGGCCCTGTTCATGTGTTAAAGAATGCCTTCAGCCTTGTAGTTAAGCCCAGTTTAATGTCAAATTGTATTGCAATATAAACATTCTGTCACCTAGTAAACTATTGGTGTAGTTACGTCACTGCATTGTATTTTGCTTTATTGTAGGGTGACTATGATTCACTGTGGAAAGAAACTACGTAATACAAATGGAACGTATCGTTAGCCAAGGTGGATTGGTGTGACAACAATGTGCAGCTTTGTTGAGACGTCTTGATATTAAATGATGCTTATCAGATTATATCTATTGATGTCCTGTTAGTCTAGTGCTTAGTGACCGTGACTGCTAAGCCGGAAGTCATAGGTTCGATTCCCACCCAGGACAAATGATTGTGTGATGAGCACGATCAGTTGTTCTATGTCCAGGTGTAATTTATCTCACCAGGGACTTCCTTTCTAGGGTATACCTGGTTCCCCGGTTATTAGTACCCGCGACGGCGTGCGGTTTTAATCGGTTTGAGTCCGACATGCCACCGATAGGTGGTATCCGAGGGGATTTCCGCACGGAAAAAAAAAGAAAAAAAAAGGTGTAATTTATCTATGTGTGTGTATTTAGAAATATTTGAGCATGTCTATCAGCAGTCTGGTTTCCATACCACAAGCTCTGCCTAGTTTAGAATCAGATGGCCGCATGTGACATTTGCAAGGTTATTATTAATATTATTGAGTTATCCGGAACAACTAACGGAATTTCTGCAACATGAGAATTTAAAAGACTATTTTATTTAAATATTCGTATAACCTTTAACACTATTCTTCTCTCTTTTAAAATAAATTAATTTATATTATTTATTAGACAGATAATAAATATTTAAATCCTTTGAATAATTAAAGCGACTCAGTTGCATGTCATAACAAACTTTCTTTAGCTAATTTCAAACCGTTGAAGCAGGATTTAATTTAAAACACGATCTCACGATTAGCATCATTGGCCAGAAGTGGATATCCAATCGTAGGTAGCAAATACAGAAGTCGAACTTGTTATCTTTTTAATTAATAAAGCTATTACTAAACCTATCAAAGATATTAAAACTGCGTCATTAATATTCTTTTCATTTTTTTATGATTTAGGGGGTAAATGAGCAGACCTGATGAAAAGTGACCACCACCGCCCATGAAAGTCTATAACTCAGGAGTCACAAGCGCGTTACCGGCCTTTATCGATCAAAAACATTAATTCTTACGAAACCAGTGGAATGAACTAGACGCTTAATAAATGGTTTTATTTCTACAGTCCCTAATTAGTTACGATTATTTTGACATCCTAGATACGCCTTTTTTGGTGGACTTGAGTAGCCAACAAGTGGGCACGTGGGTGGAAGCCGTGCAACCGGTAAGCCCAATTTGTCGAGCTCAAAACACGACCGTTCTCTTTTTGGGCATGCTGATAAAATCTAGGCTGTTTTTGTGATTGCCACCTGACGATGCCGACAACGGGTATCAAAATAAATCACATTTGGGTTCGGGTGCAAAAATATATTAATATAGGTATACTCGTACATAAAAAAATATGTGTTTTATTGTTATTTGATCTAGGTTGTTAAGAATGTGGAAACCATATTTGTTGTAAATACGCAGTTTTAAATAGTTACATACGTTTAGGCGGGTGTTGGTCGAAAACGAGGTTTGACCTGCATTGTCCTCTTTCATATTTTTTAACTCTATTACTGCTACAGCAAAAAATATTAATTTTAAAATAGAAAGGATATATGCATAATCAATATAATATGATTTAGGAATCAAATATATTATTTTTGAAACTGAATATTACTTTGGTAAGTTTAGGGGTTTTTGGGTTAAACGTTCATTTAATCTTACGCCTATGTATACAAATATTAACGCTAAAAATCCATTCATAATTTTATTCCAACGTTCAATGACTAGTCCAAACTAACCATTCACTCCTTCACCACAATGGCATATTAAAATAATAATAATTAATAAGAAACTTCAAAAGTCTATGTTCTACGTTAACTGATGGTCATCGTTGTTCCAGTCATGTGGCCAATGCCGTTCGTCGGCGGAGCGCGCGTCGGCGGCTGCGCGGGAGTGCACGCGACTCTCGGACGCGCTGCGCGACGCGCGCGACCAGCTCGAGCTCATGGAGTTCAGGCTGTTAGAGTTAGAAGACGCTCATCCCGACAAGGTATGCAGAGGATCATTTTACGTTGTTCCAAAAGTCTGTATTCTGTGATTTTTAATGTGGCATTTTTTTGTTAGAACGATATAAGGAAGCAGTGGTTAGTTCGTGTATTGAATTTTAAGTGTTGCCAAAGTGATATTGTATTCACGTAGAATCCGCCACAAAATATTGATCCGGGTATGAAATTGGGTATGAATATTATTTTTATTTTAAAATAGTTTTTTTTATACGTACAAGAGTACGTTATTTATTAATTTAAGTACATAGTTTTTTTCTTCATTAACATAAATAATTTATAAGGTTTTTAATCCTTGATTGAATTTTTTAGTTAGTTTACTTGTTCGAAATAAAAGAATGTTAGATAATAATTTCAAAGTGACTGCAATGATAGTTTCGCAATTCGTTTGAAAAAAATTCCCGCGCTTTTAAGTCATTTATGTGAAATTTACTGGGCGGCTTGTATACATATTGTAAGGTCAAGATTTTGTAATTGTTTTCTTTCCTTGTTTTGATTTATATTTTTTTTTGATATAACAATATTTAAGTATTAAAATTAGATAAAGTTTCATTATTTATGATAATTATTATAAGTATAAATATTTTTATTTAATTCACAATCAAAACTTTTTAGATATATTTACATATACTATAGAGGTTAAAATCAAATGACGAATAAGACGAATAAGAAATAAAAAAGAAAAGACATCCGTAGATTCCCGCGGTTTCGCTTGCGTTTTTTTTAGTGTTACTAACTTTGAAAATTACGAACTTCCATACATCCGTTCATTCCTTATTTTGCCACCTTTGGGGTAAAACTTTAAAAAAAAAAATACTTGATGGGTGCTTACAACGTAAAAAGCATGATCTGCCAAAAGTTCCTGTTTTAATTAAATGATTATAATGATAATAACTAAATTAAACAGAGCCTGTACCATGGTGACCAAATTGTGATAAACATACGTATAAGAGTATATTTCTAAAATGATACATATTAAACATAGGTACATTAATTATTGGGAATCATCAAGACACAGGGAAATAAACGTGCTCATCATAACATTATAAATCGTGGGTTGGAATGGAACTAACGACTTCTAGCTTAGCAGTTAGGGTCACTACCCACTAGAGCATCAGGTCAGAGAAAAGTGTTATAAAGTGCTAATATGGGCGTAATAAAACGTTTTAAGTCTCGTCCTATCATTCTCTACACTATTCTGTTATATAATTCATAATTCTTTTTTTTTATTCTTTTTCGTTACTAATCCTTTATGTTTGCATGTGCGGCAATTCCCTCGGATACCACACAACAGTGGGGTGGTTATGTCGGACTCGAACCGACCAAAAACCGGACGCCATCTCAGGTATATATTGCCGGAGAACCAGGTGTACCCTAGGAAGGAAATCCCTTGTACAACTGGTTTACTATTGACCCCAACATGGTAGTGATAGCACGAGAATTAACAACGTCTTATAATTAAGTGATGTTTGAATACTTAATATTGAGAATATCATTGTCTGTTGTTTAGTTAAATTTTCTACCAAATCGCTAAGGTATTTGATCTTGCATAGAAGGTTTTAGACGATAGGCAAGTTCTTACGTACTCAAGAATTACGGTTTACGTAGTTAAATACAAAGGATTTTAGTATATAACAATAATAATAAGTAAAAAGACAACTCCCGCATTAAGAATAAGTACATCCTGTGTCGCGGGGGACTTTACAAACATACATGAAACGAACACAAAGAACACCCAGACTCAGAACAACAATTTGTGAATCACACAAAGTGTAGTCCCATGTGGGGATCGGACCCACACCACTTAGCGTAGTAGTAAGTGGCGTAGCGACCGCTTAAACCACTACGTCATCCGTGCAGTCATCATAGTATCAGTTATGATGTACTAAACAAAATTCTCTTAAATCACAATACTACCTTACAAGTATTACAAGTTACAACATACTTCCTATAATGTACTAATAGCAACATAAATATCATTCAACAGATTAAACCGTCACGACTAACATTTGTCATGTGACATATACCAGTAACCCTGACCCGCCACACTTACACATACCTCAGACCACATAGGTCAATATTCACTAGCCGGTAAAACTGAGAACTGGTTAGGTGTCAGCGGAAACCCCATAGATCATTATTAACGGTTTTATAATAATTCTATGGTGGTGACCGGACGTGTACTTCTAAGGAAGGCGTGGAATGATTACTTCACTATTAGTCATATTGTTTGAATATACAATGATATATAAATATAGATATATGGTAGAATATCGTCCGTGTGGTGACGGATTAAGAATACGGAGTGTCACCACCCCTATTCATCCCGTGGGTGTCGTAAGAGCCGACCAAGGGAAAAAGCTACGCAGAACAACAGCACTGCAGAGAGAAGGAAAACTTGACACAAACCCTATACCAACCCGTCTGGCCAGCGTGGTGTAGTAGGCCTAAACCTCCTTTCTAAGGAGAGGTTTATGTCCAGCAGTGGACTGTTAAAGGCTGATGATGTGATACAATGATAAATTGTATATACATAGCTGTTATATATGTATAGACAAGTTCTTAGAGGTTGATGTCAAGAATGTAAAGGTTGACGTAATGCGCAGTGTGTTCTTAGTGATTTCAAATGATTACTCAGATACTGTTTGTTATATGTATATGTGTAATCTTTCTTTATCTTAGATTAACGATTGCTAATGCACTTAGGAAATACTGCAATGTATGTATGTACTTATATTTTTCATTTTTACTTTATTTAATTTTTTCGGTTTTGGAATCTCAAATGGCGAATATCACTTGGCTTCGTCTGTCTATTCAATTAACAATTCTTTTTGTCTGAAACCTGTTCTAATATCAATATCAGGTACAAAGGTTTACAAATCTTATATTTGCATTTGTAAAATACAAATTATCTCTAAATATTAAAATATAACTAACTTAACATTAACATGACGTTTTGGTTTTCTCAATTTGATTCATCAAATCTACGTACACAATACACTTTGGTCCTATCCCTTGAGGAGCTGTCAGTTTTCCCTTATTCAGGCCCTAAACCTATCCAGGCCTGGATAGGCGCGGCGTCGGAGAGGGCCTATGGTGTATGGGAATGACCCACAGAGTAGAGCGTTTGAGGCCGGTCGTAGGAGTGGTTTTAGTGGGAACACCGCATACTCCTGTCTTCTGCATAACCGCGATGGATTTTTTTTTTGCACACACTATCCTTATTCTTCTTGTACGCGTATATCAAATTACTGGCATGTTGTTAATGCATACATCTGTTATATTACTATGTTACAATGTAAAAGAAGTGATTAATTCAATAAATTTTAATATTTTATGATCCTGTTAAGTATTCTTGGTCATTTAATAGTGTTGTAAACATAATATTTTGTGAGTATATAAAATGGCTGAAAGACATTATCTTACTTGGATATTAGAACATCCAGCGACATAGAGCTAGATGCGAGAAACTGAGGATCGATCGAAGTGGCGTGCAATCGGAGATGCCTATATCCAGCAGTGGACTGTGATAGGTGATGATAATGATGATGATACTAGAACTAATATACTTCTGTAGTACTGTATCGTAATATGGCTTGTTCTTTTATATAAAAAAAAAACACTTGCATCATCTAAGCGAAATGGATTTCATTTTGTTTATTGGCCAACGATAAATGAGGCCTATGTCCACGGTTATAGGCTGTTGACGATGATAAATGAATTATAAATTTTGACAAACAGATGATACTTTTTTTGCTATAATTAATTAACTAACATATTTATCCAGTTCTTTATAACATATTAATAGATACTCTACTATAAAATATTTATTCGTTGCTGCTAACAGCGTGCTTGGCAATGAAAAGTATTATTAATATTGTAAAAAATTTAATGAATTAATTCGTATACGATTTTAATTCGAAATAATCAATTCAAAAATTTCTGAATATGTAATATATTCAGATGTATTCTTTTTTTCTATTTTACATATTAAAATAAAGTCTTACGTATGAAAGATTCTTACTTATAGTTAGGTTATTGTTTCATAAAAAATATATATTAATAAAAAAACTACATATCATTATTATTGGTTATATAAGTCCTGTTTAGCTGAATAACAAATAACTGTGAATAGTATTTTTATTGTCTGCTATAAAATGTAAATAGAGGTCGTATTTTTTCAACGTTTTTCCTTGAATATGTTTGTTTTCGAATACTTTTTAGATACTGTTGAAGTATTACGTTAGATGCATAATATAATAATAAAGATAATACAATAAGTATTAATCTTGAGTCAATAATTAAAATAATTTATATTTGTCTGTTATAAATGTTATAATTGTTGTCTTTTTTGCTTGTTGAATTTTTAATCATTAACTGCATACGTATAATTAATTTGTGCACCTGCAAAAGGAAATTAAGGTAGGTTTATTTTTTAAACTAACGATACAAACTAATTACTTATATAATTATATACTGTGTACAGTCTAATTAAAGTCCAATTTGAATCTCCAAAAGGTCGTATCATAGTACATTTTTCATAATATGTCTTTGGTAAACACCTTTGTATGTACATGATATATTTTTTTATTTATAGAGCGTGAATTATTATTCGTGTAAGTCCTTTACACGTGACTACCTACTCATTTAGAAGGGCCCTGACCGATATGTAGTTAACTGGTTGTTTTTCTAATGTTATTATTCTATATTTATTGTTTAAGTTTTAAAGTAATTTAAAATTATAAAAAAATAACAACTAAAGGGAAGGTTTTAATAGTTTGAGGATTATGAACTGATAATATTAGTTTAGGTTCTTCCAAACAATTACGTAGTTGATTCATTTATTAATCTAAATTTTATTAAAACCAAAATTGTGTTAGGCCTACCTATTAGTATTGAAAAAAAAAAGTAAGTTGAGATACTTTTGCCTTCTTAAAAAAGTTTGAAACTAATGAGCCTAAAATTTTACAAAAAATAAATAAATATTTTTTTTATTTTATAATTTGGGTTAAAAAAAAAGTTTTTATATTTACGCTGTAAATATGTGATAGACTCACAAGAATTGATATTAAGCCACAATGCTAACACAAATGTTCCAGTAAATTTGGACACATTGCCTGAGATACACCGCGTTTTTTCATTCAGAAGTTCAGTACTTTAATATTAACCTATATTTTACGTACAACACACATCCATACGTATATTTTAATGCGAAAGTGAGTCTTTGTTTGTTACGCTTTCACACCTAAACCACTAAACCAACTTTTAAAATTATATTACCAATGGAAAGCTAACGTTGAGTGAGTAACATATTACACTTTTACCGCAATAACCAACATACACGCTTACGGAGCCACTGGCTAAAGCTAGTAGGGTATATACTCGTACACTGAATCTAAAAGTGATTGCTTTATATGCAAGTAAGTATGTATAATGTGTGGTTCTATAACCGCCAGCGACCATGACTGTTGTACCAAAGGTCGGACAACATTCTTTTAACTATCTATGCAAGTAAATAAAATTGAAGTACCTGTTTATAATGTCAAAATAATAGGTTTTTTTAATGCTCACACGGTTATTTGCAGGATACCTATGCCTATAAACTAGTTTATTTTTGTCTTTCTGTCAGTCAGTCTATCTTTCTGTATGTCTGTTTGTTCGGGTAATCTTCTAAACGGCTGAACCGATTTTAATAATTTTTTACTACCCGGTAGCTGTCTATATAAGGAGTAACTCAGAAAAACCCTTTAAAAATTTTGCCCGGTCCGGGAATCGAACCCACCGAGGCAGCACTTTTCAAATTCCACGCGAACGACGTCGCGGGTACCAGCTAGTATCATATTAACAACTTCACATGCTACATTCACACATTGTATCACATCAACAGCCTTTAATAGTCCACTGCTGGACATAGGTCTCTCCTTAGAAAGGAGGTTTTGGCCTACTATACCACGCTGGCCAGACGGGTTGGTGTAGGGTTTGTGTTAAGTTTTCTTTCTTTTTGCTTTTACATCGTATACAAGTACCTTATACTTTACACTGTAACAATAATTATTCTAGTGCCAAGTACTAATAATTAAACAATATTGTTTCTATGACGGCATTGTATTACGTTTGTAAGGGATAAAATAAGAGTAGGCATAAAAGAACACAGGTTTAGTATTCTATAAAGAGTTGACAGGTCAGGAATTTGCATATGAAATATTTACAAGCAGGCATCGAAGGAAAGTTGGCATTGACGGTTGAACTCGGTAAAATAGCCGAAAGGACTCGAAATAGGTTTTATATTTTGTATTTATATGTCTTAAATTTTTTAAGTGTACAATTTTAGTCAGTCAGTCAGACAGGTCAAGTTAAATGTTCCACTATTAACTATAACTTCTAAGAAAAATCATTTAAATTCCATGAACTACTAGTATGGTAATAACAATGATGATATCCATTGCAAACAAACGGAAAACCTTGCGTACTTTGATAGTATAAAGAAATCCTTTACATAATCTCGACTGAGTCCACAAAGACAAAGAGGTTCCCTCACAGTTATATATTATTAACCATTATCAAGGCTCATCGTTCCGTGAAATGGTTAAACCAGTTTTTATTTACGTAATTGTAATTATCGCTTCCGTAAACATTACTTCTTGGATGTCTTATAGAAAAAATGCAACACTAAAGCCTAACAAACAAATATCACCCAATTTAAAGCACCATCACTGATCTAGAGCAAAAATACAAAACGAATATTGGTTTAATATCTCAATTTGAACAAGCACATATCTTCATTTTATGAAATTATTTAACGATGTACTTCGAAACTACTGTTGCAATATAGTATCTTGTAGCTTGCTACAGATTTTTGATTAATTACGAGATATAATAATGACTTAGTAATTTTCCTTTGAGGAGCCGAGTGATTAAAATATTCGACAATCGGACAAAGACCGTAATCGACAGTAAAAAATCCCGATGTTAATGTTGTAATTACTACTTCTTATGTAAATATACACTACATTATTAGAAAAACAGTAAACATAGATATAAAATACATATGGGCAATTACAATAACCATTCGTATGAACACGTGAAGTGTAACAATGAACAAAAGGCCAACGAGACTAGGAAACTCGACTCATAACTTCAACTTACTAAGCACATTATGTTTCCACACGCGCCTATTTTATCATTCTACTACATACTGAGTATCAGAAACGAGAAAAACATTGAGGCATATTTGTCAACGCCTACAATGCAATACAAGCACTTTAGTTCTATTATAGACATTCTCACAAAACCACTGTTGTCCAAGTAATAAAAGTGATCGGACGTTCTTGAGCAAGTTTTTCATACAAGTTTAATTTTATGTAAATAATTGTTGCATGCTTCTAACACTCTATAACGTAATTTGTATCTGTTTTGACACATTGTTTCACTTCAATTAGTCCACAAAGACAAATGTAAGTGTATTAGAAAATGCAAAACATTAATTTTTTGTTTCAGGGTGCGCGGGACACCCTGACAGATTCGGACTCAGGTTGTGTGTCCCCAGGCTCTCGTATCAAGGACTCCGCTTCACCTGAACTCAAACGAATGGATTCCGGATATAAATCCCCCCACGCTCCGAGCAGTCCCTGTAATCCGCGAAGAAACCTGGGAACTCCACACGATGACTTCAAAGAAGACTTTGCAAGAGCGCAAGTACTGGCTGACATTTTGGACAAAACTTCCGAAACAACCAGTGATTCTTTGAAAAGCAACCCCGTCAAAGAGCATTTGGAACAGATGATCTTAAATGCTGCATCCGCGGAGGACAGGGCCTGTTTGGAACAAGTTCTTATGCTGCTATACAACCTGCAAACGTTGAGTAGTTCTGTCAGTGAAGACGAGTGCTATCAGGTATGTAAAAAAGTAAAAAAGGATGGTTGCTGTCAATGTAATGTCTGTCAAAACATAGGCGGTTTTTGTAAATATATTTCTAAATTTTTACGTTTCCAGACTAAACCTCGCAGAATAAGTGACTTGAGATTCAAACAAGAAACTGACATCTCCCAGAAAACTCAAAAGGCTGTCGCGACAGTAACACCGTATCAACAGAAAGGATATAAATGCGAGTCACTTGAGAGCCTCTGTAGCGACGAAAGAAAACCGATTAATATTTTACAGGAAAGTGGTATCTTTGAAGGTGTCGAAACAGAATCAAAGAGTACTCAAACAGATGTAAACGATAGCTTTGAATGTAGCGGTGAGCTAAACACCGAAATACAACGACTGAATAGTATAAGAGAAAAATTAGAGAGACAAGGAGTTAGGAATAGGACATTAAATACGAAAGAAGATGGAGATGGCCTGGAGTGTAGGTGTGTGAAGTTAGGAAAGAAACACAAACAGTATTACGAAAGAAGGCTTAAGTTTTTGGAGGGTAAGATCTCGATCTACGAAGCGGCACAAGACGTCAAAGAGGCAAAGCTTGCACAAAGATTGCAGAAAGAGTTTCTCCTAGAAAATCAAATACAGGTATGTTAAACATTTCGTTGCGTCACATAACCTGTATATATTTCTCAATATCGTTAGCTTTTACTTAAACTACACGGACCCCGAACGGTGGCCTTTATTAAGGGGTAAATCGAATTATCGCGTGGGTTTCAGGCGGAGTCTTGTTGTTGTTTTGTTGCTTTAATAAAATCATGGTACACGTGAGGTTGATTTTATAGCTACAATGCTCTGGTTTAGTTGACAAGAAGTTCCTAAGAATTTGTGTCATATTCAGGATAATTCCATTTTTTAAATAAATTGAAATGCTCCTCAAGTTGCTTATTAAGCCTTTGTTGCAGGAACTTGAAACACAACTTTCAGAGTTACAAGAGAAGTACGAGAGATTAGAGGAAGATTGTTGTGAACTAGAAGAAATCGAAAATGACACCCGTTTACATTGGCAGCAGTAAGTATCCACAAACAATTACACTACTACAGAATCTCTCATTACAATTTTTCTTTTACTTGATTTTAAGTTAGAAGAACTTTTCGAAATGGTTTCGCTTTTGTTTATAGGCTTGAAATGGACTATGAGCTTTGCTCAGCACAATTAAGAGACATGACTGAGCAAAGAGAGTGTTCGCGGGCCCAAGCCGAACGGCTGCTGGGCGAGCTTAAAAATAGAGAATGTGCTTTGAGAGCCAGAGAGGTAACTACAAAAGAAACATTTTTATATTTTAGTATCGGAATAACTCTTAGTACTATGGAACAATAATTTCAATATTCGATGCCCTTATTAAAACCACTTTGTGTGGGGTTACCGGAGCCCAAGCCCCTGTTTTCCCTGATTTTATGGGGAGGGTATTAAGAGGCCGGCAACCCACTTGTGACTCTTAAGTTGCTTAATATCAGGTGATCCGTCTGCTCGTGTTAAAAAAAAGACATGTACATAATTAGTAAATTGTGAGAATCATCATCAACAACAGCCTTAAATAGAGCACTGCTGCACATAGGTCTCTTCTTAGAAAGGAAGTTTTGGCCTACTATACCACGCTGGCCACACGGGTTTGTTTCAAGTTCTCCTTCTCTTCGCAGCGCTGTTGTGCGTAGTTGACTCCCTTGGTCGACGACAACTATTTACTATTACGACGCCCACGGGATGGATAGGCTTGGTGAAACTCCGTATTCTTAATCCGTCACCACACGTCAGCATTTATTGTTTATATTCTATTATAGTAGGTACCATACTTTGTGAAAGGATGATTTGAAATAGTTAACATATGGTTGTTGATATATTTTCAGACTGAATTACAAAATCGCTTACATAAATTGGAGAGAGCAGTGCCCGCATTGATTGCATGGAACGTTGTCCAAGTTATTGGTGCGGACTTATCATGCGGTGGCAAGGTAAACTTTGATCAGATCCAAATTTTAATTTGGTCTAAACTAAGCTGTTAATATTCTATTATTAATTTTAAATATTCACCTTCCTGGTAAAACGATAAACTGTAAAGGAATAAGGACCGTGTCATGATAATATTATATGTAAGTTATGAGTGAATAGGGCGCAGTAGAATTTAAAACCAATTTATCTATCAATATATTACAAACATAACTAGTTGTGTGTTAAAAAACTGTAATACTCGTATACTATTAAAACCTCTTCATACTTCTAAATGAACAAAATGTGCTGAGTTCTTAATGAAATTCAAATTATGTACATTTATTTATGTGACATTTTACAATCACATAAAAACTTCAACAGATGATCTCATCAAAAGTTTCTTGAAATATTTGCATGCCACAATGTGGAATGTGAAGGTACGAAAATAATCTTTGTAACAACTTTACTAATGTACCCAAATTTGCAAATAGATGTTTATTATTTATTATTATTATATCTATTTCAAGATTTGTATTTAATTGTCATAAACATCATAGAAATAAGATTTTCTTCTACAACACGTTAGCCAGACGGGCTAGTATAGGGTTTGTTTTACCTTTTTTTGTAAAAGAGAATGTACCCGAAAGTGGTGCACGCGCCATTGCAGTGGGCAGGAGCTAGGAGGTCTGGATGTCTTAATAACAGCAGTTAACGTTCCTATCAGAGTAGCGCACCTTGTGGTTTTAGTTGGTCCGATTCCCACACACCACCCCGCTGCAAACCCCGTAAAAAAAACGGTTTGTTTCAAGTTTTCCTTCTCTTTGCAGTACTGTTTTCCTGCTGAGTTTTCTCCTTCGGCTCTTACGACATCCACGGGATGAATGGGGGTGGTCACATTCCGTATTCTTAATTAGTCTCCACACGGGCATTTAAGTACTTGTAATATAAAATTACTTTAAATAATTTCTCTCTTGCAGCGAGCTCTGATGGAACGCATGAGCGGGTACAGTCAAAACACTCGACAAGTCGTTGCACAGATCCGGCAAGAGAAGCAACAACTGCAGGCTAAGTGTGGTGCCTTGGTTGCGTGGAACGATATCACTACCTCCTCCACGCCTAACACCAAGCAGTTACAGGCACAAGTCACTTCGTAAGTGAAGACCTTCTTTTTACTAATCTTTTTGACGTGGACTTTAAAAATTATTTTCTTTTTTGACTAATAACATGATAAACCTTACACACGGCCATCTGATCCTAAATTAGACGGAGCTTGTGCTATGATAGCCAGATTTAAATATACTATACTAATTCTAACTTATAGTTATATACACCCAGACATAAGCAATGATTTTGTTCATAACACAAATATTTGTTCTCGGGTTGGAACCCATGATTTTTATCTTAGCAATCAGAATCACTACCTAGACCAACATGCCAGTCAAATTCAATTACCATCCACTTCTGCCATTCGATACGATATTTTTCTGCTTATCATTAAATTCAGTCTCTGATATTCTGTACTACATAAATAGAGACAGTTTCGAATTTTTTTTAATTGCATTATTTAGTACGAGGAATATTCTGACTCCTCAAGTTATATTTCATGTGTTCTCTATTTGATGCTGATAGTGAAAGTTGTCATACCATCATTTAAGTACTAATAAAGATACAAAGCCACCACTTTGTTACTTGCGTGAACTTTAAAGAGTATGCTTTATTTTTAGCTTAATATCAGAGAAAAGACAGATAGAAACAAAAACCCAGCAAATACAGCGCAGTCTAGAAACCAGGATAAGAGAGCTTGAAGAGCAATTAGAATCAACAAGGAACCAGATAAAAGCCACCGCCGCCGGAGCTGAGTGCAAGAAGGAAAGAATTGAGGAGAAGATCAGCGAGCTAGAGAAGCAGCTAAGAGGAGAACGTGCAAATGAAGATGTACGTAATATTCTTTTGCTATTTTGCAATAATAATATCTGTATTAGTTCGGCTTTTCTCGTTTTTTGGAGAGGGTCTTATATGACCCACTGTTCTGTTCTGTCCTGTTCCTTCTGTCTTATATGTCTAATGTTCATAGCATTTATATACTATTAATTAATTATATAAATGATTACGCGCAGACAAATTCAGACAGTCTCTTCTTAAAACTCTACTCAATAATTATTTCCTTTGTGTCCCCCTAATAATATCAATTAGGTTCTTTTCCGATGTCCATGTGTTAAACCAAGAACTATTCTTATTTCAATTGAAAATACTCTCGAAACGATATAGATATATCGTGTTCCATCGATAAAATATGTGCTTCACACGTCCTAATTCCATCGAAAAAATATGTTCTTATTCACAGAATATACTTAAGTAGAACAACTCAAGAAATTAGAAATATGAATTCCAATAAATTGCCGAGATCTCATACATACTGGTCAAGTAGGGCGCCGTAATAATGTGCGAGATTGCAATAGCACAGAAAATCTTTGACCATGACGATTCATTTGATGAAAATCATAATGAAATTTTGCCGTTGAACAGGCGCGAGATTTTCTCATTCAGTTTTTAAGTAACGGTAACTAAAGAGATGAAAGAAAAATTATGAAAGTAAATATTATGTGAGTTGAAAAATTATAAAAGGGGTGAATAGAAAAGAGTTCAGTTCTTATTACTTCTTTGTTTGTCAAGTGATTTCCGTTTTATAACTTTGGCTTTATCAATTAACAGTGAAAAACAATTTTCTTTCTTAGTTCTGAAGTAAATTTATTTAAACTTTAATTTTAGATCCGTATGTTTATCCGTATGAAGTAATTAAATGTATTAAGGTCAAACACGTAATAAATTAAAACCGTATACAAACTATCTTACATCTCAACCAACACTTTAATGAAACAATATCTTAATATTTTTTCTCATTATCGCTGATACTTTTAATGTTACATATAATACAATACCAAGAATTCAATTAATTTTATTACATGTTTGTTTTATTCACAATATTAATTTTACCATCATTACAGAAACCGGCGGATCCTATGATGGGTATGACGATTCGAGCTCTCCTGGTAAGCGAACAGGAACTAAAGAACAGAGTAGCAGAATTACTGAGAAGAGAGGCTGCATACTTAGAGATGCTAACACAAGCCGATGACATGTGGGCAGAAATGGAGGGAGGTTATAAGAAGAAAATAAACGAATCACAAGCCGTTGAGACGCAGTTGAAAGGACATGTAAGAATTATTATGAAAATAGTGCCCGCTATCAAAGGAAATTAAAACCAGTACTTTTAATTTTTTTATAGTCTTTTGCCTCAGAACTACGTCACATGACCCGTTTTTTTTTTGAATTTGAATATGAATAAAAAATATCGCCCCTAAGGGTAAAAAGTTGATTGCAATTCATCATGATATAGGCGCATTAAATTCGGTGTTTTTTTTAAAGTTACTTAAATATTTTTACCTACGGATACTTAATTACGCGGTAATTTCTATTTCTTTTATACATGTAATGTACTGTGTATCTAAATTTTCTTATATATTTATGGTTTTTCTAACAGATAAGAAAACTAGAAGGTGAACGTGATCAATGGAAAAAGTATTTTGACCCGATGAAGCAAAAACTTAAAGAATTAGAAGAGTCAGAATCAGGAATGAGAATTTCATTAGAAAAAGCCGAAAGAGACGCTAAAGCTTTGAAGGAACAGAATGCTAGCTTACTTGAAAAGTATGCTCAAGCAGATAGTGAGACTAAGAAATCAGAGGCTGCAGTCAGAACCCTAAATAATAAATTTAAGGTTTGTATCAATAATTGTTCTTCTTTTCCCCATCTAGTTCTCAATCTAATAGATTTCCTACTCATTCAAGATAGTTAGTTACTACACATGGTAAGTAGATTACGGTGCAGGTTTAACTTGCGCTGTGCTTCTTATTGGATAAAAATTTTAAGGGTCTCTCTCCACAAAGAAGGGAGGATTAACATTGGTTAAATGATAAGCAGATACGTTTAAAATGTATATATTTATTCACATGTATATTTATATATATACCAAGTCACTTCAGAATATAAACTAACACTTTTTCGGAAGGCTTCGTTAAACGCAGCCACTGGTAGGTGGTATCCGAGGGGACGCAAAGACACGTAATAGCATAGAGGACACGAAGATTACAGAAAACACTGTACTCGTATACTTGTAATCTATCTCATTCTCTCGCAGGCTAAATCCTATTTATAAATCGGTTTGTCTTCTTTTACTGCCGCTTTTTCTTTTCATCAATTTTTTAATCACAACGGTGCTAAAGAATTTTCACTTCAAAAAGTATACAGTTAAAAAGAATCATATCAATAATAGTTTTAGCAGTAATAATATTACAGTCGAGTAATTTTTTAATCTTCTTTCAGGCCGAAGTAGATGAACTGCGTAAGTTGAACAAAGGTTTGGACGAGGAACTGCAGACTACGAAAGAAACTGTAAAAAAGGTCGAAACTAGGTACTTAGGAGACTTGGCGTCCATCAGAAAGGAATTGAATCGAATGTATAAGAACAACCAAGAATTAGAAGTCAACAACGGTGAATTGAAGGAGGAGGTATGTAGAATAGCTTAGTGCGGTCTAAAAAGATGCATGGGCTATTAAATTTAATTAAAAGCTTAACATAATGGGGCAAAGCATACACGCCAATTTAAGAGTGTCTTGGATCTTAAAAAATATTGTTTATAGTAATTTAAATAATGTTTTTATCTGAAGTAACTTTATCAGTTTCCACGTGCATTCTATAAATTTGTTTGAGACATGTAATTTTAGTAAAGTTACAAGTTTATGAGCATAATAGTTCCAAGATTATTTTATAATTCTTCCTCCTTGTTTAATGATATTTTGTTAAATTAAACTTGTAAAATGGGACTTTCATTTGAGGTGGTTTGTCTTTTGAAATATTTGTGGTTAAATTTTTTGAGTTTGTCGATGGATACTTTGTAGTAATATATTAACTACTAGCTGACCCGGCAGACTTCGTACTGCCTCAATTGATAAATAAAAGACCTAAACTTTTGTATAAAATAAACAAACAAAAGGAATCCTTTTTTTTATGAAAACAATTCAAAAATGCTCGGAATAACAAAAAAAAAATTATTCACCTTTTAAACCTTCTCTGGACTTCCACAAATAATTCAAGACCAAAATTAGCCAAATCGGTCCAGCCGTTCTCGAGTTTTAGCGAGACTAACGAACAGCAATTCATTTTTATATACATAGAGATTAGTATTTTTTTGGTTGAGTTTAGTAGATAGTTTAATTTTATGTTTAGTTGCTTTGGTATATCACTACATAGCGCTTTCGATGTTACCCGCTTTGCATGTCAGCTTTAAACATTTATTTCGTTACCAACGCTCGGCTCTCGAACAGTGCATGATCCACATCGTGATTGTGACGTGTAAATATGCATGGAAGCTTTGGAGAAGTTTTAAGAAGACATGTGTTCTCAGGTGGAATCTCTGGAAAAACAGCTTGCTTTGACGCAGAAAGCTTTGACACAATGCAAGAGGAAATGTGACGAGAAAGTTAAGACTTTAAGTCATGAGCTCTCAATAAAAACTGAAGAGCTAGAAGAATTAAGGAGTGAAACCATGAGACAGTCGTTCCACGCATCTCGAGTAGAATTAAAGCCAGAAAAAACTGAATACATAGATGAAGGTTATTCGGTTTATACGGCCGTACCAAAGAAGACAGATTACGGGAGAATGCATCACAGTATGAGTTACATAACGTCGGAATCGCGTTGCTCTTGTCCCTCAATGAGGAGTCAACTGGTCGGGCAACTAATAGAAGATTTGTTCGAGAGAGTGCATAATACGGTTGATGACGACTTGGGCAGATTGTGCAGCGAGATGAGCCTAAGCGATAGTATAGATGTGACTGTTGAAACCAAAGCGAAAATTACAAATTACCTCTTAATGGCTATATCAAAGGAGCTCGTTAGGTCAATCGGGGATGCTGATGCTAAGACTGATACAGAGGTCAGTATGGTAAAGGTTTCTTAATATCATAATAGATTGTGACTAAAGTTTTAATTGCATTCGTTTTTAAATCTTTGAAGTACTAATGAGTCTTAAAATTACCAACCTAATATAATGGTCTTGCTTTTGTTTTAACGCTGTGGTAAACACATAATATACTTACACTAGTTCTGATATTAATTTGGAATATAAATACTGTCAGTTTACTTTTATAGTTATGTGAATTTACCCTAAAATATGACTTTTAAATAAGTTCAGGATGACTTTAGATTTTGTTATTGAAAAGTTCTGCATAACGATAAAAAGTCATCAATATAGAATAGAATAGAATAGAAGGCTAAAAGCAATTTAGTGGGCGAGTATTTTTTAAATATCAATTTAAACGATATTAAACTAATAAAAGATTATTAGTATCTAAATTCAGAAGTAGGAATACTGATGGCAGCGTATTTATCAGTCAATGTAACATACGTGACTTTAAAACTATTGTTAAGGTTGATACAAAAACATAATAAATTTTGGTATTCAATACCATCAGGGGATTTGATATCGTTATAAAAATATTCTAATAGTACCTTAGAATATCTTTATCATAAGCTTATCCCTTCATTCAATACAATATAATAATATAAAAGGTCTGTTCGGTCAAAAAGTAACACGATCTGAATGACCTGTTTTCCCCCTCGAATATCAGCAGGTACGGGTTATAATATTAATCCGTACCCGCCACGGTAGGACTTCGCGGTGTTCGTAACTGCACACAGTATCTACAATAAAATCTCAATTCGATACACATGACAGGAAGAATAAAGCATACGAGTAATATTTTATTTATTTATTTTATTCGTTGATATTAAATAAAAACACTTTACCTTTTATAAGCACTTTATTTTGGCTATGAAGAGGCTATGATTTAATTCCCCTTCAGGTATTTACATCCAGAAACCATATTTCGCTGAAATAGAACTACTTGAAACATACCTATAGTTCAAATGCCTCACCGTTAGTGTCCACGTCTCGGTACCGTAAGTCGTAACAGGCCGCACTGGTAGAAACCTTAGACTTAAGGCATTGTTTTCAAAATGCAAAAGCTGTCCATCGTAACTAGGTATCTCGTACCATTTCTGTGTTGTTTTCGCAACTCGTGTCTACGGAGCTATATATACCTAAACTGTCCAAGGTAAACATATTTAGTACGTTTTTAGTAATTTACCATCAAATACCAAAGGACTACACTCGTTATGACAGGAATCGAAAATATAATTTTATCGCAACTAAAAATTTGTAGACTCAAGAGATGATATCTTGCCTCAAAAAGTTTATCACGTTGTGCACAACTGCGCAGGAGTGGCAGCGCGCGGCTTCGTCTCCGTACGGCGCGGCGTACAGCGGCGCGCTGGGCGCGGCGGTGGCGGCGGCCGGCAACGAGCGCGTGCTCGCCGGCGCCGCGCGCCTCGCCTCCGTCACGTGCGCCTGCGCCGCCGCGCGCCTCGCCGCCGCGCGCCCCGACCTCGCGCACGCCGTCAACCTTTGTCAGCAGGTACTCTGCCCCCACTCACTACGTCACCGGCAATCCTGTTCACGATTTCTATAACGTTAATGTTATACGACTTTTACTGTCGTACATTCTTTATATACCACCGAGTTTAAAGCGTGACAAACGTTTTATTTAAAGTATTATAATTGAATTTCAGGAAGTTCTAGATCACGGCGATGTTAAAATTATGGAGGAGCAATTAGCGAATGCGATCGAAAGTATTGTTGTAAGTAATAAGAATTTCAAATTTAATTTTATCTCTCTGTAAAAGTCTCTAATAGTACTGTTTTCAAGTTTTACTGACCTTTTAAATACGAAAGTTTGGATAGATGTTTGTTATTCAAATGTATCAAAACAGTTGAATGAATTTGGGTATAGATTAGAATCTAGACCAAGCTAATTTTCTATCCAGGAAAAAATATTAAAAAGATCACCATTAACACGAGCGCTGTGGGTGTGTATGCAAATTTTTATGATACGTAGTAATAATTAGTGATGTGCCAGATCGTTAACAAAGTATATCCGCGGATACGGATCCGAATACGGATATTTGGTGTCAAGATCCGCGGATACGGATACGGACACGGATCTTCAGTTTCTTACTCAATCGGAGCCCGTGACCTTGATAGTAGTCGCCACTTGACGCTTTGCCGTTGATATTTAAATATTTCATTATGTTAATAAGCTAATACAATGATGTTTGTTTGATCTCATTATAAAGATAGCTCTTTCAGTACCTACGACCTGCCTAGTTGATTTAGTGTAGTACGATAAATGATTGCAATACAAAGGTGCCAAATATTTGTTTTAAGAAATAAAAAGTAATCTGAACAGAATTCAATAGTTTTTCATAGCTACCTAATAACCATTATTCAGGGTTGTTTTAAATTTACTGAAAACCTCTGAAGTGCATATTAGTAACATTATAAACAACTTTTCTTCTGGACTAACACCGAAAACGAAAGAAAAAATTTGTTTCTCCATACAAACTAACAACATTTGTTTGGTCATTTGAATGGAGGACCAATTTTTTTTTCATTTTGACGTTGGCCAGAAAAAAAGTTGCTGTTTATAGTGTTACAAACACATACCTAAGAGTTTTACAGTGAATACAAAATCACCTATATAGAATTTCATCTATGTATTGAAAGATCCGCCATAAAAGTCACGGATACGGTTACGGATCTCTCTTCTCCCTTGGATATCCGCGGATACGGATACGGATACGGATATCCGGCACATCACTAGACTAATAATCAGTATTGTAATGTAAGTAATGTAAACAAACGAATGAAGGACCATTATTAATATCTGTCTTATTTATAATATTCATATTGACATTTATATTTTAATATATTTCAAAGGTTAATTTGGAAATTCAAAGCTGAAAATTTGATCTGTTCGTTTCAGAATTGTCCATCTTGTGCGTTGGGCACAAATGCGATAGTTTGGAGCACGGACGTCTAGTAATACGTTTCGTATAATTTTATGTAAGTTTATATTATATTGTTATTGGAATTGTATATTAATAATAATAACTTCACACATCACATCACACATTGCACTCTGAGTCCAAATTAGGCAAAGCCTGTACTATGGTAACCAAACTGCTAATAAACATCCTTGAATATTTCTAAATACATACATATTATAGATAACTTACACCCCGATATACAATAAATGATCGTGATCATCACACAATTATTTGTCCTGGATTGTAATCAAACCCATGACCTCTGGCCTAGCAGGGTCACTAACCAGACCCGTATGCATACTATATTTATTATATGCAATATATTCTTCATAGGACTGCACTCTCCATCTGCTAGGACAAATTTGCTGAGCAAAGCTCAATTCAACGAGAACCCTAGTTACTCTACACAAGGTGGCAGAAAGTGTTGTAATTTTTTCTTGGTCTCTGAATGAGTTCTCAAAAGTAACCATATTTGTAAAATGTTAAAATAATTTAAGGACCACACTGACATATTAGGGTTAGCCAATAACGATAGTGATGTTGAAGATATAGGTGTAATATAGTAGTTTGCTCAAAGTAAAGATTGATCTGTCTTTTTCAGGTGTAATGCCTCCACCGACCTCACTCTGGTGCCTTCATTAGATAAGCTGTAGCTACTACGTACGAATTGTAAATATATTTGTATCATATTAAATAATACTCCTATTTTAATGAACATAATAACGTAAGCGAACTATGTCGACGAACAACATGTACCTATATTCGAAATAAAACTCTTTTACGCATAGACGACGATTATTTTACTTTTTTTTGTCCGTTTATGTGCCAATCGTGTTTTTATGTTATGCGTGCAATACGACTTAGTAAAATAATAAAACATTTTTGGGAAACAATTCTTGATAAAATGTTTTTTACATCTGTTGTTTTACAGAAGCCATATTATTTTTCTATTTTGAATTATCGTTCAATATATATTATGTATTTCTGTTATAAACTGTTTCATTGCAAGCATGTGTTGTTTGTGTTAATAATTTTATTATCGATGACGAATCAATGTTTTGTTTTATTAACAATTCGAATCACTCACAAAAATTAGATTCTTGTGTCCTTCGCTATTTTATATATTAAATAAAATGTTTTTATTTAGAAGATGATTCATTGGTCAATAAAAATTATTATTTAAAAAATATGTCTTATTATTTAATATTCTCCTGTTGACGTTAAGTGCGTGCATGACTAGAACGTAAAAAGTAGGTTTGCCATAGATATTTAGGTAATTAACCGTGTAGTTAGAGTTGAAGTCATCATTGAGTTGAATATTATAACATTAGCAGTAGTGTTGCTCCTTAGATATAAAAAAAACAATAGCTTTCTTTGTAACTCCTTCAATAGTATACTGGGTGGGTTTAAAACTCACAAGTCATACGCGACGCTATGAGCATTATTGACTAGATTTTAAAATATTTTTAAACCTATTCTTATGCGAATTTCTGTCGATTAGTCTATTTGAATTCTATTATATCTATATTCTATTTGAATTTGAATTCTAATTTTATTACTCCCTTCACCATCAACAGCCTTTACTAGTCCACTGCTGGACATAGGCCTCTCCTTAGAAAAGAGGTTTTGGAAAACTGTACCACGCTGGCCAGACGGGTTGCTATAGCGTTTGTTTCAAGTTTTTCTGCTCTTACTCCCTTACTCACTACATATTGCTGTCTTCATGTTTTTGATAGCGGGTCGTCTGACTCACTCACAGTCGAGGGCTGAGGTGAGGCGAATCTCCCGGGGATGCAAACCTCGCCTCGCACACCCATAGAGTGATGATAAATAGAAAAGACATTTCTCAAAAGCACTCCTGTAACGCTTTCCTGGACTTAACGAGATAATACGACAATATTCTATAAATAATAATGACGAGATTTACGTTGTCTGGGGTCATGACCCCATTTTCTATGCCACAGGAAGGTTTCATGTTTTGATTTAATAATTTATTTAATGGAATACAATTTAACCAGACCTAGTTTTCCTAAGCAAAGAGAGCTATTGATGAGGTTTTTATTTGAGTTTTTAGGGAATTAAATTACAAAGTCACTGATAATTTTACGATTTTGTAAATAACAATAGATTATAAATAACATAGAGTAGATAGCAAACAATAAGTTTCCATTGAAAAATTGATAAAAAGTATCACAATCGACATTCTTTCGAAAAATAATATTCTGTCAAAGTGTCTTCTGACATACAGATGCCACATATCAAAATCGTAAAATCTTAAGAATACAAGTTTTTTTTCAACAAAATGAGTCAAATGTAAAAATAAAGTAAAAATAATGTAATTCTTATTTCAATATTAATGAAATCCAAAGCATTATTAAGGTAAAATGATAAACACATTGAACTTCGTATCTATTTATATATTAATTCTTTAGATTTTTTAGTAATGAGTTATAATTATAATAAAAACAATATTAATTTCTGCAGCATCAAACACCTCTGTGTCGGCGCACAAGGGCCCAAAGTCCGTCCAGTGTGAGAACTATAAAAAAACACCAATGCTCTGTTTCTAGAGGTTATAGACATTAAAACATACAATGAATAATAATCCCAAACCTTCAAACCACCATCCAGAGAGCATCATATCCGTGAAGTGTTCTTGTGTACACTGTGATTCCAATTCTTGTTTCGCAAAAAGAAGTAAGTATCATTGTGCATTTCAAAATTGCAATGATTCAAAACTTAGTCACCCCGAAAACGGCAACAGAGAACTTGGAAAGAAACGTTGTGATGACATAAATGCAGTCTATCTAAATCCAGCGAAGCCTATGGTTAATAAAGAACTCGAGGAATTAACTGATGATGAAGTTAATTATGAATCAGAAAGAAAAATATTAATAGAGATGAATCAACCGTCGCCGCATTCTTTAGACGAATACTTAGATCGCTTATTATGTGTAGATAAAGCCTCATCTAAATTCAAGCAAAAACCGCCATCGTTAAGTGGATATATAGAAATTATATCAGAAAATGCTGCGTACAAACGAAAGCTTAATTTGTTTAACGAATATGTAGATAATTTGAAAGCAGGGAAATATTCGAAAGGATGTGATGACGTAACTTGTTTTGCAGCTATTCAGAATTCATTACGTCCACAGCAATGGTATAATAGACTCTCAGAAATATCGGGTCAGCCTAAAACAACAACAACAAAGTGTAAAGGTAGAACATTCCACAATTGTTTAGATAAAGAAAAACCAAGTGCTCAACATGTTACTCAAATTCAAAATACAACAATTTCAAATCCCAAAATGAATTATAAGTCTTCGAAGTCAAACACCGAAGCGCCTAACGTTTTTTGTGGAAATTGTAACGATTCTAGTAAAACACCCGCATCCAATGATAATACTTATTTTAAGTATGATATTTTAAAAAAATTGAAAGATGCATGCATAGCGTGCAGTTGTAAAGTATGCGAGTGTATTGCTCCAAAATCGATTACTAATGAAATATGTAAATGTAAACCTTGTCAATGTGCAGAATGCACGGGTTACGCTGCAACACAGTCAATTTACCGGGGCCCCCAACTGTCTCCTACATTAAGTTGCAGTTGCAGTGAATTTAGTAACCAAAGTGCAATAAAGATACAGGATAAATGCTCTTGTTCACCGTGCGAGTGCAAAATGTGTAACATCAATAATTCAGCTAAATATACTGATATGCGAAAGCCGCCACTAGCGCATCAACCTTTGGTGGTAGCGTCTGTATCAGGTGTTGCATGTACCTGTTTACCATCTAACTGCAGTGAATGTTTGCGAAGTTATACGGACGTACAAAAGTTTACCGATGAAAAATACAAATGTTTAGACAGAAGTATAACTAATTGTAACCAACCAGAAGAGACAATAAGTGAAATTTACCGTCATTCAAATAGCAAAAACAAAAATATTAAACAGAATTTTGTGGCCTTGTGTACTGGTATGCCTCGATTGAATACGTATCGTGGCTACGAAACCAAACGTTCTAAGACTTGTGTTTGCAAAGAATGTGAATGCATAACATGTATTTGTAAAGAAAACACTATAAATACTATAAAGTCATCAGGATTATTTCCAAAAATTGATGAGGATACCCATTTATTAAAATCAAATAGCGGCAACAATCATTACCACGGGAAAAGGCCTTACAAGGTCTGTAAGAGCTGTTCTCGAAAAAGGGATCTGCTTGATCGTTCTACTGATAAATGGGGAAAACACGCTCCTTGTCATACCTTTGATCAGTGCATTCGTTTGAGTGATGAATCAAGTAACCCAAAAAGTCACTTAAATCGCTGTCGATGCACTAACTGTCGGTGTGAGCGCTGCATTGCTCACAGGTTTGTTTCTAACTATTCTAGTACAGTTGGCGTTGGTCCAATCAAAAAAGGTGACGTATTAAGTCCCTCAGCGCACCAGACCAAACTGGAAAATCTAAAGGTAGAAGGAAAGGCGACATCTACGCCTTCATATAATAAATATGAATCACGTTACAGAGACGTAAATTTATATATTAATTCTCAGACGGAAAATATATGTCCTAAAGATGTTACGTCCCAGCCATCAGTTAGTCGGCAAGCAAAGCGCGATACGGGAACAATGTTATCAAAATCCTTTAATAGATTGAATATATTGCAATGTGATGCGTATGTTCATAGTCAAGCATTTAATTTACCAAAACCTGTACTAAAAAATAGTTTCACGACGTCTAGAAGTCGTAGTAGCATTTACTCAATTACTAGACCGCCATCTCAAGTAAATAATAACGGGAAGCCTGAGTCGGCAAATACTCAGAAATCTTTAAGAAGGTCCTATCATAGATCCGGTCACGAGAACAATAAACTAGGCGTAAATAATATGTTCTCAGAAAAACAAGAAGATAAACAATCTCCTTTTAATATTCTGGCAGAAGTCACTTTTTCAAAAGTGAATGAAAATGAAAGTAAAAACGGTTCATATTCTAATGGGCAAGTATTAAAAGGCGACATAGGAAAATATAAAACTAATAATTGTGTTTTACAACGTGCTAACAATATTATCACAGAAATCACATCAACAAATAAAACAAGTAAAAGCGAGAATAAAGTTTGCTCTCCTAATGGACAAGCTCAAGGAAAGGAGTCGAACAAAATAGAAAAATCAAATAATGAAATTGTGTCGAACAATAATCAACCTGTGAAAAGCTTTTCCACCTCCGCGATAACGACACTTGAGAAATTAATTGCTTTAAGCTCTGAACAGATAAAAAACAAAAGCAGTAAGTCATCAGTTAATAATGGCAATAACTTTAATTGTTTCCGTGTGCTACAGAATTCGAAACAATGTAGTTTGATTAGCAATATCAACCACTATAACTCACCAAGAGTAAAATTACGTGACTTGTCGACAAATAGTAATTTATTGGCCATAAAAAAGGAAAATGAAAAGGCTCGTCAAACTATAGAAGATGCAAAGAAGTTTACTTTACACCTACTAGGCTTGTTAGAAATGTATGAAAAAGCAAATAATGAATTTGTAAAAACCTCTGATAAACTTAAAATTGCCTATAGATCTATATTAGATCGAAACTTGGTCCACAATGAAGAGAAAAATATCAAAACTACAGAAAATTATAATGTAATTATAGAAAGTAAATCAGAATCGCCATTGAATGAATACGCAACTCCAACTTTGAATATAAATGTGTGCTCAAAATATGAGCCGGTATCATTTGAAGATATCATTGCAAAACGTTTAAATTATTGTATGAAAACTTCACCACAGCCAGAATTAGGTCATATGAATGGGCTTACATCGAATATAGATTCGGTAGTAATGGAGACTGTAAGTAAAAATGCAAACAGTGAAGAAGATGCACATAAAAACTACGAAAGAATTTGCTACGCTGAAGTGCAAAATGGTCATAATAAAAGGTATTTTAAGCACAAAATTAACCCTGAATATGACAAAAACCTGCATTTTAATACAAGCAAAATACTAACAGAAATCACACGGTACGCAGATTTAAAACCAGGTAAGAAATAGGCAATATATCTATACAACTAATAAGCCAAATAAATTAAATCGAAGAGTAGGTATATTTATTACAAATACTGTTCAATTTTATTTATTTGTCGTAATAATAGTTTCTTTACTGAATTTATGCATCTGAATGTTTGTAAATTACACACATAAATAAAAAAAAAACGAATTGTGTGTCTGTCCGTTTGTCTGTCTATTTGTTTAGGCTAATCTCCATAAAGCTGCGATAGGTATCTGCCCGTCCCGCAACAGTTAGCCATTCGTAAAGCCATTTAAAGACGAATAATAGTAATTTTAATTATTATTAAACTAGCTTTTGGCTCCGCCCGCGTAATTATCGGTTATCGAGGTAAAACGTAACCTATGTCTTTCCTCAATCAATGTTTCTTTATTTCATCTAAATCGGTGGTTCAGCGGTTATTGATTCCCCATACAAACATCCACCCCCCTTTTCACCCACTTAAAGGATGTTTTCTGGGATAAAAGCCCTATGTCCTTTCCCATGACTGGGACGATCTCTGTACTAATTTTCATCTACGAGTAAATTGGTTCAGCGGTTTGAGCGTCAAAAGGTAATAGACAGACACACTTTCGCATTTATAATATTAATATAGACTAGCCTAGATAGTATTTTAACCGACTTTAAAAAAAGCTGTAGGTTCTAAATCTGGCTTCTTTTTATGTTTGTTACTGATAGTAAACGACACCCTAGTAGTGTGGTTCAGTGGTGTCGTTTACAATAATGAGTTGATGCATTGAAGTCAGTTTTTTTTAAAGTAAATTGAGTTTTTTGTTCACAATTTTAAATATTTTGATCACACAATGGTTTGACAGATAATAAGCGAAACGTGTAGGTTATATGTGGAGGAACGGGTGTCATGTCCCTCCAACACAAGGGAGGGCCCTCCGACCAAGCGAGGTCATCATGCCTGGCGGCCCACGGCCCAACGGTTGATGTTGGGAAGTTCTATATTATATGCCAATCGGCGAAAGAATTCTTCATATCGCGATACAGAATTATTGCGCTTTAGTACGTTTCTGTTCTTTATATGTGGGAGTCGCCACATTACTCCCCTCCAAGACCGGAGGTCGATATCTGGATGAGTCAGATGTCTGTGCCCTGTTGTGGAGCGTGCCAGTGTCAGTAGTGAGTAGTCGCAGTGAGTCGGAGTCGGAACTGACTGCCGCTAGTCCCAGTGAGTCGGGGCCGAAGACCGCTGATCCTAGTGAGTCGGGATTGCATGCGGTATGTAGGCGGTTGCTGCGTAGGGGTAACCAGGCTGGATCTGTCGCTACCTGCGTGTGGTATTCCTGTTGATTACTGCTCATCGTTGTACGTTATGGCGATGGTGCTGCTGCTGAACTTCTTTGAAGGCTGCTTCCAATCGCGTCGGGGTCACCACTTTGGAGGAACGGGTCTCATGTCCCTACATGATGTTGGGAAGTTGTATATATGCTAATCGGCCAGATAATTCTTCATATCGAGAATTCTTCATACAGGATTAGTAACTCTCATTCAGGAGTTACTCCGTTCGGGGTGTCTTCGTTGGATGGCGCTGTAGTATATTTCTGGTTTTTTGTATGTGGGAGTCGCCATATATTTATATGTACCGACCTGTATAGTGCTAAGGACCACGCGCAGTACATGAATATTTTATATTATAAAAGACATTTTAAAATTACTTATTCTTCTAAATTGGTTATTTATGGTCATCATTGTCGTAGGACCATGGTTTTTCATGGTTTGTCGTAGTACCATGTTTAATCTATTGGGCATTTGATACCAAAAACTATTTTTTTTAAGATTTTAATTTACCACTTTGTCGGCGTGTTAAATTCATGAAAAATCTTTCAAGGCAAATAAGGCTTTCTTATTAGGAAAAGCGGTATGAAAACAATCATTAATATGAATTTTCTAGTTCGTTTGGAGCAGGAGTTCGAATGTGACAATTAATTTAAAAAAAACTGACTTCAATTATCTATAATTAATGATAAATTGTGGTAAGCTGTATTCTTTAACAAATTTAAGTAGAAGCAAATTAAAGGACAGCCTATTTAAAAAACACAAGACGAAAATATCGCGATTCGAATTCGCCAAAAATTGAGATATTATTTTTTTATTACTAATTCTTATTTCAAAAAGTTTATTTTTTTATATAAGGTTTATCCATAGATTATCTGTAGAATTTAATTAATAAAATAAATTGTATTCTGGTTTTTATAGACGAATTTGAGTCATTTATTGAGAGTGTTGAGCATCTGTCCATATCCACTTCTACAGATACAACAAAACAATATATAATTAATCCTAAGACGAAAGAGGTGAGCCTTTTAAATTGTAATAATGTATTATGAACTGTCATATTACTAGATAATTATTATACATAAAAGATTTCTCACAGGAAGAAGAAACAACAAGTCCAGTATGTAGAAAGAGTTTTGGATTTACGGCTAAACCGAATATTATAAGTAAGGGAGCAGGCATAAGTGGAGTTTCATCGATAGAAGTTGATACAAAGGGGACGATGCTGTCAATATCACTTCATAATAATACTACAAATACGATAAAAATTGAAAAAAGTCACAAAAATGAAGCTTTGGTAAGTTTTCTAATTAAAATAGCTGCAAAAGCAATCAAAATCGAAAGGAATTGAAATGGAGGTATATAATTTATAATTGCGACGCTATGGAGGGCCATAACAAACACAGCTTAAAAGTAATAATAAAAACTTTACACATCTCACACCACAGCAGTCTAATCCTAAACTAGGCAGAGCCTGTACTATGATAATCAGACTGCTGATAATCATACTTATGTATATATTTTTAAATACATGCATATTATAGATAAATAACACTCTGACACAGAACAAATAATGATCATGCTCACCACACAATTATTTGCTTTTGGTAGGAATCGAACCCACTCCCTCTAACTTAGCAGTCAAAATCACTAACCACTAGGCCAACAGGGCAATCATTCAATTAGGAATGTTTTTTTTAAATGCCACCATTCCTATTGTTATGGCCATTCTGTGATAAATTAAAATAGTCATTTAATTTAGCGGTTTATGTATGTGTAATCTGTAAATATATAATATTTTTAGAGTCAATTACAGTTAGAAGTAAGAAAACACTTGGAGCTGGCAATCTTAGAACCTTTAAACTACGCAGATGACTCTGAAGATAGCTTGCTAGAATCACGAAGTCTCTTTGATGAGGTGAGATTAAATTAATTTTATCTGCACATTCAAGTATACTAAACAATTTACAGGAATTCAGCAAAATTAACACTTCCTAATAGACAGAATGCGATAGTCATTCCTTTTTTTATGGTATCGGCGGCAAACGAGCGCACGTCTCACCTGATGGTAAGCGACTATCCCCGCCCATGGACTAGTGCAACTCAAAATACAAACGCTTTGCCGTTCTTTAAGTGTCTCTCCAGAAAAGGGTAGATACCTAGGTTTAAAAAAAAAATTCGCCACCTTATTAAATGTGACGTATTAATTTAGAGCCTAAATTATCCTCTATTATCCTCTATTATCAATTAATATTTTTATTCATTTGATATCTTGATATGAACAAATATACTAATCCATATTATGTACTATATAATATTATAAAATCTAAAGTGTCTGTCTGTCAGTTACCTCTTCACGCTTAAACCGCTGAACCAATATTTTATATTGAGATAGTCAGAGTCCCTTGAAAGGACATATAGTAGTTTTTATATAATGAATCATCGTTTAAGGGAGTGGAAAGGAGGGTGGAGTTCTGTACGAGGCATCAATAACCGCTTAACCGATTAGATGAAATTGAGTATGGACATACTTTGATTCTTGAGAAAATACTACTTTTAACGCGGTAACCGACATATGGCGTAGTGTTTTGTGTAACGGACTGTGTATTCTAAAGGTTGCGGGTTCGATTCCCGCTCAAGTCAAACATTTGTGTGTATGAACTTTTAATGTTTGATTTGGTCTGGGTCTGGGTCTGGAAAAAAAATACATTTGTATTTATATCAGTTCTCTAGTACAAATAATAAAAGCTCTGCTTAACTTGGGTCTAGAGGGCGTTGTGTGAATGTGGTAGAATATTATAATATTATATACGCGGGCTGAGCCGCGGGATAACAGATAGGTATGACGTTACGAAATAGTATTTCATACTAAACATGTATAGTCTAAACGTTTGACGTTTATTAAAAAGATGTTGATTTGATTAGACGGTCATCTACCCTTTTAGATTCTATACTCGGGCCTGGGCTCGACTCATCCGATGAAAAGCAATAAAAATATGAAAAAATATATTAACACCGGTTTTCTATGAGTAGTATAATTTTTTTCGAAGCAGCCCATAATATATAACAAACCTCTAATATATAATAAACATACCTCTTCCACTGCAAACGTTAAATTAATCAAAAGTGCTAAAATATTTCACAGTATATTTTTTACTCAAGTATAGAATCTAAAAGTTAATCGAATAATAAGAATCCGATAGATTACCTACACGATGAAGATGCGATATAGTTTAAGATACATATAGGAATAACGTGTAAAACCGTTGTAAATAGTTAAATACTGTTAGTTTCTAAATGAACTACTTACGGTTAAGTTTCTTACGCACACGGCGTACAATTTCATAAATATTTTTTCAGAGTATATTGAATTTGAAAATTATGGAACGACCAAGAGAAAACAAATCAATAAATGAACAGCCTGAACAAGCCGATAAAGAAGTATGGTGCAGTGACCAGAATTTATTGGTAAAATTTCGAACAAAATTGTTAGCACCATTCGCCACGTATAATTGTCAACGTAACCTTCAAAACAGATTCTTTATTAAGCTTTAGATATGCCCAATATTAAATATCACACCTAAATGGTATGTGAGCTATAAAGTACATTTGGTACCTACTAAGAGGAAACCTAAAATATGTCACCAATTTTAATCATTTATAAAGAGGGTAAAAGCAGAAATGCAAATTAATGTGATGCGAATTGACTGACAGCTACTTTGTAACTGTCAAAAATTGCTAAAACCTTTCTAAAGAGAGGCCTATGTTCAGCAGTGGACTACTAAAGGCTGTTGATGATGATGATGATGTTGTAACTGTCAATTCTGTGTGGAGTAATGCTGTTATCAAGAGAGTAGTTATTGTTACATCACATCAACAGCTTTTAAGAGTCCACAGCTGGACATAAGCCTCTCCTTAGAAAGGAGGTTATTGTTACATAGAAATATATTATTGTTTACTTGCTCAAAACGTTGTTACATAAGTCAATTTGTTTTAAACACTGGATCTAAACGAATCAATGAATAAAATAATGTAAATCTTAAGCTAAGTGTATAAAAAAATAACAAATATTTATATTTAGAAACGATGTCTCAGTAAAATGAATTACAAAATAACTAGACAGAAAAATGACACTAAATTTGTGTGGAATTTTTAGGACGACTTTAAGAGACAAATCAGAGAACAGCTGAAAGTAGCCAGCATGCACCCACTCATGAATAAACAGAGCAGTCTTTTCTCTTACAGCTGCAAAAGTGTAAGTTTCAATATCTGATTTAAGTAATAGATTTAATGTAAGTAGTTTTGGAGCAGTCAGCCTGCGAAAAACTGTGCTATCCTGGCCGCTATTACATCTTTTACTGTATGGAAATTACTTACAAGGTCCTTAAGATGTTTTTCTTTTGTTTTATTAGACCGGTGTATAAAATTACCGTAAAACTTTTTCTGGACTTTAAAAAAAGTCTTGCAACACGTGAGAAATTGTCATCTGAAAAAGGTCCTGACTATTATGCTAATGCCGTCTCGTTACTATACGAAGTTTTTCTATGTTCAGTTGAACACACCAAGTTTTTGTGACGATAGCTTTAAATCAAGCGACCGAGTTTCTTATTAGATATCAGGTTTTGCAAGCGACTCTCGTAAAAGTGTTAATTTTTAAATACCTTTAGAAATAGTAATATTCTTCTGGATGAAGATATGCGCCTTTGCTCTGAAAGATTAAGTTCTTTTCTGTATTCCTGGTAACTTGAATACTTTCAGGATCTTGGGATGAGCGCTATGCAGCGCACAAAGAATAACCACACAATAGTACATACCTTAATTCTAAAATAAGGATAATACGAGCAAAAGGCACATCTGTTGCGTGTATTGTAAATGACACCACTGAACTAGCACACCAATGGGGTGTCGTTTACAATATCTTTTGTTAACGAAACCACCGCTGAGTAGTAATGTACACACAATGTATATTGTGAGTGTACATCACATTGTGTCACAACGTGAAATAAAGCAATTCGTTACCTACGTGTTAATTTTTAATGATAATGTTGAAATTAGTCGAGTTCACTGGGATTCATAAACATAATAATTATTTCCATTACAACAAAAAACATTTAAATTAATTTATAAACTTTATCTAGTAATTATACAATATTAGTCTTTTATCTTTGTTTCACTTCATCTATTTTCTTTTCTCGAAACTTTTAGAAAAAGCTTTTTAAAATGGTGGTGATCTTAGGAATTAATAATAAGTAATATCGATAAATGCATAAGTTTTGTGTAAGTACTTCATTACGGTGGTGAGGCAGTGGCGTTAACAAAAAAGAAAAATTGAAAACGTTGATCTGAAGGCCAATTCACGTGATAAAAGTTCAGTCGCAATTCAATACGATTAACTCTCGATCTCGCAACTGTCATAAAAGGTATTTTCGTAGTAAAATAGTAAAGTATTACTAAGACTAGCAGATTATCGATTCAATATACGATTTCAATTCAATATAATTATATTACCTACAGTCAACGTTGGATGTTTAATGCTTTTAAAAAAATCTTTATGACTGAATTGCGACCGAACTTTTATTACGAGAATTGGCCTTCTGTTGTACATTACATTTTTTGGAAACACTGACGAATTAATCTAGGCCGAGTCTGTATCTTAGACACCAGTTTCTTCCCGTGCTACAGTTCACGCTAATAGTTAGGTACACCAAACAAAGTTCAACTTGTTGTGTACAATAACCGGTATTTTCTTTCTTGTTCTTTCTTTTTAAACAAGATTATCAGTACAGTTATACAGACACACACAGAAATAATTAATGATTAAAAATATTTACAGGAATGTGAAGACCTGAAAGCAAAGTTTCTGGTTGTGAGAAAAATATCAGAGCACACTGTATTAATTGAATGGAGCCAACCTCATGGACTTAGCGTGCAAGGATACGAAGTTAGTAACTTTTTCTATATAACTAATGCTTGTCATCAATTTCTTGGTTTTTCTGAATTAGGTATATATCGGGTTTGCGCTTTGTTATCATTGCAAAAGGTTTTACCTGACTTGGAGGTATGGTGAGGTATGGTGATGTAGAGACAAGGAGAACCGTCTCTTAAGGGTCGGAAGTTGAAAGCTGTATACTGAAAATAGAGGCCGCTGCCATACGAAAATCTACGATATGAACATAGCCGTTGTAGACGGAGTGAAGTGTGCTGAGTTAAAATATTATAATACTTTTATTAATTATTACACGTTTATTTATTGTCTGTAAAACTCATTGACTATTTTTGCTCTCTAGTACACAGTGTCAAATTATTATTTAATTCAATATAAATTTATCCTACGCTACCGCAGCGCCACCCTTATTGGACGCGTTTTTAAGGAAACTTTCCTACACAGAGATGGTTCTCCTTACCTCTACGCTCCATACTTTAAGCCCGGCTGCCTGTCGGAAATGTAATTGTATTAAGGACGGTACAAAGGAAGAATTTTAAATGTTACCAATTAGGGAAGGAAAAACGGATATTCATTCATATTTGGCTTTAAACTTTAATTAAGATTGAATGACTTGCGTAATACTAAAATTCAGTTAGCAGAATGTTTCGTATAAACGATTTCTTATTTGCGTTTTCGATACGTATCGTTTGCGTTTCGGGCGTTCATAAGTTTTGGCCCAAATATGTGCAACTTCATTTTGTCAGTGCCTATAAGCATATATATCTTTTTTTCCAGTTACTAGTGGACGGGAGGACGGTTCAGACAATAATGAACCCTTCAAAATGTATGACGGCCATAACTTGTTTGCCACACGCTGACAAGATACTCCTCACGATTCGTACCATCACGTTTGTTATGCCTGAAGTTGGCCATTATCCGACTAACACTACTATTTATCGGCCGCACCAACAGTAATTATTGTGCTAATTATTGAATAAAGTTTTTTTTTGTGAAATTTCTTTATTTGAATTTAAAGTACCTCTTGCTCTTTATTCACAAGGTGTATAATTCAAGCATGATTCGGCTGCTTCCACGCCTTTTTACTATAAATGCGTAAGTACGCAAGTGTAACTAATTAGGCTTTAAAAAAAATATATATCTAAAAACACGATACGAGAAGTATACCAACTTTTCGAACATACAAGCATAAAAATCATAGAGATACAAGCATAGAGAGAACACGGGGTACAGCTGCATGTAAATGGAAGCGATACAGACAACGAGAGAGATAGATGCCCGACAGTTCACTCTTATCTCTTTTTAGCTAAGCTGCGATTGGATATCGTGAATGGTTTCAATCGTTGAACAGGCGGGAAATAAGAAATTTCCCCAGCCAACCACAGAGCTCGACTAAAAAGAGATGAAAGAGGTAGTGAGAAGTATCTATTATAAATCACTCTCGTTGCCTATATTGCAAGATTGGGGCTCTAGTTCACTCTATGCTTATATCTCTATGATCTAAATACTACATGGAAAAAGATGCGACTATTTTAGCACTACTAGCAACTACAAGACAAGCAAAGATTTGTCAAACTTTTTATTCAATAAAAAAACTTTTTTTTAGCTAGACAAATTTTTAGAACAAAAAGATTATTTTGATGTTAAATAAAATAAGATAAAAGAAAGATATTTAAAATCTATTTCACATTTGGATCGTTTCTTGTATTTGTTTTAATTCGAGACAAGTTCAACAGACACTGATTTGGTTTAAAAACAAAATTAAATGTAACGAATTTTAGAGAGTGAGAGTTATCTACAGTTTTGTTTTAGTTCTTTATGCGTCTAAAATATGAGATATATGATAATATCTATTTAACTGTAGGTTTAACCAATTTGACTATTTTTAAAACAACGATATCATTTATCATCCTGGAAAATGTGGAATTTAGATGAATAGAAATACCAACCAGTTCAACAGATTCGTGTTTATTTTCTGTTTTCAATGAATGAAAACAGAAATTAAACACGAATCTTTCACCTGTGCTGAGGATTTTTGTTGAAGATATCAGACCTTATACATAGATACAAATAGTCCATTGTAGTGTAGTGTTATTAAACGAAATAATAAAGCCTTTGCATTGTACATTTTTTTTTTATTAGTAGACTTTACTTGTCACTACCTTAACTATTTTTGAAATGGCAACTTTGGCCCAAACGCAGTGTCAAGTTGAAACTTGTCAGTGTTTGTTTACGAATTTGATGAATTATGTTGTGGTTTTATCAGTTTTCAATATTTATTTATTTCTAATAGAATGGAAGAATTTAAATATTGTAGAGTATGTTTGGTGACTGACGTAAAGATGCACAGTCTGGACATAGTTTCAAATGAATCGATAGGACTCATTTATTCTCATTTGGCACAGATTCGGGTATAAAATTGTCTTTATTTTTTCATATGAATAGATGTTTACATATATGTATTTGTTAAATATTGGTGTAAGTGAAACAAATGAGAATGTTTTGTTAAAGAATTTTCTAACCAGCATGATAGCGTAATGTGTTTTGTTAACACAACATATTATTATTTATAACGGGAAAAAAAACAGAGCTAATGTAACTCTTAAACATATATCGATATTTATTGAATAATAATAAACTTTATAAGGCAATTATAAAAAATACAGCACTTTGAATATTCTGAATTTTATTTTGATCTTGATAAATCTTGATCATTAGTCAATCAAGAGAGAAATCTTGTTTAACAATGCATGAACTTAGTGAAATCATAAGTACATATATGTATAATATGTATGTTTTTACAAAAAAAAAATACAAGTATTCTATCAGTCAATCTAGCTTTCATGGTACAATCTTAGTTTAAAACTAGATGGTGTTGTGCGTCAGATGTCCAAAAAAATGATATCATCATAAGTGGATTAATCCAAACAAATATTGATTGTAAGTCTGGTTTGAACTAAGTATACACTAGACTTGCAACGAATAGTATATTCGGCAGTATACCGAATACCGAATATTCGGCGAGGCCCCTGACCGAATAGCCGAATATTAGGCAAAAGTATTCGGCTGGATTTTAGCGCCAAAAACTTGTATAGACGTGAATTAAATTATGTACCTGTTTTATGTACTTAATAAATGATTATAAAAGAAATGAGAACCTTACCCTTCTAAATTTTGATTACCACAATAATTCAAATACATAGAATCCTCCATTTTTCCAATTCAGAAGATGATTATGTACCTGTGTTATGCACCAATGACTACTTAAATGATTATAACAGAAATGAAAATATGAATATATACATAATCAATCGATTTTAATTTTTCATTTTACCAATTATTTCTCAATGACAAAATATATTATTTAAGTATTCGGTATTCGGCCGAATAATATGTAGATATTCGGTATTCGGCCGAATATAATAAAAGCAGCCGAATAGGCCGAATACCGAATAGTAACCGAATATTCGTTGCAAGTCTAGTATACACTGAAAAATTGAATTTTGTTATTTGTTCTTAATCTCTTATATTATTCATGCTTATGCAATCATCAAATCCATCACATCACAGTCACAGAGACTGTGATGTGATGGATTTGATTCCTATATTAGCTAAATAACTTTGTGTTGTGTATCTTTGAGATAATAATAATTGGACACATCTCACACACGGCTCCCGGCACTTGATCCCAAACTAGGTAGAGTATATGGTAAGCAGACTGCTGATACACATACTTATAGAGATAAATTACACCCAGATAAGTAATGAATGATTGTGCTCATTACACACTATTTGTCCTGGGTTGGGAAATGAACCCACAACCTCCGGCTTAGCAGTCAGCGCCACTAACTACTAGACCAACAGGCCTTCAGATAATTTCCTATATCAGCTTAAATGACAATCCACTTATCTCTTATTGGTGAGAGTGGTAAGATATAATATGGCAGTACCATATTGACAATAATAAGCTCATTCGTATTTATTTTGAGCATGTGAAAATCCCTTTAGGATTAACCTCTCAAAGTTATCACTGTCATAGATGTAATATAAATTTTATAATTTAATACTGTGGCTAAATAAAAGTAGGTCGGATGCTTACTTCTAGTAATTTCATCAATCACATCAACAACCTTTAATAATTCACTGCTGGACTTAGGCTTCTCCTTAGAAAGGAGTTTTTGGCCTACTATACCACGCTGGCCAGATGGGTTGACAGGATAGGGTTTTTTGTCAAGTTTTCCTTCTCTTTGTAGTGCTGTTGTCCTGCATAGTTTTTTCCTTAAGTCCCACCCATGGGATGAATAGGTGTGGTGACACTCTGTCACCTAATATATATTAACTATGTCATTCATTTTAGATCTGTGATAGAAATCAACATGTATGTTTTGAATGTGCCAGTTTACTGCAGAAATATCAGTTATTTAAATCAAAGTGCATCAGGGCTCACAATATACTATCAAATATTACAGTTAATTCAACAGAGGTAAGTTTTAATTCATGATATATACTTGAAGCAACCTTAAAATATTTTTTTCTTCAGAATCCAATATATAATTAGTCTTTATACATACTTTCGTATGTGTACATTTTGTAGTATTAAATATCAAAAAATTTGATGAAACAAAAACTATTTCAATCTCATTTCACAATTTAAAAAAAAAAGTACATATTTAAGTATGTAGATAAGTGTATTGTAATATGCTAATGTTGCTGTAATATTTGCAAATATGGTTTTAATATACTTTGCAGATAACAAAACAAGTAATTCTGAACATAGACAGGAAAGAAAACAAATTGGAATCTTGTTACACATTATCTACAATAAAAACATGTTACGATATCCCTTTGGAATATTCAAAAAATGAAGTCACTGAAACAGATAAAATATCTTTAAATAAACATCAAGAAATTAATATTGCAGAAGTTGATATTAAACCTGAATTCAAAGACTTATATGATAGTAGCAATCCAACTTCTCATATGTTAACTGAAGATGACTGCATTGAGTCTGAAAAAGTAATTTCATCATTAAAAAAATTAACACACACTACAAAAGATCCTAAAATAAGAAAAGCAAAAATAAAAAACGAAGCATTTGTTCCTGATAAAGAAGAAAAATGTGATCCTTACGAATCTCTTGATGAGGTAAACGACAATGATCTGATAGAATCGTCTGAAGAGATTAAAACATCATCGCAAAAACCTCAAGAATCAAAGAATAAAAAACAAAAATACACAAAAGAAAGCAGTGATGATGATCTTAGTGATAATGAACCGTTATCTAAAAGAGTAACTAAAGACGTGAGCGATATACGAAATCCTGTTAATAAGAAAAACAATATAGAACCTGATTCGTTTAATGACTACACCACGGTTAAGTTCCTTACACTTGAAGACGCCAAAAAAGAGTTACTTTCACGAAAAGAATCTAGTAATTACAAAAGGTCGCCGTTTAAATGTGAATACTGCTTTAAAGGGTATGAAGCACAAACAGCTTTTGACAATCATATGAAAAAACATAGCAGAGTAAGTGTTCTTTTATAATGATTAAAGTAGAGAATAAGAGGTGTCCAAAAATTAACAGTTATTTTGTGTTGCTAGGCAAAATAAAATATTATTTTCATTATTTTTTTTTGATAATAAGTAGCTACGTAATTTATTATAATTTTTTGCAATAATTTACTATTTTACTGTGGACATGACTTGATGTCGAATAAGCAATACAGCATCTAGCGTTTTTAAATATTAATTTTTCATTTTTTTTACCTTGCTTTGGCCTATGATCAAAGTAAAATACCTTTCAAACAAGTAACAAGCAAACCTTATTGGTTGAGAAGTATTACGCTTTTTAAAAAAAAATGAAAAAGTATGTTACCCATTTTTTAGTAACAGTGGTTTAATAATAGTAATTTAATGCTGCTCTGAGAATGAATGGTCTTGTCACGAGACTGCTACAATATTGGTTTAATATTATGTGAAAAGCATGCTATTACATTTACAGGAACATGGCGACTATGAATGTGAAGTATGCTACCTCCGATTTCTAAAACCCATATACTTATGTAAACACAAGTTGTCATGTCACAAAAGAAAATTTATTTGCAAGCTATGCCCATACATATGTTATTGCATGTAAGTACCTTCATTCAAATAATTTTGCTTTATTTTGTGCTGTTGCTTGTATTCTATTTCTCTAAAATCGGGACAAATAGTCCAGTAATAGTGTCGTAATACGGACAGTGCTCCTACTACGCCTAATATTGCGGTTCACGTTTGCGGATGTCTTGATGGAAGTAGCCCTCGATATCATCAGAGAGGGAGTTTGAAACCGGAACCGGAGTGATATCACTCCGGTCCTATTCGTACTGAAGCATGGCTCTCCACTGGTGACTAGTCCTTTTAGCTGCCTATACAGTTCTTTTTTACCCCCCAAATCCAGACAATGCACGAATACAAAATTTGGTTGGGTGTTTCTATGTATAAAATGTATGTATGTACAAAAAAAGTATAAATGTCTTTGTATCAGTTGTGTAGTACCCATCGTACAAGCTCTGCTTAGTTTGGGACTAGATGGCGTTGTCTCTATGTGGTAAAAAACAGGAAGAAAAAAAAAACCGAGCTAAGAAAAAACCATTGAACTCGCGACACTGTTACCGTTACCGAAACCAGAGGTTTCGGTAACGGTAACAGTGTCGCGAGTATCTGTATATAATCTCTGTATATAATTATCTAAATATATTTACACGAGAGTTGAGTTTGGGTTGAAATACATTGATAATATATTTATATACAATACTAGCTGACCCGGCAAACGTTGTATTGCAAAACAAAAAAAAATTAGGGATGGGTCAGCCTTACCATTTAGGTGTATGAAAAATAGATGTTGGCCGATTCTCAGGCCTACCCGATGGCCACACAAAATTTCATGAGAATCGGTCAAGCCGTTTCGGAGGAGTACGGGAACGAACATTGTGACACGAGAATTTTATATATAGGATAAACATAAAGTAGGTATACACGTACAACACTTATATATTCATTTCGGAACTCTTTGAATCCAAAAAACAATTATTTTTCTATCATAATTAATCAAAAAAATTGAAATTTTCCAGTTTTCAGTTCTGTTAGCACTCCCGGAGTGTCACTGTTTTTGACATATATTTTTTCTATGTTTTAGGGATCAGGCTAGAACTCACGTCAGTCTTCACCAAGGAAAAAAATATCCGTGTAAAGATTGTGGAGAAATATTCAGGTAAGGAGCAGCATGAGCATATAGGTATATAATAATAAAAGAGTAATATTACCTTCTTTCTAAAGAGAGGCCTATGTCCAGCAGTGGACTATTAAAGGCTGGATGGAAAGGATGTGTGTAATGTAAATATTTATCGTCAAATATGTAGGAACACCATAAAGTAGGGATATATTGTGTACATATTTTACGCAACTGCAAAGTTTAAGTATTCTTGTTACTTGCTCAGATTTTATTTACCTTCGGTGTACATCTTGAATTATTTAATTATAAAAAAGCGAGCCTTGTAGGAGTGTCGTATAATGTGTAACATCTGATATCTCAACTACCATTTGACGGCCAATTCTTACACCGCTCGCACTCATTTGTCAAATCAAATTGCATGCTCTTAGCCTGCAATTTGATTTGACAAATGAGCTGTTACACATTTCCGTCCCTTGTTACGAAATAACTTTCACAAATTCTAAGAAATTGAAAGGAGAGATGTTAATGTCCTTTGTTGGAATTTTTAATCTATAACCAGCTGACCCGCTCAAGTCTCGTCTCTCGAAAGGAAAAAAAACATCGCCATTTTTGCAACACTTTTCATTGATGCTCGGCTCCTATTGGTCGTAGCGTGATAATATAAAGCCTTCCTCGATAAATGTGCTATCTAACACTAAGAGAAATTTCTAATTCGAACCAGTGGTTCCTGAGATTAGCGTGTTCAAATTAACACACAAACGCTTTAGATTTATAATATTCTATAGATATAGAATTCGGGAGGTTTTTTGTCAATGCCAACCTGGTAAAGAGGACTTTTTATTAATATTTGGTTCTTAATTTGTCAGTATGCCGAATAGTTTACTAATGCACAAACGCATGAAGCACTTTGACGCGTCGGTGCCGGAGAACGTGTGTGAGTTTTGTGGGAACATTTTCGGTTCTGCTCGAGGACTATTTCTGCACAACATGAAGTTGCATCGGACGGTAAGATTTTGAAGTATTGATATTTACAGTGAATAATTATAAACTGTTATAAATATAATGTTAACATAACATAATGTTGACATACATAATAATAATATCATTCAATACTAACACTAGATAGTTTTTAAAACACATTGTTACTAACACTATATGGATGTAATAGTCCGAAATAAATAATTTGAATTGAATTGAATAGCTTAGCAAAAGCATATTTACCGTTGAATTACTCAGTCGTCATTCAATGTCGTTATTTATTTTAGTACCTAAGTAAGAAAATCCTTTTAAAAATAAACTAATCAAGGTTTTTTGGGTACCGTAGTTTCGATAAAAAACGCGCACCTTTTTTTTTTGTAATGTCAGCCCGTTCTCTTGATTTGAAATAAATACATCTAAATGTAATTGTGTTATTAAATTTAGAAGTGTAGACATTTATCAGACGAACACTTCACATGCGGAACATACGTCGATGGATGCTGCTCACGTTTGACCGTATTTTCAGTTTCTTTCTTCCATATTTATTCATGTATATCTAAAAACCCTGGTCTGCTAACTTTGTTTGATTACAAATGCTTTGTAGCGTTTCCAAGTAATTTTTGTTTCGTATCTACAGGACAAGAACAACAAAGAAGGCCCTAATTGCGAAGAGTGTAGCGTTCATTTTTCATCAGATGTCGCGTGGAAGAGACATCTAGTGCTGTCCACCAAACACATAGTGATGTAATATACTATATCGATATCAAATTCCGTATTGCAATCGTGTATGTCGGTCAGTATAAAAGTAAGAAAATGCATGCTTTTAGTAACGGGTGCAAGTATTGTGGTGAGCGGTTCACTAACGTTGAGGAGTTGAAGTGTCACCAGCGAGCTCATCACCCGCGCTTCAAGCAAAAGAAATGTGACAAGAAACTACCAGCCGCTTGTCCTGTTGTAAGTACTTATTAAGACATCTCTCATATTGGCTTTGTGTGAAAGCAACAAAAGTATAAAAAAGTGATTATAAAAAATTGAATTCAGACTCAGAACAACAATTTGTGGATCACACGAATACATTAAAGGGAGACAAAGGACACCCAGACTCAGAACAACAATTTGTGGATCACACAGTGTTGTCCCATGTGGGGATCGAACCCACAACACCCAGTGAAGTAGGAAGCGGCGAGGTGCCCGCTTAAACCACTACGCCATCCGTGCAGTCATTATTATAATAACATTCAATCAATATTATAATAATTACAACAGTATTAATTCGGTATTAAATTACTCCATAGCTGGGCCAATAATAATTTAATCATGGTCTAAGTCCATCATGAGATTTGCGATGTTATGTTAATATTAGTGTGAAGTGTGTGAAGTGGTGAGTTCATTCAGAGTGAGGAGTTGCCGAATGACAGGACTGTAGGCCTAGTGTAAGTTTATTTCACATCGACTCGCTCTTGACGGCGAGCGCGTTTAGCGTTGCGATTGGTGGAGATTTCAGTGCGGGCCAATCGTAGCGCCAAACGCGGACACCGTGACGATCAAATAGATGTGAAATAAACTCGCACTTGGCCCTCTGTTCCACTAATAGACAAACGAGATGTTTGTATTTCGATGCATTATCAATATATAATTTGTTAGAGATTGTGTAAAATGTACACGAAAACTCATACCTGGGCTCTCAATTCTGCTATTTTATGTTCACACCAAGCCATTGTCATACCACTGACATTTTCTTATAATTTGAAAATGTATTACGTTTTTTTGAGAAAATGATTTATTTATTTTTCCAAATATGGCAATCTTTTTGATATCACCACTGATGAGCCACTGCCTTTCCATCGCCACTGTAAAGACACTGAGTTAGTGTAGACTACCGATATTTATACCGATGCCAATGGCCACTCGATGGCATCTCAATAGCGTGTCAGTGGTATGACAGTGGCTTGGCGTGAACATAAAATAGCAGAATTGAGGTCCTGTTCTAATTACATTTTTATATTGTAAGTGATGTGGTTTATTATTGATAAGTGATTACAATTTCAGTGCAATAAGTGGTTAACAAATCGCGTGGAATACAATAGGCACATAGCAAGTGAACACCCTCATTCGGACGAGGCGAAGAAATTGATCGAACATGACCTCCCGTTCGTGTGTGAAGTGTGCGGACAAGCGTTTAAGGTGAGTTTTCACTTTAATTAATTTCTTAGTTATCTCACGCTTATCTGTTTTTTTTCTTAAAGGTAAGTTAAAAACGTATATGTATGCATACAGCAAACCAACTTTAAAAAGGTTATTGCAATTTTTAAACAAATCTATCCCTTAGTACAATACTTTTTTGGTGAGTGAAAGATTGTGGGAGAGCCAGAGCCATGCTGCCATGCATAATTGAGCCGGGGTTACGGCCTCATAGGAAATCGATGTTAAGCATTCTGGGAGTTGACAACTTTTTTAAATAGTTTTTTATGCTTTATGTGCTTCAAATAATACCTTGCCGTAAAGTACAATTTAATTTATCATTTTACCTTTAAATCAAATAAAAGTATATTTTTAATTTATGTATTCTTGTACGTTTATTATATTTATGTTGTTTCACTGTTTTTCTCATTTCTTGTCTTCTCTTCTGTGCGAGACAATATTTCTTAATGTTTAGTTCTTTTTTTTTGTTGACTTCAAAATTCTCAACCTAAGTGTAGTGCACCTTTTCATTCATTTCCACATTACTCTACGGTATTCTGGTAGAGATTACCTATGGAATTCAGTCCGCCATTGTACATTTTGTGCATAAAGTTAAATAAATAACTAATAAAACGCGGCATTGTAGTCACGTGACTACCTATGACGTCATCATTCGTCATACATAGTACTTTTCATTTGTATGAAATAACTCAAGTGTAAAATTAGCACTGTATTCACATAGAAATTTTAACATTTCTGTATTCAGATCATACATCAAATTATTGTTTGTATTTTCGCGTCAACTAAACACAGGGGAAAATTATATAAACTAGTAAGTAGTAGTAGTATCTTTGAATGGTTTACGTTATTTTAGGATAATTTACAATTTTTAAACATACTTTCAATTTGCGAATTCTTTCGTTGTTTTTACCGAGTGAATGGTATTGCCTTCTCCTAATTCTGGAATAGAAGGGGGAGGGCAATCAAAATAGTGTCAACACACTCGAGTTATAGTTCTCCATTAGTGGCGGTACATTTACCATCAGGTGACCCGTCTGTTCGTTATACTCATAAAAAGAAAAACTATGAAGTGCAATATAGTGTAACGGTCCCCCCCGCAGCAACAGTGCTTCCTGACGTACCACCAGCGCAAGCACACGGGCGAGCGTCCGTACGCGTGCGGCGCGTGCGCCAAGGCGTTCCCGACGGCCGGCGCGCTCCACGTGCACCGCGCCGTGCACGCGCGCGCGCGGCCCCACGCCTGCCACCTCTGCCACCGACTCTTCTCCTTCAAGAGCGCGCTCAACAAGCACTTGAAAGTGAGTTATATTCGTCTACAACAAATCGGACTATCTCACTTTTTAGTATATGTAACATCTTTCCTCTCGCTTGTGCATCTGTGTGTGCTTTATTTTTTTATATCTTTATTTTTATACACTCAAAATATAAAAGATGAGTTAAGAGTAGTATACATACGCGTAACACACGTGAATATTTAAAAATATCAACAAAAACAGGGGTATGAACCCTTTAGGGAAAAAGAACGGAAGTGTGTAACCGGAAGCCGGAGAAGCACGTTTTATTTGATTTAACCAAAGAGCGCGCGGTCCTAGAGTTAATTTAATCTGTTAAGATTTTGCATATACCTAACATATTCGAGAACTATCTCATCTTTACTCCCATTAAATAAAATTGCCGGATTATTCATGTTTTAACGAAACTATTTACTCTTACTATTGAGATAAAAGTGACCAATTTAATCTAGTCGTTCTCAAAAAAATTCTCACCGAGAAAGTGTGTATGTCAGGGATGACGCATGAGTGAAGTTTACTCCTTAAGAACGATTCGGCTGCACACAAGTATACAAGTTACACACAAGTATACAAGTTACACACAAATGTGAAAAGTGCGCACAATAAACGTAACGAGGTCATTCAATCACTGAAATTTACTCTACATATTTTTTTCATACCGGGTCTTATGTGAAAATCTATTCTTAAGGAGTAAACTCGAAAAATATTTTCATTTATATATGTGGTTTTGTAGGTGCACCTCGGTATTCGTCCCCACAAGTGTACAATTTGCGACAAAGGTTTCATTCACAAGTGCGACTTGAAGCTCCACATCAAGTACGTCCACGACAAAGTACCTTGGCCGAAGAAGAAAAGCAAGCGAAAGGCAACAGACGATAATGCGACCTATTTAGACTACAATTAAGACTAAATTACAGTAGCCAAAATTACACCGTAGTGGATCACAAATTATGAAATACTCAGCTTAAATTTAAATTCGTAATAGTTGGGTTATAGTTTTGTTTTCATTCATTTCACTTTAAGATTAAATCAATTTTAGTAAATTTTGTGGTTGTTTTGATCAAATGAAACCCAGTTTTCATTAGATATATCCTATTGCATTTTTTTTACTATATCTGACCTCAATTTGGCAACGTGCAATTTTTACAAATACCTAATATAAGCTTAATTAATATCCTTTTGTAAATGTTTGAAATACGAGGAAATAAAGTATATTGTTTTATGTTTGTATTTTTTACTACCGACCTATTAAATAGTTTATAGGTATTATACAAAGAATCTGTTAATGAATACTGTACTAGGCATGCCTTTTAAGTTCTGTCGTTTCCATATTTTCCGGCAATTTTGAATTTGGAAATGTTCTATATTCGAATGTGTTTAAATTTTGAATCTCAATACAGTTGAAAGTATTAGGATTAATGCTATTGTTTAGTCACAGCGTCGATTGGAATCTGTCAGGTTACGTACGAAAATGAATCTTTCTAAGGAAAATGTTCGTGCAATAATTTTCTACAACTTTAGAAGAGGCCTGACACGGCTTCAGTGTTTTGAAGAGCTAACATCTGTGTTCAGTGATGAAGCCCCATGTCTGCGGATTGTCGAACGCCGGTATTTTTATTTTTTTTCGCGCCGTCCGCGTCGACCCGCGCTGACTTGTAGCAACCAGTCGCTAGATGTAGATTGCGACAGCGTAGCGCAACTATTTTATTTTCTATTTTATTATAGTACATGCCGGATGCTGTTCGTAACCGCCCGTACATCTTCGCCTTCAAATTCGATTACCCAAATCCGTAAATCAGAATTTCCCAACAATAAAAGTTCTGATACTATATCCATTTCCGGTCTAAGTGCTCTTCTTCACGAAACCAAACAATAAGTATCTTCAGTGCTAACCTAAATAGGTAGCTAAATTATGAATTGTCATCGATCCATCATAAGTAGTCGCTCATTGCTAGTCGCCCGAACGTGCACGGTTTTTCGTAGCCAGAAGTCGGCGCGACCGAAGTTCACGACATCGCTGGCACGCTGCACGAGCTCCAAGGGAGCAAACTACGCAGGACAACCCGCCAGGGGGGTATAGTAGGTCAAAACCTCCTTTCTAAGGAGGAGGTTACGTCCAGCAGTGGACTATTAAAGGCTGCTGATGTGATGTGAAATTGATGCCAATGATATTTTGATGATATTTTGATTAGTTTACTAATAATCTTTAGTCAACGACAATCATAATGACAGACGCAACTGATGTTGAAGAAAATTGAGCACCGCGCAGTTATTAAATTCCTTACAAAACAAAAAGTCAAAAATTATTCATAAAGAGATTATAGCCGTTTATCGTAATTTTGCACCTTCGTTATCTACGATTTATGTACGATTAAAAAGTTGTCTAGTAAATTCAAAAGAGGCAGAGAGCATTGAAGATGTCTCTCGCTCGGGTGACCCGGTGACTGCCGCGACTGAAGAAAATCTTCATGACCTTCTTACCTTGTCAAAAGTCATTGCAAAAAAAGCAACTCATGTAAAGTCAGTTTCGTCTCTAGGATTAAAAAATAGGCTACAGATACCCTATAATTACACAGAAGATCAAAAACGCAGTCGTTTAGAGTGGTGGTAAAAAAAGAGATTTAGCAGGCTTCTATATCATGCCGTTTTTTATTTTCTAAAAACTTTCAGTTGGACCCGTACGTGTAAACGATTAATGTATGTATACTGTATTAAACGAGATCAATTGTCAAAATGCAGATCGTCAATTGCTTTTCACCATGACATCACCCTAAACGAGTTCATGGTACCGGAGTAGCTAGTACCTACGCAAATATACTGTAACCGCCTGTACATTTCACCACCGTCACCTAAGCTTTGCGACAGGAGACGATATTAGTTGAGAAACGCTATCGTATTACCGCCATTCTCGTGGAAGTCCCAGTAACAACGGTGGTGGACAAGTGTAACCTTACCAGCAACTGACAAAATGAAAACCCTTTTTAAAAAAAAAGTTGAACCGACTTCAAAAAACACCTACAAAGAGCACTAAAAATTAAAAAATAATTACAAATCTAAGTAAAAAACTATAATAAGTACCCTCAATGTAACAGGTAACATTATAATACCAATAGTCCCTTCTAGTCAGTTTGAAGTCGGTGCCAAGCCAAATAGGTGCTTGATAGGCATGGTAGAATGTAGCGCGGCAGCTGCAACAGTCTTCATGCTGCGCAAAACATGATGAACGAGCTAAAGTGGACGCACATCTCCAATTATATTATTATTTTGAATTCTTTAATAAGTAGTTGATAAGTTTGCGCACGTAATTGATCTGGTTGGTCTTTATTAATTAACAAAATCTTCGATGTTTCATTAGAATTATTTTGAATTCTTAATTTTTCATTGTGCTAATATAAAGCTGACATAGACCAGTATTACTTATTGTACATCGAGCTTGGCACCGACTTCAAACAGACTAGAAGGGACTATTGGTATTATAATGTTACCTGTTACATTGAGGGTACTTATTATAGTTTTTTACTTAGATTTGTAATTATTTTTTAATTTTTAGTGCTCTTTGTCGGTGTTTTTTGAAGTCGGTTCAACTTTTTTTTTAAAAAGGGTTTATTTTACCATTTTTAGTGTAGGATATGAAAATGACATTGGCGTCCAAACTGATCAAGATCAGCTTAAATTCTTTTCTAAGAAACAGTCAAATTCTTGTGAGTTGCAACCGAACAAAATAACTTCCGATTCATTTGACACTGATCTCGAAGGTGAAGATAGGGAAGCTTTAGTGAGACTACTCAACAAATATGCTCAATATTTTATAGAAGGAGTTCCAACTAGAAGGGTTAATACTAGTATGTTAGAAATTAACCTAGTTGACCCACCCAAAATTTAAGAGTTTTTTCCAGAACTATTTTAATAAATTAAGTATAAAATTACTTACAAACGAAATGCGATGCCATCCATAGCAACAAAACGTTTATCCCAATTATTTTAACAAGATAGAATACAAAATTTCAACCTTTTCTTCTTAATACAACGAAAATTACTGTGGTGACATAAATACTGCAAGTTCTCTGCGCATCACATCGCGCAGTCTCTGACAGTTGCCATGGTTTGTTTGGCTAAAGATATACTCGTAGCTAAAACACGTTGTCGGGGCTGTCAAATTCCCAATAATTGTGAGGGTTTCACTCGATTTCTCTAGGATCCCATTATCAGGTCCTGAATTGGTGATAATGGGACCAATTCGGGAGCATACCCTTTCGATTACAAAAAGAATTTTGAAAATCGGTCCACAATTGACGAAGAAATCGCGTAACAAACATACATAAAAAATAAAATACAGACGAATTGAGAACCTCCTCTTTTGTGTTTTGGAAGTCGGTTAAAAAGAAAACATGCTGTCGAATCAAAAACCCTCCTTTTTTGATGTTGGTTAAAAATCGACTAGCATGAAGCTCCTAGTCGAGACGAATCAAATGAGCACAAACACGGCGGAATTGCTTTATTTTATTACAGAGTTCCCATGGCTATTTACCGTCTCCATCATCAGACCCTGAATATCACATAGGATCGGAGTTCTTATTAATTAAACTCAAACACATTCAAATTCGATGGTATTACATAATTTTGTTACAGAGATCCCATACTCCTAAACCATTCATCAACAGCTTCATCATCAGCTCAGCAACATCAGATGGTGACCACCAACATCAGATGCAAAAATCTACATAGATTAAGATAATTTCTGATAAACAGTGTATATGCCTACAAAATTTGAGGGTTTCCCTCGATTTCCCCAGGATCCCATCATCAGATCCTGACCTGGTGACAATGGGACCACCTCTGACGTATGACCTACCAAATAAAAAAAGAATTATTCAAATCGGTTTATAATTGCCGGAGTAATCGCGTAACAAATATACAAAAAAAAAAAAAAAAAAAATACAGTCGAATTGAGAACCTCCTCCTTTTTTTGAAGTCGGTTAAAAATAAACGAATAGATAGTGTAGTTAATGTAGGTAGCCACTTGCAAATTAGTGCCAAAAACGCACAAAATAAATGTATAAAGCCTCTTCTTTAAGAAGTTTTTACAGCATCAAAAACAGACATAAGTCAATTTGATGTAAAGTTTTCTGTGTCATACGATAAGTAGGACTACTTATCCGTATGACTTTTTTTGCAAAAAAATAAAATAAAATGAACAAAAACATTAGAAAAAGCAAATTCCATCGCCCTGACAATCAGCCCAAAGGCAAGCAAGCACGGGAAGAACGTCCAGAAACACGGAAGAAAGCACCCGAAAACAAGATCTCAAACGCAACTGAAAAATCTGTAAGGAACAGATGTTGTCTTGTTCGCCCGAAACAACAAGACTTTAGTCATTTAACACAGTTTGATTTTCCACTAAGATATGAAGAGGAACCAACTACTAAAAGTGTAAGTTGAGAACAATTCCATTATGCAAATATTACATGTTCTTTATAATAGAGTATCTGCCAGCAAGAGATTATCTAAGATACTACATCTCCAGTAGACATATCATCATTATCATCAGATAATAAAAAATATCTACTGGAGATGTGTAGTGACTGTCGCAGTCCACTACTGGACATAGGCCTCTCCTAGTTTAGATCTGCCTTATCCAAAAGTTTCAGCTCCTAAGTAGAGGCAATTTTTATTAAAAAGTTATTCCATAAATTTGTGCAGAGCCTTATGTAGTTTAGAACTATACTTTACTGATTACTTAATCCACAGCATTTATCCATATTTACTCAAAAATATGGCTTCGATCCCGCCAAGAGAGACTCATCTCTTGCAAAATCGGATTATACAAGTATGTTCGCTACAAGTAAGATAGAAAACAGTTCTCGATATAAACAGGATTTCGGAGTCGATGCTATGAAGTTTGTTGAAACTTCAGATGGTACTCAGTGGCAGAACATCGAAAGTATTAATGATCTAGACAAGTTTATACAAGAGGAGCCTAAAGGTATGAGATGTCTTAGAAATGGTTATTGCTTATTTACGCCAGAATATATAATTTTACCAGTAGAAAAGTCCCACTCCGCAAAATCATATAAGTAAATAGCAACTCTTGCTCTTTTTAGATAGAATTTACTTCTCTTTCTATCGCATAATGGTTACGCATAACGTTCGGGTTGTTTCTTTTTTACCGTTTGATGTCCTTTGAAAGTAGGATTCTTGTTATTATTCAAGCATCTGAATACGAAGTCATACATCTTAATTGTATAACTAGGTGATAATCCTGACCGTCAGGGACATGGCTTCAATTGTAAAGTGCGGAGTGGGCCTGTTTTAGGTACTTGGAGGTTCACGGGTCAGTTCGATTAAGCTCAATATACTTGTTCTCGTCGTTATTATATAAATTGACACGTCATGATCGCATGTTCCCAGGGCCTAAATACAATGTTATGTCTCAAAACGTTCACATAGCAGAGGTTCCGAAGGTGAAGATAATCGCGGAGAAGTTCTCGAAGTTCCAGCGGGACAATGTCGAACTGCGAAAGTTGGACGAGAAAGTTGTTTGTGTGGAGTATGACATATTCGACAGGAAATCGAAGTCGAATATAAACAAACCTGTCCAATCAATGAGAGCTTTTTTCTCTATAAAGCCTCTCTATGAGCAGGAAGGCACCGGTACGTTTTCATTCCGTCCAGCACTCAAGTTTGTCATTAACTTTTTATGTATATTTCTATTAATATCACTGTGTTTAGTACATTTCAATTTGCTATGATGTCTCCAGATAATATATCCAATAAACGTTTCGTTCATTTTATTTATTTCTTTCTTACGAGAAGGATGTGTGCCTAGACAGTTTGCTCTGTCGCATCTTCACTCACACTATAGTTATAGCTGTATATATTAAACAGCTCATCTACTATTAACCCCCTCGTTACCCGATCTTACTAATAGTAGGGCTAAGATCAGCCTGACGCGGTACTGATATCAAAAAGGTGTATAATAAGAGTCGCAAAACGCTAGTAACCTTCGGCGTGTAACGTCCAGGAGTACTGACCTGAACAGACCCAGTGATAACACCAAACCAGTCACAGCGGTGAACAAAGCATAATTAATAACTAGAATTTTTTATATGTTGGTTAAGTCCCTGTGATACCACCCACCGGTGGGATGGTTATGTCGGACTCAAACTGACCCTGGTGTCTAAGAAACGAAAATGGAAATTTAACACGATTTAATGATATCCAGCAATATTATTTCATGTCCCTAATAGTATTTTAATACTCTAAGGATCTGAACTAGAATAAGCAACTTAGACAAAGAATCATTCATTCCTGTCAGGATCTGCATGAGATTATAATTTTAGCAACGTATAGACGTCACAGTACCAATGATCGGTCAGTATCACGCAGCCATTTAAAAATGTTGGTTATCGTAAGGTCAGACATACATGCAGCTTGAACATAGCTAGTTGCTTTAAGGGTTATCTAATTTAACTAAGGGTAGGGTTAATTAAGGGTAATCAACTTAAACGCATGAAGAAAAGCAGCGACAAGTCAAGATAATTTCTATAAGTCTGTCTATGTAAGATTTACTTTGTTTCACAGTGTAAATAGAAAATTTATAAATTGCAGAAAATACACAACTTACAATACTACCACCAAAAATCAAAGCCCAATTCAACGTAGTAGATGAAGATTTTAATAACTTGACTCAAACCGAGGTAGAAATTATTGACGAAACGATAGAAGAGAACAAATCTTATTTAGAAGATTTAAAGCGCATTATAAAAAGGGTTGAGTTCGAAAGAGTGAAGAAGGACAGAAGTTCGCTAGATTTGAAGTCTATGTACGAAATGGCGAAGCGAGAAAGGCATTTGGACAATAATTTTTCCGTAGCCAACTTTCTGTCTATTAAAGAATTAAAGGAGGTAAAAAATTTGATCATGCAGAAATGCGCGTCAAGTGTGCATGGCATGAGTAGAAAATTGTTAAAGACTGAGTCTAAGTTAGGTTCGGGTATATTATCTGGAAGCATATTGGCAGAATTGTTCCGTAACAATAGTAAACAGGTGTTGGAATAAATGCGTTAATGTGTAAAAATATATATCTTTTATTTCTTATACAACAACATTTAACAATTTGTTTAAAAACATTATATTTATTCTTAATATTATTTGACGTATATTAATAGAGGAACTTGTACAGCATCTGATGATAGAGACTTCAGAAGGTTTGTAATTGTAATGGCCAAGCAGATATCAGCGTGGATATAAGAGGTCCAAGAACTAGAAATGCACGATAGTCTGTTTTAACGATATATTGTATTGTAACTATATCGCAGTGTCCATATAACATGTTTACATCTATGCTACGGGTTCTTTGTACGAAAATAAACGTATTATTTAGAGAGATTTCCTAGATGTTATTGATCTGCTCTGCGTTTAATGTACCGTAACAAATTCGAAAATATTTGTTCCTAATTTTAAGATTCACATTACACAACAAAAAAAGAATACAAGAAAGATACAGTGCTATTTAACATATTCTAACTCTTAATAAGAGATATTAATAACGTAATTGTTTATCATATTAAAGATGTCGGCTTTGTTTCAACTACTAGGTACATTTCATTTTATTTTGTATAGATCATTGTAGTACCGTCAATTTAATAAAAGTTTGTGTTCTGGACTGGAATAAGAGCTATAAAATTACATAAACCAAAAACTTGTAACCTGTGAAATCTACAACGCCCCACAATTTTGTTACTTTTAGGCAGATTTATACGATATTTATGTAGGCGTACGACATTTCAAAGTATTGTAGTGTGGTGACTTCCACATACGGTGAAACAAAGAAACATACTACAGCGCCATCTATCAAAGACACACCGAACTACGAAGTAACTGCTAATCCTGTATCGCGATATTAACAATTGTCTCGCCGAGTAGAGTGCTGTATCGATATGCATTGTAACGTGCATTCCACCTGACTAGATTTCTTTTGGTCCATTCACAGACTATAAATTATTCATATAACAGATACTTTACAACTATTTCAAGATTTTTTTAACCTGAAAAAAAAAACTGAGAGAAGCAGGTATACCTGCTAAAATATGTTACCTTCTAACACAGTTTTTAAAAGTTTAGATTCGTTGACTTCTTCTATACTATTTTATTTCTAAGAATTATACAATTTTTGTATGTTATGTATCTTATGATACTGATACATAAAATCACTGTTTTCCATTTTGCGCTGCCTCTGGGTTATAAGCGGGGTCAAGACCAAGTTTTTTCATTTCAACTGCCATTTCGAATAAGTAGTCATAGCATTCAGTCCTGCAAGTCAAAAATATATATTATATGGCAAACTACGCTCCTCTGTCGGTCGCTGCGTCTGTCAGTCTGTCTGAATACTCAAAAATAACCAAACTTATTTTTATATGTTTATCACCAATAGTTCACTAATGCGTAATTCAATGTTATTTTGTAAAAAAATTGTGAAAATATCCGTGTGGTGACGGATTAAGAATACGGAGCGTCACCACCGCTATTCATCCTTTCACGAGAAGCTCTGCAAAGAGAAGGAAAACTTCAAACAAACCCTATAACAACTCGTCTGGCCAGTGTGGTATAGTAGGCCAAAACCTCCTTTTTAGGGAGACGCCTATTTACAGCAGTGGACTACTAAAGGCTACTAAAGGCTGATGGTACTCTATGTTATTATTTGACCCGTGCGAAGTTAGGGCGGGTTGGTACTCTAATAAAAAACTAATTGCTGAGTACTCACATAGTTTTCGCTTGCTGCCAAGTATCGCCCCACACATAAACCCCGTGTCTCCTCACTAAAACTGCGCTGGTTCCTGGGTATTGACGTAAAGCTTCACCGAGGCTGCCCGCTAGGTCCTTTTCAAACGGAGTGTTCTCTATGATAGGGACCACTAACTTTTCATCATAACGAAGATAGCGATCCAGTTTAGCATCCTTTATACCCTGAAATTTAAAAGCTCTTTTCTCAACGACTATTTGTGAAATCGCATAATTATGTGATACCTATTATATGATTATGTGATATTATATTTTCCACTACTCTAATTCACTACTGAATAATTTCGTTACGGGTCCAGGACAGTTTAATTTTTCTTAAGATTTCCCGAGTGTCATGGTCACGGCAGTGATGTTAGTGGATCACTGCCGTTGATCCTAGTGGACAGGAGTTACAGTAGTGGGCGAAGAGGACGGATTAGTCCCCTATTAGCAATAAGAGTTGAGGTCCTAGTGACGACTTCAATTACAGGACAGACATGCGACTCCGGCCTTTTGGAGTTACTGCAGTTTCATCAAGTATATCATACTCAGAGGTACTGAAGTCTTAGTTTCGTTTCATTAGCCGAAACTTGTTTGTTCCATACCCTAGCCTTATCTGTTTCTTAACCCCTTTTTATCTTCAACCTTTGTCCTGTTTGAAAACGTTTACAACTCCAAGGAGGATCAGACATGCTTGGATGGCTATATACATGTTGTGTCGACACCAAATAAAATGGGACAGGACGAGAGTTCTGTTAGTAAAAGGACTCTTGAAGATTCGTAACAATACTAAGATTTTTGTAGCATCCATTGAGGTAATTGTGTATACCTTTATCATCTCCTGGTGTGTGATGACAAATTCTTTATCATGGAGGAGTGTAACCCGCACTGCGTGAGGGGAGTGAGTGTGTATGACGGCGCCTGCGCCGCGTTCACGGTATGCCAGCATGAACAGAGGAGTGCATTGACTCTTCTTCAATCTGGAAATAAAGTACTGTTTGGAACACCATAATAGGGATTTCCTATAACATACACTTACAGAAGTTCTAAATTACAGTCAATCTGATACTTTAAAAATTATATTTTTTAATTTATCTAATTAAACTAATTTTAATAAAATTATACAATAGATTCACTTTTACTTTTGTTATAAAAGTATATTTAAAGATCATAGTAGTGACACAGATAGGGCACGGGCAGATTGCTAATCTGCCCTGGTTTCACAAGGGTAACAGAGTTGAGAGCTCTTTTTTTTTTTCAAATATTTAAATATTAAATTTATTTGTTCATTGGAGACCCATGCAAGTATTTATATACGGTTACTTGTTTGTGCCAACACTAACGAGAAAACTGTATAAAAATCCTTTAAGTACTTTTGGTATTTATCGTGACAGATATACAGATGTGGGGAGAAATCTTATTATCTATATGAAGTGGTCTGTATTTACATAACAAAAAACGGAAATATAAAGATTCTCTTACTTCTTTTCTGCAGGAGGCAGTTCCAAATCTTCATCATCAATGGTCTGTACAAATAGATCATCAGACTTCATTCGTTCCTTTTGGACTCCAGATGGAGCTATATAGATTTTGTTGCTGTGTAATACAAATTATACCTTTATAATAGACTGCTTGGAGGCTTTATAATAATTTTTGAACCATAACCCAGAATTATATATCTTTTTTGATTTATTATCAAATATCTGGCCTATACAACTTTGCCTGCATTTCAAAATGAATACATGTTCCCTGTTTTGCTGTTTTTCATTCATGCTTTAGCTTATAGTCTTCCTTGAGAACTGGGCTATTCAACACTATAATATTTTTTAATTTGAACCAGAAGTTTCTGAGATTAGTGTGTTCAACCAAAGAATTTCTAGCTTTCCAATGTTACTAAAGATCTGCTTTAAAAGGATGTGTAACAAAAATAAACATTTGACGAGTTTAAATGATGATGCGAATGGGTTTAAAAAATAACAGATGTATACTGAATAGCAAATTCAGTTTTAACTTTGTCAATTGATGTGACAATAACTACAATAAGTAGGTATATATTTTTGTATAATGTTCCTCAGTGATAATAACACTAATCATCCTCCAGTGGTCATAGGTTATCAATTACAGATATTTATTAACACAATATTAGATGACAGCATTAAGGTCTTAATATTAAATTAGAAACTGTTTCTTTTTTTAAGAATAAAATAATTAGCAATTAAAAAAAATGTAATTTCACTTATGTAAAGTGTATATTTTTTAAATTGCCCTAAAAGCATATTACAATATTAATCCCACCTACTAGTTATCTATGGTTTGCATAATGAGGTAAATTCTGCTATTCGTTTTACTTTACAATTGTTGTTTTCTAATACAAGAGTGGACCAAAAAGTACAGTAAAAATTATTGAATTCAAATTAAACGTCACATTACTCGGTATTTTATTCAATTGGCACCCACATACCCTTCTTTTATAGATATTCCTCCGCCAGTGCCGGTTACCCATCCTAAATGGTAAAACTGATTGCATAACGACGGAATTAAATTTCTGGGATGTTCCTAAAAGAAAAATCTACGATCAAAAACATATACTTAATACTTAATACAAATTACGTGTAGATATTGACCACATCGTATACATATTAAAAGACTAATAAATGAGCTAAAACTTGTCACTTACTGGTCCAAGTTCCGTCATTATTTCCAAATATAATGTTTATTAATTTGATAGTCTTACAAAGTAAGGTATTCTTGTATACTACGCATTTACAAAGGTTTGAACTTTGAGATATCAACATAAACATTGAATTTACAAGTGACAGATCGATTTGACACTGACACAGAAATAGACGTTCAACACAGATACTCGATGCAAAACAAATAAGCGAGTAATCAGAGTACATTGCGAGTAATGAAGTAATCATTATAATACAATATTACGTTTTAAAAATAAACATTTAAAAAAATCCGCGTGACGGGTCTATGGACCCCCGGTTGGAATAAAGTTCCTTTCGCTTTTTGGTAGATGTTTGCATAGTGTCGGGAAAAAGTCTTGTTACACATTTTTCGGTCTTACTCCCATAGCTCAGAGCGTGTAACGCGCGATAAGGAACTTCGTTTCAATAATATTTAAACATCAATAAAATTTTAATCAGGTAAACGAGAAAGAATGAGAATGTTAAAGAGTTTCGGAACGCATTTAACTTAATAATCAAATAGAACGATTTCTATTTGATCCTTAAGAGAGAATAAAATTCAGAGACAGTCTGGCAGAGATAGATAGGTAGGTACTATCCAATCGATTCATTTATTTTTATAAAATATATATGTATTGTCATCAAGTTATGTGTTGTCATCAAGCATAAAAATCATTTAACTTTCAGCCTTCTCAAGTCACTTGATTTCTTACCTATATACTGTCTGATTTTCTAGTAGGCGATTATTTTTGAATTTTTCGCTCGTACGGGCTCTTTCGTTTGGCCAAGGCTAAAAGAAACGCATAAGGTTTTTTTGCATGTTTTTCTTAAACATTAAAAAAAAAACGTCTACGCTTCATGTTCGATAAATTGCTTTACCTCTGGCCTTCTCTCACCAAATAAAATTATTCAGCAATTATGGGTTCGCAGTCCAGACTATTTAACCGTGCCGAAACATCTGAACAATGCATGCAGTAGTCAAGAATTTTCGGCGAAAGTATTGCAACCACACAGAATGATAGACATTGTTTTCTACCTTCAAAGAATCTGCTCAAACAATCATTGTAAATCCTCTTTCATGCGTATGCTTGAAATGCCGACCTACTGTTAAATTTTTTTTAAAACTTGAATGCTGCCAAGAATTTATTCTGACATGTACATGGGATAAATCATTTTATATTGCTGTTTGTATATCAAAATTAACATGTCATAATTCCAATACAAAATTTCCAAATTTATTATTCAAATTATCTGGTGTTTGAACTTAGACAATGACCAATCAACTTTATATAAGGCAGCAAGGAACAATTTTAATATCTTGATAGTAAATTTCAATATCCGAAGAAGGTGAGTTTATTTGATTCTAATAGGTAGGTAGGAAATGAACAAGTACTTAAGGGTCGCAAATAAGTTAGATAAACTTTGACCAACTTTTGACTCTTTTCATAAGCATAATCCTCAAGGTAAGGCGTTGTTTTAATGCCTGGATAACGGGGTTCTGAAGGACAGCTGATCACAACACTAACAGTTTGTCATCTTTTCATATTTTGTTACCAAAAATGATTTTATGAATATTTAGAAAATCGTCTACTCCATTGTGTACCTCGGCCTTATGAACTAAAGATATGTTGAAGTGATGAGTTGTCTGTATGATAACTATATAAGTCTTCTATCTATAATTAGGAAGTGCTCATTTAAGAGGATATTTAGAGACAAAACTCAATCATCAATTTGTACAGTGATTGCAGCTCAAATATCGTCACATCTAAAATTATTGACATCGAAGTTAGGTTAGAAAAAAAACCTTTTTGCGCCGAGTGACTGTGTTATCGCAATGCTTGAAGACTGTCGAATCAGTTTGTTCCACCATTGTGAACTAAAGTGTCGAAATGGACAAAATGCAAAATAGGCTATGGGAGCTGTCTGAGGTTGAATGTTGAGGTTGTGTTGTATAAAAAAAAACATAACGAATTTATTCAAGCCAAGAAAGCTTAAGGTGTAGGCTGCTAGTTGATAAAATGGTATGATGTCTTTAATGTACGTTGTTCCGGAAGAAACCATTAATTAATATTTACTTATTGATCCAAATATGAACAAGCAATGATTGTGGTGGATGTCTGCAGCAGAGTTTAACCTGTAAACCTAATCTACAGGAATACAAGGCTGTATCTAGTGGCAAATTTGTTAAGTTTAACTGACAGCACCCGAACAAAAAAAGAGCAGCCTTTTCCTAAAATGGAGCATTGGCTTTGCATTTGCTTTTGAGAGATTTTTCTTTTGTACCCGATGTCGCCAGAAGGAAGAATTATTTTTTCATATATATGTACATTTGTTTGGCACGGTCCATAGTCTATACGGCTGGTTGGATTTTAGCGTTTGAGGTGTCGTTAGATTCGTCTTAATCGTGTGAGTGACACTGAGAAATCACACGTTTGTAAATTGTAAATATACTCGTACATTTTCACGCAGTCTGAGTTTTTTTTTTCAAGGATTAGGAATAGTATGGCCTAACCCTCCTCAAACAATACTTAAATTGTACCCACAGTTTATAAAATCCAGCAATTTTTTTTTCAATTTTCTCACTTTACGCAATTGCATGTGTCCGAAACTATAGCATGCAATGGTTTTATATGTAATTTGCTTTTTGATAATTATTTTTAGATAGAGAATGATGAGAATACCAGAATGTCTGAGCCGACGTTACAAGGCATTGGATGACTTAATTCAAGAGCTCAGCTCATCCATACCCAGTCAGAATTCTTTAACTGAACAGAGGAGTAATACGAGTAATGTCGGTATTAAACTTATGTGCGATTTCTGGAATATTCTCAAAGAAGATCCTGATTGTAACTTAACGGTTCGTATTTATATCATTTAAATTTTTTTTTTTTACGATAAACGAATACGTCATCTATATCGATTTATGTTACTGGTCACGAAAAACTCATCCAAGATACCATTTCTTTTTACGTCCATTTGAGATTCAGCTAAATTCATTTGGATGATAATTTTTTTTTGGCAAATTCATTTTTAAATTATTATTGTGATGTTAGCTTTAAATTACAGACCTACAATATACAGAATTACTGGTTGGATATTCAATATCTATTGTTATTAAATATTTAAGTATTTCTAAGTTATGACTTATCGTATGGGAAAGTTCTGAGTAGTCCGATTGGAGGACTACTCAGAACTTTCCTGTACAATAGAAGACGCACCAGGAGAGCGCAGAAGTATCTCCGACCGCTACACTTTAGGCTATGAGAAAACCATTTAATAAATAAAACTACCCCAATTCATCCCGTGGTTGTCGTATGAGCCGACTAAGGGCGCAAAACAACGCAGGACACCAGCACTGCAAAAAGAAGGAAAACTTGACACAAACCCTATACCAACCCGTCTGGCCAGCGTGGTATAGTAGGCCAAAACCTCCTTTCTAAGGAGAGGCCTATGTCCAGTATTGGGCTATTAAAGGCTGTTGATGTGATGATGATGATGATGAAAATGTTTTGTTGTATCATAATAATAATGCAAATCTTAATGACAACATAAACTCGTGAGTATTGAGTTTATGTTGTCGTTGTGTTGTGTTCTGTCATCCAATCTGTTGTTTTAGTGATAAAACAACAGATTGGATGACAGAACACAACTTAGAAATAAATTTCTCTAAAACCAAAATAATACCTTTCCATCCATACCAAAAGAAACCATTAAATATAAATTTTAACTTTGAAGGGCTTCAGCTGCAAGTCGTTAAGGAATTTAACTTGTTGGGCATAATTATAGATACTCATATTACCTGGAAAGCTCACATAAAAAAAAAATCGATCAAAAATAGCAACATTTTCATACGCTTTATGCGAAATTAAGAAGACGACAGACCTTTCTACTGCTCTTGTCACATACTACGCATACGCTTATTCTTGCTTCAGCTATGGCATAATCCTTTGGGGAAATAGTTCAGAGGCACATACTACCTTTACCCTACAAAAAAAATTAATCAGAATTCTGACTAATATAAAAGAAACAGAGTCCTGCAAACCCCATTTCCAGAACCTCAAAATCCTAACTCTTCCATGTATTTATATTCTGGAAATGAGTAAATTTGTTCGAAAAGACCCGGAATACTATAGTAAAAGAGAAGACAAAAAAATCAAATTCACACTAAGACATAAAAATAGACTTAACCTCCCAACTTCCCAACTAACTATGCATTCTAAAAGCCCCTTAGTTATGTCTATAAAAATTTATAATAAACTACCAGAAAAGATTAAGAACGAAGAAAAAAATAACATTTTCATTAATAAGTTAAAACTATTCCTCTTGCGAAAAAGCTATTACAGTGTAAAAGAATATATGGATGAAATAAACAATTCGTGACAATGCATTTAACAACATTATAAAACATTAGTTTAATTTAATTTAAGCATTTAATTGTTGCAATTGGTTTTAGTCAAGCCTGACCAAAACCAATTGCAACAATTAACAAAATAAATCACAATAATACTAATAACCTTTATAACAAATAATACAAACTTAGTGCAATAAATAATTATTAAATATTTAAATAAAAATAAAATAATGACTATACAGATTAAATATATATAAATAATATATTATAAATAAATTTAGTAATAATCATTCCCCTCTCTCTCTCTCTCTTCTATGCTGTGCCCGACAGGGTCCATAATTGATACCTAGCTTAAGTTTTTACCAACTGTAAAATTTACATTATGGTAGCAATAAAGTATTGAGTATTGAGTATTATTAGTCAGTATAAGTTGAAGTCAACTTATTAAGAATATACTGGATTCTTGTAGCGTTCTGTAGGCGTTTTTGCATTTGCCTTTTTGTTAGCAGATAAGATAGTGGGTTATCTCAAGTTTTATTTAATGCATGATTGCAATATTCAGTGACATTGATCCTTTCTCAACTAAAAATCTTTCAACAAATTCGTTTTTTTTATTTTATTATTGTCAGTTATATGCAACTAGCCTTTGCTTGTGGCTCCGCCCGCGTAAATAACGGTACAGTTCCTTAACAGTGAAAGTGTAACAGACACACAGAGTTACATTCGCCTTTATAATATAAGTTGGGATTTTAAGCAAAATCTGTTTGTTTTTATAGGCAGAAGTCCAGCACCGCATGGGAATGAGGTCAGGACCAGAATTGTGTCCCAACGTTTACGGCGTACAACGTTACATGACTTACATGGCTGAGAAATGCTGCACAGACAAAGACGGTAATTACAAAGGCTGTAAAGTCGACAAAGATGGCATGAAAGGTTGTAGAGGTAGCAACAAAAGCGATCAGGACGCCGACAAAGACGAACACAAATGCAATAAAGATGTTGCCAATGTGATGAATCAAGGCAAAATATGTTGTAAAAGAAGTAACGAGGCTCCCAAGAAGCAGACTGAAGTTGATGTGAAATTATCAGGGTAATTTTTACTGACATTTAGTATTTATTAATTAGTTTTGGTGGACTCACTCACTTAAAAAAAACACGAAAAGAGATATAGAAAATATAGTAAAATATTTTTCTTACAAACGTAGAAATTTGATGTAACAGTAATGTGAAGGGGTTCTTAGATGAATGTCATGTTTGGATTTAGTCATGTTCTATGCTTGCAGTAGGGGAGCCCATGATGCTAAATGTGGATTTGTTGGACTGGAGCGTCATGGGCATCTATTGCATTTGAAAGATTTGGTAATAGAATAAATAAAAGTTTTATAATGTTTCCACTTTCAGCGGTGGGAAAAGCTTCTGCAAGTTTTCAAATATGTAACGGGAGGAAATCAAAAAAATGCTCCCATTGAAAGGTCTAGCGATTTTAAAGTGACACAAGCTGGTAGCGAATTAACGAAAATGCAATCTTAAAATTCGAAAAATCGCCATTTCGAAATACCTGAGCGTGTTAGATTTTATACAGACAGTTCAGCTTGATGTTCTTTTTATACTCACTAAAAATCTGATGATAATTTTGCAGGGTATTTTAAATCTGGTTAGAAATTGTGACAAATAAAGGCATGAAAAATTATGTAGTTGATATGAAATAAACTCGCACTGCACTCCAGGTGATCCGTCTGCTCGTTTGCCTCCATGCCATAAAGAAAACCTAACTAAGAATATAAAAAAAATATAGAAATATTTAAAAAGATTTTCATTAATTGCAGCTTTATACATGAACTTTTCGGACCTACTAAATAAAACCTACATCTAGCTTGTGATATAATTGAATAGTTCTAAATTTTTCAGTGCATGCTGTTCTGGTACAAAAGCTACACATATGAAAGACGAAGAGTTAGCGCTCACCAAAGTTTTATGCAACCTAAAGCAGGTTAGTACCCCTTTTTTACGTGGGTCACCACACCCGGGTTAGGGTGAGGCGGTAAGTTGGAATCGTACCGGCTAAAACCACTCGGTAGGCTACCGTGCCCATTAAATAGGAGGAATCCGGGAACAGCTTTTATTAAAATATCCGGACCAGAGGCGGATTAAGTATTAAGACGCCCTAGGTAAGCATCTCATCGGCACCCCAATAATAATAGCCACTATGTGATGTTACAAAATGTGTGATACTCCAAATTTTAGATGACATTTCTTTACTATAATTTTTTAATTTAATTTTTTATGTGTGACGTCCGCGCCGGGGAGAGCTAGAGGGTCTAAGCCTCTTCAGATCCCGCAAAGCCCTCTCTTCTCGGTCATAACTTGCTCGGAGAAGCAAGTAGCAGCGATCCACGCGCTCTCGTACTTTGCACCCACACCGGGCAGCACCCATTCTAGCAGCGTGTGGAGCTCCTGTTTACTGCTCTGACTACCCAGGCGTTGGTTCCTTGCGGATCAGACCCCAGCCCCAGATACCTCATCGAAAGATCGATGTCGATGCGAGTGCCTCCAAGGACCATGTAAGAACAAGGCCTCAGATTTGTGCAGGGATACCTCGAGACCCAGCTGCCGAATCCTTACAGTGCGCCTTACCACACACCCTCACATGCGTGTCGTCCTCCTAGCATGTGCTGGCGACACCATCCAAAAAGGGGATTGAGAAGCACTCCGATATATCTGATATATAGCCGATATTCCACTTTAGTGGCCCTAACACCGATCCCTGCGGAACACCGCACGACATTTCGACATTTTGTGCTTGGGTAGATGACGACTCCTGACTGACGACGATGCTAGCGCCTGCCCTTCAAAATCGCGGGCACGGCCTTCGGGGAAAAACTCTTACATGGTTGGAATATAGCAGTTTAAGCTGTGAACTGAAATAAGTGGGAGCTGTAGGATTATTCAGAAGAGCATAAGGGTCAAAATCACCAAGGTGGAAAATTCCGAGTTCTGTTTTATGATGAATATACTTAACAGCTATTAAATTGATGATAAGCTTAGATGTTCACTAAACTTGTGTTTCAACAATGTGTACGTTGGCAGAGCATAGAATAAAGTACTACTCCTGTAATTTTATTTTTCAATTGAGCTGTCACTGAAAACAATCATTCCGGGAACGTTTTTGTAAGACTTATAATAAAATTAACATATAACTTAACTATTTTTCTAGACCCTGTATATTAGCGGCAGTAAGCAGTTATTAATAAGAAATTAAAAAACTCTAAAGAAATTGCAAATAAAAGCGTTTAGAAACAAAATATTGCTACAAATGGAGCTATTGGACTATTTCCTAATATAACATTAACTAAATATGCCATAATTGTTGACATATATTAAAATAAATAGGCTTACGATATTAGAATTTCGCCTTATTTTAATATTGCCAGTGACTTTTTAAATTATCTAAATTAATAATGTGTTATCTGTGACTGTGTAAGGTCTGTTTTTTAATCTCGTAGACTAAACTGACATTACGAGTGTTGTCAGTTTATTGCAATTCTTAAATAGTGATGTGGCACAACCGAAACTTAGCGTTAATAAAATCAAGTATCGTTTTTTTACAATAAGTTATCCTGAAATAATGTGTAGGTACTTATTTAAAACGTAATAATATAAAATTAATAATGTAAAATATATATTTTTAATTACATAACTTAATTACAGGTATTCGCGTTAATCTGATTCAAATAATGACTCCATGTGTGAGGAATATTCTGAGTCATCAGAATCGCCACCTACTTCTATGATAAACCTATCAGTAATGTCGTCGGTTATATGGCCCAGATGACACATTTGATCTTCAATTTTAATTACATGGACTACACAGTCTTTCCACCGCTGCGGGGTCACTTGACGAAGCCCTTCTTCAAAAAGGCTTCGTACTTCATTCATTTTGAATGTTTTATTATTTTTAGTGACATGCCCCTTTACTTGAGCCCAGACCAACTCAATCGTTCGTATTACGTATTCGTACAATTGTTCGTATGGTGTCAAGTTCCATAATTGCCGTATTTTTTAAGTTCTGCCGTTTCGTAAGAGAAAAGGGTTAAGATTGCCATTTTAACGCGTACGGGAACAACACTGATGGCGTCTATATTTTTTTTTTGTTTAATTTAAAGGCATCGAAACATGGTCGGGTTACGCATGGCGTTGCGTGGTCAGATTTCCCTGGTAGTTTGTAGCACGTCGTGCAGCCGTGTGTACGTATGTAAATTTTAAATATAAAACTTTGAATGAAAATTAAATTCGTTTATTATATATAAATAAATAAAAAGTTACGATTTAACAAACCGGTATCATAGGTACAACACTGCACAAAAGAGCTGGCAACATTATTTGTAAATTTGACATTTGCATGTGTCAATTTAGTCTACGAGATTAAAAAACAGACTATTGTAATGTTCCCGAAAATGATGAGGTGTTCACGAAATGATGCACGTGTTCTTTAAATGACGCATATCGTCATTTAGAGAGTTCACTATACGTCCAAGAAGCTTTTGTTATCTGTTTGAATCCATTTATTAATGTTTGTAGCCAGATACGTATATTAGTTCGGCTGCGGTATTGTGATGTTTGACCATCAGAGTAGATTTGAAGGGTGTTAATATCTTTTTTTTCTAATATTGTTTGTAGGATTGGATTCATGTGAGCCCATATCGCATGAGCTTGATGATCCAAATTTACGGTAACAAACGATTTAGATTGTAAACCATTCTCAAAGTTTCGTATATAATATACGCCCGTATGAATAGAATGAATGTGTAATTCTCCGAAAAATCTATCTGTATCATTACCTCTTCTTCAGTTAAATTTTCTTTTAGCTCTGTTTTCAGTTCAGTTCAGTTTGTTGTATCTGTAGATGCCATACAGATGTTTTTTCATAACTGGAATATCTTCAATGAAAGCCATTTTTAATTCTTTGACTGTACTTGACATTGCAACCTCTTTTGTGATCTTAAATTTCTTATTCTCGCCTTTTACAGTTTTTTCTTCAATAACACAAATCCATTGAAAATATGTCAGAGAATCAGTATTATCAGTTAGCTCAAACATTGGATGTTTACATTTATCACACAAACCATTCATGCAGTCATAAGATGTTATATCGCAACTATAATACTCAATCATTTTCTCTACACTTCCGTGATTAATCTATTGCAAATATTTTAATTTGTTCACTTTAAACTCAAAATTTTCGTGTTTAACATATAAACAAGATTCTGTCTCTTAATTTTGGAGCTACTACACAAAATGGTTTCGCTCTTAATAATGTTGCATAAGGCAAATTTATTCCAGTTTCCCTAACGAATTTTGACGTCAGTTCTTTAACTGAGAATAGAAGGAGACGCTTTTTTGTTAATATAGTTTTTCTTTACAAAATCTCTCTTGGCTGGACACATCCGACTGACATCATCTCTTTGGAAGAAATTTTTAACTTTTTGACAAACTTCAGGCTTCCAAATTACGAATTTTGGTATCAGACTTCAGAAGCGATCTAATGGTTCTCTCTTTTGGCAAAAAACTCTTAGCCATATGAAGTAATTCCATATTTTCTCACCATATTACCGCTAACACATTTCTGGAAGATTTCCCTCTCTATGGAATATTCTTGCGCACTTCAGGAGGTATGTTGACATTTTTATCATTACATCAACTTTACTGTTAGAAGTACTTGGTACCTGAACTTTGTCCTCTTTTTGCTTTTCTTAGTCTTTTCATTAAAGTTTCATATTTACGTTTAATTTCAGCAATTGTTTTCTCCTGTTGTTTTATTTTACGGTACGTTTAGTCTCTATCCTTACGTATACTTTTTCATCCCACTGTTCTTCTTACTGAAGGTGTGGCAGCTAAATCATCACCGCAATGTGGTGGAGAATTGCTTGTTATACTAGATAATGCCTTATTCTTCTCCCTGTGTTTTTTGATGCATTTTTCAAAAGTTTCCTTTGCTTTCGCTTTTCTCTGTGAGTCATCTGAGTAATATTTTTAACTTTCTTTTCAGCTTTTCTGTTTATGGTAAGCTCTATCCTTCATCATCATCATCATCAACAGCCTATACTAGTCCACTGCTGGACAGAGGCCTCTCCCTTTTAATTTCTCTCTCTTCCTCTGTCATCTTATCTAAAAATTTGCTTTTTCTGGCATTAGCTTTTTGTCGTAACCGCAAGTAAGCTGAACTATTTTTGTGAAGGTGCTTTTTCTAACGTTTTTTATTTATTGAAGCATCATGAGACTCCATATTGCTAAAAAAATGAAACATTTATTAAAAACTACGTTAGCACAACATTCACTAAATTAATTAACCAATAGTTGTAACAGATGTCAGTTTGATAATGAAAAAGTCATTTCGAGAACGTCATCATCATTTCGAGAATACTCCGTCAAATCCGGGCACGTTCCCAAAATGACCGTTCTCGAAATGGCTTTTATAAATAAACGCGCCTTTATTTAAAAGGCCGCCATCTGTGACATCATGTTTGGTTTAATTAATGTAAAATACTTGGGATTACTATTCGTTATAGACACTATTATACGTATTTTTCATTCATTTTGAGTTAATAAACGCATTCCCGGTATGATGACCTATTGATTTACGCTCTGTAAATAATGAATCGAAAGGTACTTACCACTTATTTTTAATTATTTTGGCGAGAAACTTTCTTGACAGCCACTTTGTTTACATCTTTCATTACACTGCACCATAAACATCTACAGGCCACGTTCAGAAACACAATATTTTTCGGGCAATCAAAACTGTGTTCACTCAAATGACGCTTACATTGTCGGACATAATATTTTGACTTAATTATCTTTAGTTTTTTTTCTTTCTTTAATAATGGATATAATTACTTAATAGTAGATACAATTTAAGGCTAATAAGTAACAAGAACCGTAAAATTTATTTTATTTTATGTATATTTCCGGTGTTAGTTTCTAAAGATTGCTACTTAGGACGCGTTCTCGAAATGATTTTTTGTAGTTATTTCTTCAAATAATAATGAATATGTTTTACTTTTGAAGTATAATATACGAGGTACGGTTAATATGAACCCTTTACAGTATTTACAAATAATAATTTGTTTAAAAAAAAACGCACTGAGGCAGTTATTTTCAAGTAAAGCTGATTTTCCACCTTGGTGATTTTGACCCATAAACGGTAGTCAAATCCCGCAAGCTACGGCGCTAACGTATAGGTAACCATGACAGTTGGATTCGATAAATGCAGACATGGTCGTACTTGCGGAGCTTGAGGATGAATCGAATGCAGTTGTTGAGAAGTCGTCCAAGTTTGTTGAGTAAATCAGCATTTAGGTCAAGGTAGTATACATCACAATAATCGTAGATTGGGAAGACCAGAGCCTGTACGAGTATTAACTTGGTACTAGGTGGTACAAAGCTTTTAAGACGATGCAGTGATCGCAAGGTTCTAGTGACTTTCTGACTTACATTCCCAATTTTGTTTTTAGACTTTTACAGTGCATTCTTTGTTTTTCTTATTATTAAAAATAAATGGTGTACCAACTATATTATTGACTTAAGCGATGTAAATGCACAGATTAATCTTGTATGCTATCAATTAATTTCCTTCTGACGTGTGGATGCGATTTTTTAAATTTTACATGCAGTGTGCTCAGTTGACTTAGTTTGGCAGGCCTAGGGCGTTACGTTTACGACCACAAAGGGGCATTTATTTTATTATACTTTTACGGGTCAAACGTGAATTAAAGCTTGCGTCACACTAAGTGTCATTTTATTTAAGGCTACTGAAATGATCTCCTCTGATTTGTAATGAATATATGTGAAAAAAATACAAAAATATATAGGTATATGTGCCTACCAATTTTTCCAGAGAAACTTATTTTGGGGCTCCGCTCGCAAGAACATTTCTGAAATTTAAAAAAGTTACGAAACAAAAACAAGGTCATCTCATTTAAAATACTACAACTAATCACACGTCACAAAGAGAACGTCGGTATAAACTAACAAACACAATTTAGTATCAATATTTGAATTCATATTTATAGAACGATAAGAAATTGGGTAAAAGTGTTATTTAAGAAAGGTTTAACAGGACTGAAACTGTCTTTTATTGAGATTACTCCATAGTCTTAATACGATAATAAATATATATACGACATTTACATGCTAAAGTCTACGACTAGATTTTAATTGTTATAGTATTTATTTAAGTATCATAAACATTATGAAAAAGTAAATAACATGATTTCTATATTAAATAGGCTGCGACGTTTGACAAGAAATGTCACGTCCGGGTGAAAGAGTTAATGGAAGCACAAAAAATGTTAAAGGAACAGGTACAAATTTTGGAAGCTAGGGAAAAAGAGGGAGTCAAGTTGTTGAAGGAGGCTGACTGCATGTGGTTGTGCATGGAGGATGCTTACAAGAAAAAAGTTGCCGAGTCTCAAGAGAGACAGCAGTTATTACTGAAACAGGTGAGTGATCATGGCCGAGGTTTATACTTTATATATCCTATGATTTTTTCATGGTATAGGTGACGGCAACGGGGGCGGCAGGCAAACTTATCAGACAGGTAACAAAATAACTTCTTAACACCGGTCTTTTAGGCCACCGTGTGATCACTCCGGTTAAGCTAGCCGATTTGCGTTGAATGATTACACTGCTACGAGCCGTAGCTATACATATACGGGCCTGTTGGTCTAGTGGTAAGTGACCCTGACTACTAAGCCGGAGGTCGTGGGTTCGATTCTCAACCAGGACAAATAATGTGTGATGAGCACGATCATTTGATGTCTGGGTGTAATTTCAACTATATAACCTACTAGCTTTTGCCCACGGCTCCGCCTGCGTATATATCGGTTATCGCGTTAAAAAGCCTATGTCTTTCCGCAAGAATCTAAGTCTGTCCATACCCAATTTCATCTAATTCGGTTCACCCTTAAAATAATTGGGGGATAGAAACAACCACATTGGGTAGTTTCCCGGGACTCGGATTATCTCCATACCAAATTTCATCTAAATCGGTTTGGCGGTCTAGCGTGAAGATGTAACGTACAGACAGGCACACTTTCGCATTTATAATATTAGTATGGATATATTCTAGAAATATCTAAGTGTGTTTATTTAAAATTAAATGTGCCCGGTTGATGCCAATAGGGTTGACCCTATTACGTAACCTACGTAGGACTAAAATTACATTAGGAAAAATGTGTCATTTAATTCGCCTCTATCTACCCCTTCAATGATAAAGAAGTGAGTGTAAGTATGTATGAATTATTCGTTTTTTGTATTGACATACTTGTGAGATGCTCTCCTGTGAATTTTGTGATCATATCATAACAAAGAAGGAAAGTTATTTGTGTTTAGAGAATGCATTACTTTTTTAATACCTTCTGTCTAATATTGTTATAGCTAAAGGAAATAGAAACAAGTGCAACTAAGTGGAGAAAAAATAAGAAAGATCTAGAGTTTCAAATTAATAACATGACAAAAGCTAGAATGGAAATTGTTGAAAAGTTGAATCAGAAAAAAAACGATATCAAGATTATGGATTCAGAAAACCAAAACCTAACGAAAAGAATAGAAAGTGCTAAAAAAGATTTGGCCAATAGCACAAAATCCATGGGCACTGCGAAGGAAGCTTCTGATGTATGTAGTTTTATTAACTTTTATGATATTAGAGAATATTAATCTAAAGTATTCTAGAGGATATTAACGTACAGGCAAATATTCCGGAGGATTTGCCACCACGATAATTATGTTCACGTTTTAAACAAGTCTATAGGTTTAGTGAAGATTTCAGTAAGAAGATAATTATTTTAGTGATGTCTTACTAGTTTTAGGCTTGAGTTGACCTTTTTTAAGAAATACATCCGTGCTTTTACTGAAAGTGAAACTGATCGAATTGAAATACATACGTGTGGAAAAACATATTTCTTTAATAGACATGAACTCTACCCACGATAGGTTTTATACCAATATGTTAAGTGATTGTCATTAAAACTGCAATTAAATAGGTATTTTATTTATAATTTGAAAAAATGGAAATTTCTAATTTATTTAAATATGTTTATACCAACAGGCAAGAATGGTGAACTTAACTGAAGAGATGGTGAAAATTCAAAAGAAAACAAATGAAGAAAGAACGAATATGAAGAAAAAAGAAAACGAAGGAACTCAATATGTCAAAGAAGCTAGAACTGACCTACAAAACATATGTAAGGTTTTGTTACAGAAAAAACTTGAAAATGAAGATCTTAGAGCAGAGGTAGGATTTTGTTTTAATTTAAGACTTAAAATTGTATAACAAATAAATTCCAAAAAGATAACTCAAAATTTAGTCCATCTTATTGGATTAGTGAAGTGTTACGGGTTGTTGATGCTGACTACACGATGGCTGGGGCTCGTATGCTGTTAGTGTGGACAAGCCAACTCAATATTATGGTCCTTTCTTCAAAAGGCCAACCCTGACCCTATACTGCACTCGCATACTTATCTTTAACATTGTACACGGACTTAAAAAAAAGACACCTCTGTGGTTTGTTTCGGCTTTTTTTCCCAGAGTGAGTCTCAGGAAATGCCGGCGCCTTCTAGCTATAAAGTAGAAATATCTGTAAAGATTTACTTGCAGAAATAAGTATCATTTCATTTCATCATTTAATTTCGTTTTTTGAGTTAAGAAATTAGTCAAGTTTAGAGGAACTCATACTAATACCTATGTTATTGGGCCCGTCACTGTTTAACTTATCGATTTTCTGAAGAACATTTTTATTATTTACGTATTTAATATAGATAAAAGCACAAAGGTGAATATGGTTAAATAGTTATTTAAAATAATACATATTATAATTCAAAATATCTATTTTACAAAAAGTGCGACTTGGTTCAAATGCATGTCAAAAATTTCTCGTGAATCCACTTTAATACTTTAAATCAATATTCCAGAGAACAGCTATTAATGAAGAAATGGATCTTTTAGTAACAACCCTTAGTAATTGTAAAGATAAATGTAAAAACAAAGAAGAATCTGTATTAGCAGAACTTAAAACTCTTACGAATGAAATCGCCACATTCGAAGCTAAATGTAAAAAATGTCACATATGCACGGATACTAACGATGTAAGAAAACTATGTACAGATTGTCCTAAATGTTTGCAAGAAAGAAAGTGCAACGTTGGGGAAGAAGACTGTACATCTGATCCTACAATGGACTGTGTATGTATGAGTGTTAAACAGAAATTCTTAGACAATGTATTTGATAACATGTATACCGTGTTAGAAAGACAATCTAGAACTCAGCCTGGTAAGGCTTTAGCGGATGCGATATTAAACTCTTTAAAAAGAAGTACCAATGGAAAGCTTTCCCCGCAAACTAGAAGAATATTGCAAGAATTTATATTATCGACGGTGAAGAAAAACTTGAATTTGACAATAGTAGGCGGAGCAGTGAAGACACGTTGTGAGGTTAGTTTTACTTTTGAATGATTTAAGTAATTTGTGAAAAAAACTGGAGCTTTTCTAAATTAACACACATTAAAAGGAATATTTAGTCTAGTCCTTCTGTAGTCTCTTTGTTTTCTTTTAAGATGCAAGTGTTCTTAAGTAAATCTTGCGTATTTAGGCATATAGTGACGGTGTCAGCTCCCTGTATTAATGTTTTCTTTTTCAAAACCACAATCAAGTTTATTATTGGCAAATTTCGAAGTGCATAAAATTGTTTACCAAACATTTTATTCAGCACAAGTACAACTGTTTTTGTAACGATTGTTGTTTTATTATAATCACCAATTTCAGATGGATCCGGACACTTATAAACAGCTGATGACTTGTCTCAGGTCTGTTAAAGCAGTTAAGCCACCCCAAGCAGACAAGGGAACCCCACCTAGAAAGGTAATATTATGAATATCCACTTTCAAACATACAAAGTCGGGTTTGCCAAAGTATACCTCTGTATGTATAAGTACGCATGTATCGTATTACAATTATCAATGGTGTAGCTTAGTTCAAATATCTGAGTGTGAACTAAAATATAGTTGCATAAACCCATTTATGTACGAGTATGTTTAATGTGTGATCCACGTGGGGAGCAAGTGAGATTCCAGGCTGGCTTGACAGGATACCTCTGAAGATGAATGGAACAAAAAACAATTGCCTAGGTCATTCATTTGCAGCTAATCTTAGACTTTTAATTTGTGTCATTACTGGTACAACGCCATCTAGTGACATAAAAAAAAAACTTAGTTGAACAATGTAGGTACTTTAATAAACTTATTGAAAAGGTATGTATTTTTAGGAGCCTTGTAAACGCTGGGGCCCTTCCAGCGAGTGTAACTGTCCAAAGGGTCCTAAAAATTGCATTTGCACGAGAAAGGCACCCCCACACCCGGATGACCCTAGACCGTGTCCTCAGGATAAGGAAGATATCGTAAGTACCAGAATATACTGTTCAGACAAATGTAATTTACACTTCAGATTTACACCGCACAGTTAATCAAATCTCTCTTGGCTCTTCGTTTAAAGGGATTATATGATTTTGTCGGTACTCTATTCTACAGTATTATATTTCTTGTTTCTATTATGTGTAGCTTTTTTTTTGCTTAAAAGGTATTCTCCAACAATCATTTTAATCTAAAAAAAAAACATAAATAAGATTTTGTCGTTATAAATATAGTTGTCGTACTGAATGCCATTTATGTTTAATAATATTATCCTTTCTAATTCTGTTTAATTGCACGACGAAATTTCTTACCTTGTTTTACATACAAATCGAAGTGATATAATACATTGGGCTAGAACGCCTAAGAACATGCTGTTTAGTTCAGTATAGGCTAATGTTTTTAGGGTTGGTATGCTGTTTCTAATGTGTTCATTTTATATTCAGGGAGAACAAAAGATTTGCCCTTATAAAGACAAGAAAGTTTGTGGTCCTGATTGTGGTATGCAAGGTCGTTCATCACGTGCTACACGTGACATTGGGAATGAGATAGCTACGTGGAGGCCAGACCCATGTTCAGGACCGAGCTGCCCTTACAATAAAATTACAAGGGCAGCCATGGCACAATGTGTGCTTGGCAACGAATCGATGGTAAAAAAAGAGTCACGGAAGGTGAGTGAATATTTGTTCCTTTCCGCTCGGTGTAGTAAACATTTGTCAACAATTGCTATATCTGATTAGGTGTATAGCATATAATTTTACTGTATATTTTTAGCAAGTTAAAATATTTCGAATGCTTTCATGGTAAGCAGATTTTTGTTGAGAAGCTTTACTTTTTGCTGTCTCCTTAAGGAGATTAATCTCAAAACTCTCTCAAGCTCAAAATTCACAACCTTAACATAAACCTTAAGGTTTATCCTTATCTATCATAAACGAGAATGAGTGAGTTGACAGTACCCTTTAGTCTATTCACGATGGATTTCTCAAGTTATCACAATAATAATATATTTAAATCCATGTTTTGTTCAATTCTTTTTTTTTTCAGTCTACGTGCACATGTAGGACCACTCCGTTGAAATCATGCCATTGTCATCGAGGTAAGTGAAATAACGGCAGTAAACTGTATTTACGTGGGAGTACAATAAGTTGGAATGACTGATCCAAGATGATCTTTAATTCTAATTATTTTAGATCGTAGGAGGCAACTTCGAGAAAAAAATATTGCTGAAGTTATGGGAAGATACCATGTGGTCCCACCAATAGCAAAAGTAAGTTATGCAGTCATAGGCGATGACGATATCACGACTTAAAAATGAATGAAATAATGTCTATTAATATAACTGTTACTGTATAATATGGCTTGTATTTTTGGTTTCAATAATACTTGTAATTTTTTATATTAAAAGATGATATTCCTAAAATTTGCATGGTGGTTTTATTTTTGGATATCATTAGAAAGCTAACCACCATGTTTAATCAGACAGACAATACTGAAGTCTTTCTTAATTTCATCTTAGGTAACCTGTACGGGTGAACGATATTCTGACGAATCGATAAATTCAAGAAAAAACACCGTATGCGATTGCTCTAATTTACCAATAACATATGTGTTTACAATGAATAAATCTGCAATTTCAATTTCACTATCTAGTACTTGTTCATCTGTGTACATGCCTATAAATGATCCAGTTACATTTTCCTGTAAACTGTGTCAAAAGAGATATCCTAATAATTCTGAACACTTTAAAGGTGATAATAATTCAAGCATCACCAATAACAGAAATAAAAATAATATTATAAGAAAACATATTACATGTAATAATATGGCAAGAAATTATAATGATGATATCCAAGTAATACTATATCCTAAATTTCCAAAAAACCAAGACGATGAAATAACTGTAGCTTTTGACACCATATTAAACGGTGGAAGAGTTAGGAGACCAAATGTTAACACGTCTGTTGAAATAAAAAATCAGGATATAACATTACGCGAAACAAGCGATATTGAATCAAAAGTTTGCGATGCAGTAAATAAACTTATGAAAAAAGTGATTGTCAAATCAAAAGGTATGTTTAATACTAATCAATTATCTATGTCAGTTGTTGAATGGGTTACTGTAAAGGAACTATACGAAGAAATAATCAAATTCATGCAATCAGAGTATCAGGATATAGACACAATATACAAAGAATTAAAATCTAAAAGCTTGGATGATTTAAACAAAAAAATTTAGACTTGCATGCATAGCACAAATTTTGTTGATTTCATAAATATTAAAACTGACTATTGTTTCCTAAGTATGTATTTTTAATACACGGATATATTTGTAGAGAATGGAATACTGAATACTAAATCTACACTATTTGCCGAGTAGATGTAAATGTTTAGATTTAAAAAAAAAAACATTATCCTATAAATAGTTTGAAATTGTTAACGTTTATTGTTGAGAAAATTTTTGAGAGCCCATTGCAAAATATTTTTTTTTACTAATAACTATCGCAATCCACTGCTGGGCATAGGCCTCTTCCATTACACGACTCTTAGATTGTTTTTGGGCTTCTCTTCTTTTGCTCTACGCTCTAATAAGAGACACAAAAGTAATGAATTTGTTAAACTAGTAGTGATTTACAACTAACATGATAATATTTTACTTACTTACTACTAATTGTTTTCATATGTTTTGTACTCCCACGTAATATAATTAAGTAAATAGGAAGTAATATGTATCAAATTTACAAAATGATTTTTAGTATGCCATAAAACTAAGACTAATTTACTTAAAGTCCGTAATATCAGTGTTTTACACTTAAAATACAAATATGCCAATAAAACAAGTAGTAAGTAGTAGTATTACATACTTCTTACTTTCAATTTATATTTAATTTTTGGTGTATATAAAAGTTTGTATGGAGTAGTTTGTTTTAAATAAAATAAAACTTGGGATGTTTCATGGTATACTAAAATAGTATTGTACAAGTACTTAAAATATGATATTTCAATTAATTACAGATACAAAACATGTGAAAGCAAATTTAGTGGAATATTGTGATAAATATACAAGTGTTCAAAAGTGGTGGAGGGATTCTCAAAAAGACGTTCGTTTTGAATTACCATATGCAAAAGATGAATTTAGACTACAAGCCAATTCAACAGCATTACCTCATAATAGACAATCTGTAAATAGTATTGCATGCCAATTTAATAATCTCGAATCATCTTCAAACTTTAGCAGTATACAAGATATTGTATCGAAAGAGTTTAAAATAGCTGTTGAAAATAGAGGTAAATTCGTCACACAATCTACCGTATTAACAAAAACCAATTCAGGGACATTCACTATGGAACTAGATGAGCAGATAATTGAATCATTACAAAAAGTTACTAATGAAGACCCCATTTTATTTGTGTCGTTTAAAAAATCGGATTCTGGATGTTTAATAGTACATTTTGATAACAAAAATAATTCAGTAGCTAATACTCAGAAAGTTGCATTAAGAACAACGCAATCAGGAACAAAGTTTTTAGAAATACATAAAAATATTATTGACATTCTTGAAAATTCTGACAAATATAACATGAAAAATATAAGATACTCAAGCAAGTCAGCAAACACGTATGAAGAGGATAAGTTTAGAGGACATTATATAGCACAAGATGAGAAAAAAAAAAAGTTTTTTTTGAAAGACAGTCATGATGCATTTAACGATCAGACCAACGAAACCGATTTCAAAGACATATTGAGAAAACAATGTGGGTGCATAATTCTAACGCATTCATCGTGCCGAAATTGTAATAACTCTCTCATGAAAACTGATGAAAGCGAAATTATCGACTTTATATATAAAGATGATGAAACAGCTAATAATGTTGAAAGATATGCTGCAAAGAAAATAAATGGAATACCAGATGTATGCATGTCCACGTTTACAGAACAATTACAAGATTATTCATTTGAGCTGCAGCACCTATTTGAGCAAGGCAATGTCAAAATTACAGTTCAGATTAAAATGAACAATGAGCTCTTCAACAAATTTGAAACGGTTATTACTAGGTCACTCGCAGGCACCATCGGTGTTGGTATAGTGCAACTATCATCTCTTGGGCATATTCCTCTTGATGGGATTGAATATCCAGTTAGTTTATCAAAGACGATGTCTAACACATACATAGTTAATCTTGATCAATCTAGTGAAACATTTAATGCAGTATTTAAAAAAAGTATATCTGGCAATGTTATGCTCCTTCCAACAACACCACAAACAAAAAATCAATCTAAGAAGGATGCAGGTCAACCTGAAGTAAAATTATACAAATTAAAAGTAAAGAATTACGACAATTGTCATGTTGAACTACCCGCAGTATTAAAATTGACAGACTCGAATAATTTTAATATTGTATTAGATAAAGAATTTGAAAGTCGTTACAAGAAGATGGTGCGAAATGATTTTCTTAGTGAACAGCAACGCTATGTACTTTTACAAAAAACTCCCTCTGCGTATGTCGTAGACTTAAACACTGATAATCATATTCATCATGAGAACCTTAATGCACTATTAGTTAAATCTAAATCAGGTAATATCAAAATAGTGGTAAAAGGAGCCATAGCAGAATGCCTTGGAGTCACAAAGACTAAAAGAAGTCCAGTATCTTCAGCTCAAGTGTTTAAAGAATTACTGGATAAATTGCATACAGCTTCAACGAACACAAAAAATCAAAGGAAATACAAACCCAAGTTCGTTGGCCAGAAATCTTCTAGCGACACACAGTTATATGAACGTGTAAAAATAAAACTACAAATCAACAAAGGCTTCGCTTCAGATCCTTCGGCTATCCTTAAAAAAACAGATTCAGGCCATTATGCTGTCATTCTTAACAAAGAATCAAAGAAAACGTTCCTCAAAAATTTAAGAAGCTTTTTAGTTTCTAACCCTAACGGAGTCGTTCCTATAACTAGAACAGAATCTGGTGAAATTCAGTTAGACCTTAAGCGTTATGGTGAAGAAAAAGGACATTACGGTTTATTGAAAATTACTTCATCAGGAAATGTGTATGTCGTTGTCGATGCTGAAGCTGTAACAACTATGTCCAGTAATTCAAATATGAACAGTAAACGATCTAATGCTGTTGATACCAGATCTTTTAACATAGGGGAATTTGTTAATAAAGAAGTCTACACTACTTGTAATGGTAAACCAGTGACTGGTGTTTGTGACATATCTAAATGTATATGTGAAGAGATACCGTTTGAGACTTTATTTTGGAAGAACAATACCAATGGCAAAAATACAGAACAAGTCTCTCAACCCACGTGTTGGAATCGTACAGATGCCAGAACAGATAAAGTATGTATGAAACCTACATTGAAGTATAATTATAAACCCACAGAACACTGCTGTTACGTATTTGACTCTGTTTGTTCTTATCATGACAACAGATACAGTCATGAGTCTAATGAATTGTTAAATAAATCTGCAATCTATAAAGAAGCGCAACAAATTAAGATTATGAAATACAAACATGCAAACAACCTTGAACATCCTCAAGTCGGTAAAGTGTTGTGGGATTCTTTAAGTTACTTGCCGCCACAACTGCCGCCTTTTCTACGAAATGTCCAATATCATTAGTATACGTAGTAGTAGTGATGTTTTTGTCAGGGTTTTTGCCTAAAAAAGAAACAAAAATCAGGTTAACGTTTGTAACATTTTTTAACATAAAATATAAGCAAAGGACACTAACTTGTAAACTACCGCGTTCAATAATATAAAATTATGTTTACGGGAAGTAATGCGCTTACGATAGGTATTAAATACATGCCTCTGAAATAACGTTTCGACCAAGTTGTACTGGCTGTGGTCAGTCAGGCTGAGACCAATAATTACGAAAAATAAAGGATGTATACTTGAAACACATTTCCGTTTAAAATTTACACGATGAATGCTCATAAGTGCTTCGTTTATCGTTGTATTATGGTATGTCTCTCTTAAACTTAATAATTCATGACCAATAATCTATTAATTACGATAGCAATTTGTCAAACGCAATGCGCAATTTATGTAAGTAAATATGTGAAAGAATACATAATATAAATTAGTTGTAACTTTGAAGTACATTTTGTATCGTAATAAATTTCGTCTTAGTATCATTTTATGTTTATTTCATAAAATATATTTTAATAAAAATCGTAACTTGTTTTTTTTTTATTTTCAATTTTATAGGGAGACAGAAGTCACTGAAACAAGTTTTATTAAGTAATTAAGCTTAGTAAAGATTGCCTCATAGCGCCGATATACTATAATACTTCAGATAATCTAAATTATGTTTTGTAGTATATACGCAGAAGCGTATATACTACAAAACATAGCGGGGGATATTAGTAGAAACTAATATCCCCCGCAATATTTTCCGAACAGCCGTCTCACAGTGTTTTCCCTTAACGTGCGACGGTAAATGGCTTAAGTTTTGCCTGCTTGCAGTCTGCAGTTTCATCTTGCACGTTTGTGCTCGATTGCGGACCGAATACTTAATGCGCGACGCATTAGTTCAAAGGACATTATTCATTTTTATTCCGTTAGTTTCCTCGCTTGCTATTTATGACTTAACTTGTGTGAGATTTTAAATTAACTTGAAAATGATTTTTAAGGTAGATTGGGTATTATGGATTTATTGGCAGGCTAATATTTAACTCAATTTAGTAAAATATACAAAGTAAGCAAGCAAATACTATTTTAGACGTGAGTTTGATTAAGTAAAACCTATTGAACAATATATTTGATATGGAACTGTTAATGATACACTACATAAATTCAAAAAAGCAATTTATTGGCTTTTTTATTACGAACCTAGCAAAGTGTTTGACTGGTCAATCTTTTGCCTGTCTTTATGAACAGGTGTAACAGTAACACATGGTAAGCTAGTAGTAGTTGGAAAAGTAGATGGTAAATGGCTTGGATTCTTAAGTGGATTTCATTTGCGCTTCGTAGGTATACTGAAATTTAGCTATAAGATAGGACAAAAATTTTAGTTTATTTATATTTGCCCGATTGAGACCTGAGATTACTTTGATGTCTTGAGTAAATTATTACATAATTATAAATTATTATTTCTAATGTACATCTAATTAGACCAGTAGACTAATTCTGTGCCATAATGTGTTGTTTGTGATGTTTCAAAAGAACTACAAGTCCTTTTAAAACATCAACAACAAATTCAATCGACCTATTCTTCATTTTTCATTACTGAAGATCGTGTTCACTCTGAACATAGTTCATTAGTGACCTTACCTACACGCTGTATTCACACTTTTTTTTCCTTCTACTTTTCCAACTACTACTAGCTTGGCAAAATAATGCAACTGCCTCCGGGCTACATGGCCTAAGTAGCTTAGCACTTGCTGGGAGCAGGTTGTCGTCAGTCTGTTCTTTACGTAAAGCTGTTTTAGAAGGAATGCGTTTATTCTCTTGGTCCTCCACGATATGCCCACGATAGGTGTGGTGTATGAGGAAAATACAACATACAACATACAACATTTTCCTCATACACATCAGCGCAATCGCGTCAATACTTAGTTAGTTTTCCTCTCATAGTCGAGGAACAGATTATCAAGGATTTCCTTCTATAAAGGAAAATGGAGTAAACTAGAGCTTCAACAAGTCCTTTCTAGGCGACGTTATGTTCTGCCAGATTCGGGTTAATTTACTCATAGAATTTGTGGCAATCTGGATTCTCAGTCAGATTTCCTTTCTTTGGTGCCTGGTCAGTTACTTCATCAGTACTGGCAAATGTCCCCAACCTCATATCCATTTCATTACTAGCCCGTAAGTACTAGTAAATTTGAATAAAAGTAAATATAACTATGTTTCTTTAAGCAATTTTGATATAATTAGCATGTTTTAAGATAATAACGCCATTCATAACGCTCATACAATGTTTCTTTTGTGATAACATTATTAGCGGACTGAGATTAGAAACATGGTAATTTAACGTTTTCGGTTACATAATGATGTTCATGCTAAGACCATCATTAAACAGCCTTAGCATGAACAACATATATGTGTATTAATACATACTCGTATATAAAATAATAAATACTGGACATCGTTTGGCGATGAAATTTAAACCAAAAAAATACCTTAAAGTATAAATTGAACTGACGGTGTAATTTATACTTTTTATAGCTTTCCGTAATTGTAAGTCGTAGACTAAACAAGATTGGGGCATTATGTTATTTCCTACATACCTTAAACGTTAGGCATTACAATGTAAGAGGAACTATCAAAATCGAGTCATGAATGATAGAGTTCTGGGGTAGTAAACAAGGGAGCAAACTATGCAAGAGACCAGCACTTCAAAGAGAAGGAAGACTTAAAAGAAACCCTACAGCAACTCGTCTGGCCATCGTGGTATAGTAGTCCAAAACCTCCTTTTTAAGAAGAGGCCTACGTCTAGCAGTGTTAAGGGCTGTTGATGGTGATAGTGATGACGACGATAACTACATGGTGAAGTTAAAAGAAAACAAGTTTGAAAAGAACAACTATATTTATCAGTTTACTTTGTAACATTTACACGTATTTTATTCACCACTATTATATGCAAGTAGTCTTAATTTCTGAGATAGTAAATATGGGTATGCTTCGCTTGTTGTTGTAAAAGTGTTGAGAACAAGATGTTCTCAACACTTTTACAACAACAATTGTTATGATTTAATTGTTATGTTTTCACCCATGAACAAATCTATGGTTAGATAGATAGACAGAATTCTTTTTATTTGTACACTATTTTACAGGAGTCGTATCATATATGCAAATATCAGATTTGAAATATAACCTTACGATGGCTCAAATTATTTGGAGAGACACTAGTGGTAGAAGGTGAATTTGAATTTTGATAATACTACAAGTAAATTTTCTACAAATGAACTTGTACTGTTCAAATAACAGTTAAACACATACCTATACATACCTACGCATACATCATCATCGGCCTATCGCAGTCTATTGTACGCCACTTAGATCGATTATACATACGTAAATATAATTACTACCTAAGTATATTGCATTGTTTTTTACATACGTAACTAGCATGCAAAATATTTTTATTAGGATTGGCACTCAACGCCTTCGTTCGTTTTGTCCTTTTGTGAATTTTGTTTTTTGGATTCCAAATATGGTAATTGCCGCAACCGTTGATTTTTCGTAAGTTCTTCTGATTCTTCAAACGTGTTTGGCATAGCTTTCATGGCCGTTTCTGGTAAAAAGAATGGAATTATCGTTGCTAATCCCGAAATGCCACTCATTACTACAAATGGAAGCCAGTAGTAATAAACCTTCAGATACACAATATACGGTGATAAAAATGTTGAAACAAATGCACAAATATGAATTACAGAAACGCCCGATCCTCTTACTGAAGTTGGTAGAACCTCTGGAGCCCACTGCATAGCGGCACTAAATCCCATGTTTACTGCAAACCTTGCTATGACCGCGAATACAAGGCTTAGCACTCCACTGACAAATGGCACTAGAAAACAAAATATGGTGCCAATAGACATTACCACTATACACATCCACCTCCTACCTATGTAGTCCATAATGAATGCGACTATCAGAACAGAAGGAAATTCTGTGAAGGATATTAATGAAAACGATACAAAGAAATTGAAATCCAACTGTCCTATACTCCTCACAAGCCCATCGTATAATAAAGCAGTGCACATATACTCTAAACCAGTTAGAATATACATTTTTTTTACTAGTGGTCTCTTGAAAATCTCCCACCAACTTAGATTTTGTAAATTGTCTTGTGTAACACTACTTGCTTGTAACCTGAATTGATTTATCTTCTCCGTAGGTATTTCTTTTTTATTTATTTTACTTATAATGATTACTTTTTCAATAGCTTCGTTAACTCGTCCTTTCGATATTAACCACATTGGACTTTCTGGCAAAAATAACTTTGCAAGTAGGGATAGAGCTAAAGGTAAACTAGTGACTAAAGAAAAAACTTTCCAGTTACCACAAGCGAGGGCAACCCATGGAAGTACAGTCATAAATAAGCAAAAGAATAAAGCAAATGTCAAATTTGCTAGCAATGTTCTATACTTTGGGCCGATATATTCTAAAAGAAGAAGGTATGAAATATTCGTGCAAGAATCATATGCCATTCCCATTACAAATCTTGCAGCAGCAAATTCCCCAAGATTTTTTGTAAATGTACTGGCAAGACCACCTACGCAACCAGCAAGGCAACTGCCTATAATAGCTGGTAATCTTCCAAAACGATCAGCTATCCAACCAAAAAAAAATCCTCCTGCGATACAACCTATGAAAAATATAGCTTGAGCCGTCGCCTGATAACTGTCTTTTTCACAGACCCATTCCAAATCACTTCCTATAGTCGGATACGGTATTTCAGACTTATTGAATTCCCATCCATATCGACATGGTACTGTTTTCCAAGTGCGATTAAGCTTCTGTCCCTTCTCTAAAACTGCAGTCCAATTGGTAACGTACATTGTACACTGTGAATATCCAAATCTCGAGGTATTGTCCTTAGGCACACCAAGATCTCTGCGTTCAATGGCAGTCATGTTTTCCAACTCCGGTATTCTGCACCAATGATTTGGCGATACTTCTGTTATGAACATCTGTGAGAAGTATGCAAAAACTCCAAATGCGAAGAAAGGGCATGTAGAAAAAAATAATCTCCATTGGTAGATACCCAACTGACCAACTGATGAAAGTAAATCATCGTAAGTCACTTCTTTTTCTGCAGGACGAAATTGTTTGCCCTCTGTGTTACTTTTCATAACCATCTTGTTCAAATTCTTCAAGAAAATAGACTGATTTAGATAGCAGAATCTAGTTGGGCTTTATATGAAATAGTACATTATCTTATTCATATTTTTTTATCTTCTCTGGGCAAATATAATTCACGTAATTTTATAATTATTGTAGTTTCAAGAAACATTCACTTCCACTATATAAATATTTTACAACGTACTCGTATTACAGAAATACACACGTACGTATATGTATGTATATGGTTACACCTATATCCGCAAAGTCATACGCGTATTAAACGCCTCTCTTTTGTCAACTACAATTTGGTCCCACCCATCTGATGGGAGTTCTGATGACTACAGAATTAGAAAGTACAAAAAGTGTACTAAAGTAAGTTACATTATTTTGTTAGGGCTTTTCCAAACTGTACTTCTACACAAGGGATGTCAATTATTCTATACAAGTAAAGTCTTAACATCTGAGGTAATTAATAAAAATGGGTTTTCTTTGGTAAGCCGACCTTCTTGATTGATTGTATCTTAAAATATAAAAATGTTAAGAACAATATTTTTACCGAACATTCTTAGGTCTTAGTATTACAATCTAAACACAGATACATAGATATAATACTCTTTATTTGTACACTATATTTGGGTAAAGAATTTATTTTTTTCAAAAATGAATTTACATTACACTTACTCACTTGAGACACTGGAATACACTTCACCCCTCAAACATTTAAATATTACTTCATTTTCTTTAAAGAATTTACAATTTTGACGGTTTTAAAGGATTTGATACTGATTAAATTATATGGGTACTCAAATTATCCACGACTAGAGTAATAAATATAAGTATACCCTCACATTGGTGTAAAGAATCTGTATAGGAGACGTGTCATACATACAAATATCTGATATATAATGACGGTCTTTTTCTCCAAGTGCTATTTCTTCAAGGCAACCTTAGGCTGAATCAAAATGTTTCGGAGACATATTATACCTAGAAAACACCCAAACTCTGAAAAAAATATTTGCAGATCATTCGAACATTTGGTCGGACCCGAATCCCGAAATCAAACTCGAGACCTCAGCACAGCAGTCGTTTACGCTAACAACGCACCACCGCGGCAGTCAAGTAGCGTATGTAACTATTACCAGTACACAAACAACAAAAATTCTAAAACTTGGAACTTCTACCCCTCCCCCTTCCCAATATAAACTAGGGGATGGAAATTTGATGCTGGAGGTCTAAGCAACTTACAAAAAGAAGTGAAATTCCACCAAAATCAGTGGAAAAAAAAGGAAAAACTTATTTGATTTGTTTTGTATGTTTTTGATTATATATGTGTAATAAACAAAAACATACAAAACAAATCAAATAACTTTTTCAGAATACGCAATTTCAAAATGACTCAACTGTTTATTGAACAAAGATAAATATCATGATACATAATTTGGAATTCCCCAATTTGGTCTTGAAATCTCCCATATCACTTATCTTTATGTGGGAAATTGCCTAATCAAGATGACTGAATTATCTCTTCTTATTTGTTTTACGCTATCCGTCTAAAGCTTGCAGAAACAACGGTCTTGATAATAATCTAAATAGGAAAAAATGACAATGGTGCGTATGTACGACTCTGTATCAATGGAGCTGTACCCACTACGATTCTATGCTCGAAAATAAATCGTTTATGCAAACGAAAATACAGGGTAACTGATGGTAGCGCGTTGCCGGCCTTTGAGCGAAAATTAAAGGGGATAAGAGGTTGGGCCTTCGGTAATTTCAACTAGATACTTCAAGAGTTGTGGAAATGTGTATAAACAGATGTTTATTGTATATTTGTCATGCGCTTTAAGTGAAGCTTTGAGATATAAAAAAAATCTACTGAATACGAGTACCACTGCGGGAGATTTTTCAATTGTATTTAAAATTATGACCGTCTTCATGACAGTGTTTGATCTTCCACATGGTTCATTCTTCAAGTCAACGTTTTCACTACATAAATGAAAATAAAAAAAACTATATCCTCAGCCTTTAAGAGTCCATTGCTGGGCATAGGCCTCTCCTAAGAAAAGAGGTTTTGACCTACTATCCCACGCTGGCCAGACGGTTTAGTATAGGGTTTGTGTCAAGTGTTCCTTCTCTATGCAGTGCTGTTGTTCTGCGTGATTTTCTCCCGTAGTCGGCTCTTAGGACACCCACGAGCTAAATAGGGGTGGTGACGCTCTATATTCTTAATCCGACACCACACAGACCAGACGGAAAAAAACTATACTTTGTCGAAATTATTGAATTTTTTTTAAAACGAACGTGAAATGGGAATATTAAATTAATAAGTATTTACCAACAAAGTATCCAATTAATATCCCATATTGCAAGCGTTTATATATCAGTAAATATAAAAACTATTGAAACAGACGGTGCACATAAAAGCCAACCAATAAAAACAGTTGGGTGCCAACATTTTTGCCGTGTTGCCTTTAGACCGCAATTTTTCAGCACTGAATGGTTTTTATAACATCCGACGAAGGCTGATTGATTTATGACTGGATGATGCAGTATATATATTTTGGATTAACGATTAAAGTACTGATTGTACGAGGATTATTTTTATATCCCTTTGACATCATACATACATAGTTAAACTAGAACAGTGTTATATGATTATTCGATTGTCTTAAAACTACAGACTGCTCTACTTTTCACTTTGAGGAGAAAAACTGATGGAAAGACTGAAGGATGAAATAAGAAGTTACTTTTAACCATTGGTGAAATAAGAAGTAACTTTTAACATGCAAATTAACTTTGGACTCTTTTTTTATGCTGCCAAAGATCTCAATGATCTAAGTTGAGAACACAGGTGTTATACTTTTCTCGCCTTTATCACACAAAACAAAAACGAAACGAGCCATGTCACCGAAAATTAGAGAACTTTATTCATACCAGGAACAAACAAATATGAATCATATAAATCACCGACCGCAAAGGGACTAAAGTTGAGAATGCCTATTTGTTTTATTGATCATATTTTCAGAAGAAGTGGACTGCCAAAAACAGCTAGACTCGTTGTTTTTCTCCGAAAACATTCAAGATATGTGTTATTTAATTATTATGACACCGTATTTGTAATGAAAGATAAACAATTGACTGACTGAACGGATGGCGTAGTGGTTTAAGCGGTCGCCACGCCGCTTCCTACTACGCCGAGTGTTGTGGGTTCAAACCCCACATGGGACGACACTTTGTGTGATCCACAAATTGTTGTTCTGAGTCTGGGTGTTCTTTGTGTCCGTTTCATGCATGTTTGTAAAGTCCCCCGCGACACAGGATTTATTCCTAATGCGGGCGTTGTCTTTTTAATAAAATAAAAAAAAGATATCTTGAAGAGTTATTTTTACTTACACGTAGATGGAAATAATATAACCTATCAGATGTAATAATTTTTTTAGGTAAGATGAATCATACACATTTATATAATATTTTTTTATGATTAATATGGGCAAACGAGCAGACAGGTCATGTGATGGCAAGTGATCTACGGATACATGAAAATCAAGAGGCACAAATGCGTCTTCCAAAAATTCTTGGAATAGAGGGCGGAGTGCTTGGGCTCCGGTAACTTTACTTACTCGGTGAAGAGGAACGAAGGAAATACTTAACAACAGTTTAAAAGCACACCTTTATACCATATATATTAGTGTCTGATTTCATTGATGACATACAAAAACGTCAGTTGATTGTACATCTTTTTTGGATGTATAATCCTCCCGCTACCATATCTACGAACAGTGTAATATACCGTACTGATGCATCATCGCGATGATAGAGTGCTCTACTCGCAACCACTAAAAAATTTGGATATTTTTTCACAGATGTCTTTCGTAGGATAATAATAGGTCTTTAACTAGGAAATTGCCGTTTTGTATGCAATAAGTGAAAGCACTTATTTTTTTAAACTTTTTTATTTCTGTTATTCGAAGTAATCACCCATGCAATCGACGCATCTTTGCCAACGCATTGGCAGTTTATTGATGCCCTTCTTGTAAAAAGCAGCTGGACGGGAGGCAACAAACTCTTCAAAGGCATTTTGTACTGCCTCTCGGGAATTAAATTGCCCACTAAAAAGTTGTCTAAATTTTGGAAAAAGTAATAGTCGGTAGGTGCAAGGTCTAGTTTATGGAACGATACTCCAAAGAGGAATAGGCTTGTGTTTTAAGACACTGACTTGTGTCTTTGATGGTAAACATAGAATGCCTTGACAATTCTGTTGCTATAAAGCTTCAAGAGATTTTTTAGAAAAGCATTTTGTTTATGGTTTAAAAATTCATTGAATGTGTATAATGAGCTATTAAAATGGAATATTAATACATGAATAGATGGTAGGTAGAAAGGAATTGATTTTTATTTATTTATAAAGTTACTAGACACATGAATCACGCTAAAATATAACTAATGAACTTACTGAGTTGTCAAAAGTATAATAAAATAGGAATGTTTGTAAAGATCTCGATAGTAGGATTGGCATTGTTCCAAAAGAGAGATGGGTGATTAAGTGGATTTAGATGTCGTAAAAAGTTCGTAAAATTTTATACACTTCGGTTTTTGTGACACATTCAGATATACATTTTTTGTCATAAACATTCAATAATACCGACAGTGAGTTATTGAGTAGCTCATAGTGTTTGCGTGCAAGGATTGTATTTTTTTTCTTGCGACTATCACAAGTAATACATATACAGAACTAAACTCGTTCATAACTTTTAATTTAGGCCCGTATTTTAAAATACGCCTCAAGTAACGGTTGAACTCTGATTAATCGAAACAAGTCTTAGGTGCAGATTAAAACTTAAGTATCGGTCTTATTATAGAAGCATTTTAAGTTTTACTCAGTTGAAACTAGTTTCAAGTATTGATTTGAACTTACAGTCTGTTCGTAATTACGTTTCCGCATGAATGACATTATTGTTCCGTATTATGCAGCTAATTATTTAAAAAATAATTTGCGTTTACAAATATAATTTCTGTA